AAAAAACAGGATGTTTTGTGTACGTGGCTTTTGTTGAAGTCTTTGCTCTGGGAGGTCACTGGGAGGTGACATTGTCCTGCCTGGGCACAAACACAGGCGCCAAGGCCCGGACTGGCTGGCGACCGTCACAGCAACAGGGGTGCCTCACAGCGACGCGGGCGCGGTAGCACGGGCCGCCAGCCCTTCCTGGCTGCGGCAGGTGGGCCGGAAGAACAGCCCAGGCCCCGCCAGCCCCTTCGGCCGAGGGGCGGTGGGCGCGGCCGCGGAGCTGGGCCCGAGGTGGGCCGTCCAGGCCTGGGGATCTGCCCGACAGGCCGGGCCTCAGGCCGTGCTCCCCGAGCGTGTCCACCTGGAGGACTTCTGTGGGTGGGTCTACGCCCCCGCCCCCCGCCTCGCGCCGTGGGCCGGTGACAGTGTGGCCGCTGGGGCTGGGGGCCTGGAGGGGGCAGGCCTGCGATGAAGCGAGGAGGTCCTGCCTCCTCGTCTCCCCGGGCCCCTTCTCCGAGGAAATGCAGACCTCCCTGTCCAGGCCCGCGGGGCCTCACGCGTCTCCTCGGGGAACCCGTGTGCCCATGCCCACGTTTGCACATCAGCCCTTCTAAATTGTGTCATTTGAGGTCCCTGTCTCTTTTTGGGGGGTGCAGTGCCCGACATTGAGCAGGAAGTCAGTAAATTGTTATCGAACGAAGGAGTGAAGGAATTTGGGGGTGGGAGGGGGAGGTTGGGGCAAGAGAGGCAGACGGGGAGCAGGCGCCCCGCGGGAGTCCTTCTCCCGGGATCGGCCCGGAGCTGGTGCCGCCCCTCCCCCGGGCCCCCGGCAGGTGGTATGTAGGGCTCTGGTCCCCCTGCAGGACCACGGCCGTCCCGGGCTCAGCAGCCGCGCGCACCAGCCTTCCCGGACCCGGAGGCGAGCAGGGTCCCTGGCTGGCCCAGGCAGACAGATCTCCACGTCCACCGGCCAGCCACATGGTGCTGCCCGAGGCAGCCCGGGGTCCCGCTCTGCTCTCAGGGGCCAGGGTCCTGGCAGATGGGGAGGGGCCCGTGCCTGACACCTGGAGCCCAGGAGCCCCCTCCGCCGTGACAGAGGCCTCATGTGACCTGCACACTGCCCCCACCTCGGGCCCAGCTGGCGTGCGCACTCCCGTCTGCCACCCGGGCCTCTGTCCCTCGAGGACACCCCAGGACGCGGAGCAGCGTGCTAAGGTAAGGGGGACCAAGGACATCTCTTCCAGCCCGGGACGCTTGACTAAGATGCAGGACAGTGACCTGCTTTTTCTTTCGTGGGCACAAATGCTTTCCTTCCCCCAGCAGGACGCCCTCCATCCCCCGGAGGCTGAATCGCCCACCCCGTGGAGGGTCCCACGCCCACCTCATCCGAGGCTCGCGAGACAGGCGCCCCTTTGCCGTGGGAGCCAGGCCGGGACACCCTCTCGTCTCCCAGGACTGGGAGCAAAGGCCAGGTGCCGTCTGAAGACACTTCCCCAGAACACCCAGCTGGGGTGCAGGCGGCTGCCACTGCTTGGTGAACGCTTGCTGGCCAGCGGCTGGGGACCTGCCTGCAGGGGCCGGAGAACGGTGCGCGAGTCCCACTCCCCTGCCCCGGGCCGGGGACGCTCTCACAGGAGTGCGCTGGGCGCTGGGCTCCAGGCTCCCGGCCGCCCCTGCAGGCTCTCGCCCTCCAGTCCAGGTGGGCTGGGCAGCTGCTCCTCATCCTCAGCCAGGCTCCCAGCTGCAGAGAAGAGGCCCAGAGAAGTGGGGGGCCCTGCCAGGGCGAAGGTGGGTCTCCGTCGCTGCCCTGCCCCTCCTCTCCCCGCGGCTCACTCTGCTCACCTTCAGGTTGAAGAGACCTCCCCTTCTTGGGCCCCCTCGTCCACCCGCGCGCAGAGCGCTGTGTGGGGCGCTGTGTGGTGGGGCGGCTCGGGACCGTGCTCCTGTAACCGGCGGGGCCGAGAGCCGCCGACTGCTCCGGGGGCACAGGGCCGGTCTCTCCCAGGCCCGCGGCCGCCGCACTGCCGCCTCCCTCGCCCGCTGCGTCTCGAGGCTGTCCTCATGCCCGCCGGGCGCCGCCGGGAGAGCCACGCGCGAGTGTCGGCCTGCGTCTTTGGTGACAGTGCGCAGCGCATGCCCGCGAGGGCTGGGCTTGCCGGGCATTCATCTCTCGAGGCGTGTCAATTTCTTCTTTGACTGACGGCGCCCAGAAAAGATGTCTCTTCCCAGCCCGGCCACCCTCCGGGCTGTGGACACTGCTCCCTTCCGTTGCGGCCAGTTCCTGCCAGGGCGGCCCGCGGCAGCCTGCAGCCCCGCGACCCCGCAACCCCGTCCTCAGGGGCCGGCCCGCTGCCGCCGGCAGGCAGCGACCCTCCGACCACCCATCCGTCCTGGCCACAGGGAGCCTCTGCTCTCCTCCCCCGCCAGCCCTGCCCGCCCCCCACACCGCGCCCACTTTCATCCGGCGGGTTCGGAAGCTGTTTCCGTCTCAGTCGCACCGTCTCCCCTCCTTCCAGGTCCCCTAGGCCAGCGGCCCTCAGCTCCGAACGTGACTGAGCCCCCTGGAGGCCTTGTCAAAATGCAGGCAGTGGCCTCCCCAGAGGGTCTGGCTGGGCAGCAGGCCAGCAGCAGCGGGGCCCGGGAACCGGCATTTCGACCAGGGCCATGCGGCGGCTGCCGGGCCGCAGGCCACAGTGAGGCGCCGGCCTAAGCTCCACCGCAGTGACGAGGTCCCAGTCAGTGGCTTCAACGAACAAGGACATTCCTCGGTCGTGCTACAAGGTCACCCATTGCAGGTGGCCCTGGGCTCCTGGCGGGAACCCAGGGGAGGGCGGCCACTCCCTGGGATGTGGCTGCTGACAGCCGGAGGGGACCACCCCTTCCAAGAGGCACGTGTTTCTTCTGCTCAGCGTCACGGCCTGGACGGCCACACGCCCCGCCCCACCCCAGGGGCTGGGAAGTAAGGTCTCGCTATGTGGCTGGACAGAGGGGTGGGGCTGCCCCAGACTCGCTGCCCCAAGCACCGTCCCCCACCGCCCCGAGGGCGAGGCCCACCCCGGGACCGCGGGAACTCCCCGGGAAGCCGCGCGCAGGTGCCGCCCACATGCCGACGACACGAGGGAGCAAGTGTCCTGCGGCAGGCCAGCTGCGGCCACCCTGGGGACGAGCCCCGCGGGCAGCTGGCCCGGGCCACGCCCGCCCTCCTCTTCCTGTGGCCTTGTCAGGATCTGAGTGTCCACTGTCCTGTGGCTGGAGTCACACATGGGCCAGAGCCAGGAAGGCCCTGCTCACACTTAAGAAGACAGCCAATCACATGTGTTTACGGTAGAAACAGTAAGTGTGATTTATTGAAAAACTATTACAATTATTCTTCTCGTACACAGGTTTAAAAGAGTTAAAAACGCCCCTTCCTGGGCATTACAGTTAAAACTTGGGGACACGCCTATTGGACTTTCAGGAAATGTGCCATGTGTCACTTGACATTATGTTCCAAGGGGCCTGATGCCCCTGGATTGTTACTGTAGGTTTTCCAATTTTTCTTTTCGCCAACGTGTGTCCAATTATATGGATTAGGAGGAAAAAAAATAAAATAAAATTACGCCAAGAGGATTTCTGCAAATATAGAAGTAATTTTATTGCAATATGCCGTAGCTAAGTGGTCTGGGGGGACGAGACACGTCTTGACTCCAGTACAAAGTACAACAGTTTGGAAGGGACCGACAGAGGCAGGAAGTGACAGAATCAGAGGAGGGACGATGAGAAATCAAACCGGAATCACATGACCTAGAGAAGCCCGCGGCGCCACCGGCAGCCTGGGGCGCGGCTTTTCTCTCGTGCCCTTGCCGGGCGGGCTAGCTCGGAAGTCTCTCGCAGCGGGACTTTTCTTTGGCAAGAGCGGGGCTGGATTTCCGCGGGCACGCGGGAAATCCTCGTGGGTGCTGGCCTGTTGCTCTGGGTGGCTGTGCCGTGGTTTCCAACGCGGGAGCCGCGCTGGGAGGGGCGGGGTCGGGGGAGGACCGCCCCAGAGCTGGGATGCATCCCAGCCCCCTCCCGGGGGGGCCCGGCTCGGCTCTCCTGTCGTGGAAGGCGGGCAGCTTTTCACAGTTGACGGGACACCCGCCCTTGCCCACAGAAGGCGGGCCCTCGCGCCCGTCCCAGGAGGTGGGACCCCGGGCGGCGAGGCGGCCGCCCGGGGCGCTGCAGGTGGAGATCCGAACCGCGCCCGTGGGACGGGACCCTGCCGGCAGCCCCGCCGAGGCTCAGAGTTCATCCTTGTGTCTCCCTCTGCGGCGGCTGCCCCCAAACAGCACGGGGACCCCCAAGCGGCTTCAATGCCGCCCTCAGAACACACACAGAAATTAGCACCACAACCATTTCACACCCGAATACAATCTGCTATCGTGACACCGCGGGCGACGTGGAAGCATCTTGTGTAGTGCGTGTGGTTTACAAATCACAGAAGCACAACCGAATACTGGTCACCGGCCGCAGAGGGGCCGCCCCGCGACCTGGGGGCGTGGGCGAGGGGCCCGGCGGGAAGTGGGGGGCAGGCATCGATCTCAGCGTCCTCGGCAAAAACCCGGATTGTGGAGGAAGGCGGGAGAGCAAGGCATGGCCAGGCACCCCAGGGTCGCCTTCAAGGTGTCAGAACAGATAGCACCACAAAGAGAGTGTAAAATAAGCACCAATTTTCACTTAATCCTCATCTGCAGAAACGCGGTCCCCCGCCCGGACACCGACACTCTGCAGGGAGAGGAGTGGCGGGAGGGGGCCACCGCGGCTCCCGCCGCCCCCCGCCAAGTGCATGTAGAGAAGGCAAAGTGTACCCTTCTTTTCTCCCTCCCCGTGACAAAATCCAGAGCTAATCAGCCAACGGCCGGATGAAGTGCCTGGATTCCTGCCTTTCCAAAGGCGGCGGGAATTCCCACGGCGCGGGGCCGACTTGCCAGGACTGGCACCTCTTGCCCAGGGCGGTGGTTGGGGGGGCGGCTCCCCGTCTCCCCGGACCGGACTGCAGCCAGAGGGGACTCCCACCCCGCCCCCGCTCCCAGTGGGGCCGCGCGGGGCTCGCCTGCCTGGTCGAAAGTCAGGGACACTGAACACTGAGGACAAGACGATACGACATGGACGTACAACTCACACAGACAGAGCACCTTCACTCCACTCGAAAGGCACGTGAGCAACGACTTGGGGCCGGTGGCTGGGCTGTGTCCCCGGACCGGAGGCTCGGGCGGGCCGCCCCTCTGCAGCTTGCCTTGGAACACTTTTTGAAGGTCAGGGGGAATACACATCTTCGGGTTGAATGTTTGCAAATGTTCTCTCCAAATGCTGCGGCCCCAGCCCTGTGCACCCTCCGCGAGCGTGGCCGGTGCGCGTCCAGTGGCAAGAAGCGCGGCCGGTCCCCGTCCCCCGGGGGGCTGGGGGGTGGGCAGCGTTGGGGCCCAGCGGCTGCTGCGGGAAGTCTAGGTCATGTGATTCGGCTCCGGGGCGGGGACACGGCTCTTTCCCTTTGCTCTCTCTGGTTTGGGGTGCGGCCCGGCGGGGTGCCGAGGTGCAGACGAGGTCGGGGGCGGGACGAGGGGTCTTCACTGTCCAGGACACCCACAGGCGCGTGCTGAGGTCACGAGGTTGGTCGCGGTGCCAGGGGCGGCTCCTAGCCCAGGAAGCAAGCCGGCCCCACTTCAAATCCGAATTTCTGTGACGCTTCCCCGAAGTCGTTGAACATGATGTCCACGATGGGCACTTGCTCCACCTTGGGCGTGTCGATCTCCAGGACGGTCTTCTGGTAGCCCTTCCTGGTCTGCGCGGGGGCAGGGGGCGGGATGTCAGGGTGGGCGGGGCCTCCCAGGGCCTGCCCCTCCCCTCCCCCACCCGTCTGGCCGCCTCCCAGTTCTAGCCCAGAGCAGCCTCCCCCCACGATGTCCCTTTCAGTGTCCCCCACAGCTGGGAGGAGGGCTTGACAGGGCCCCTGCCCTTCCCACGGGACACCCCCCTGTCACCCAGAGACTCTGCCCAAGGCGACCCCGCGAGGACTGCGGGCTCCACCCAAAGCAGGGCTCCCGGGTCAAAAACAAAGGACTCCAAGACAGGGGCAGCGGCTGGCTGGCCCCACCCGCAGCGTCTGCAGGCCAACCGCTCAGAAGAGGACTCCTAGTGCGGGCAGAGGAGGCAGCCTGGCGCTGCCTGGCCCTGAGGGGGGCAAGGTAGGGGGGGCAAGGTAGAGGGGGGCAAGGTAGAGGGGGGCAAGGTAGGGGGGGCAAGGTAGAGGGGGGCACGGAGCGCGAGCCTCTGAGCAGCAGCAGAGCTGTCCCTCCTGGGAGAGGCATCCCCCACCCCCCGACATGGGGCCACGGGCCCCAGAACACAGGGAGGGAAGGTGCGGGTCGGGCTGGTCCGAAGGCCACCCGTGCTGCAAGTGACGCTAACCTGGCCCTGTCCTGTCACCTCCCCCAAAACGAGGGCCCCTGACATGGGCGCCCGTGAACCGCTGCAGGCGCCCAGCTGCCGCCTGTCCCGGACGCGCGGCTTCCTGTACCTGGGGCCAGGCCAGAGTTCCCTGTCGGCTGTTGGCTGGACCTGGCCCTCAGGACGGTCTCCCTCCCCTGCCCAGGGCCCAGCGACAAGTGCCCAAGAGCGGACGCGGCGCCTCTCGGGGCTTTGCTCCCCTCCTGCGGGACGGACCGGCACATCCCTCGCAGGAAGGCCCCGATGGCCACCGGGACGTGGCACGCAGGTGGAGGGTTGCGAGGTGGCCTGGCCCCCACTCCGGCCCCCGCCCCTCCCTCTGGCCTCTCCTCCTGGGGAGGCCGCTGGGACCATCCCCTGGAGGGGTGTGTGGGGAGGCACGGCCGACCTTCCTGCCCAGACCGCGGCCGCAGCCTCAGGGTACCCCACTGGGGACTGAGTGCTGCGCATCCCAAGTCCAGGTGGGGAGGCCTGACTACAGGTGAGGAGGCGGGGTTTTTGGGGGGTGGAGCCCCTGGGAATGGGATCGATGCTCTCACAGAGGTGACCTGGAGGGAGTCGGCTCCTTCCCCGATGGGCGCGCCTGGCCAGGAGGCAGCCGTCGGCCTCCCAGACCCTCCTCAGTCCCAGCCACCCTGACACCCGGATCTCAGACGTCCCGCCCCTGAAACCGTGAGGCAGTGTGCGTGGCGTCAGCGGCCGAACCGTGGGGTCTGAGGCTGAGCCTCCCTCGGAGCCACGCCTGGATCTGCCCCTCAGACAGGGGCCAGGCAACCATCATTGCCGTGGGAAGGGCTAAACTGGGGGACACCTGGCGACGGGCAACAGAGAGCGGACCGGCTCTGCGGCTCAGGTTCCTGAACTGGAAACAGGTCGATGACGAGCGCCCTTGTCTGTCCAGGGCTCCCAGGAGGGCCTGCCCCCAGGCACTGGAGCCTCCGCCCCGTGTTACACGCCCGCACCCCACAGACTCGGCCCCCCCACGGCCCTGCCTCATCTAATAAGACGCGTGCTCGGCCCGGCTGGACCTGTTTTAAAGTGGGGAGGGCACGTCAGAGCCCATGAGTCCCGGGGGGCTTTGAGCGCAGCGCGGACGAGCGCAGCCCAGGCCCACGGCCGGCGGCCTGGGGTGGGATTCAGAACCTGCGCTCAGCTGTCAGCGCCTCAGACAACAGCGGCGCACGTGGTCCACAGCCACCCTGTGTCCCGCAGGACCCGTTGTGGGAGCTCAGCCGCGCAGGTGCCTCAAGCACACGTGCCTCAAGGACACGGCGGGGCGGGGGTGGGTGCTCCTCACGCTGACCTGCAGGACGGCCTCGACGCACCACCTCCGGGAGGGTGTAAGGGCCGCTTGCACCTTGTAGCTGCTGGAAAGGACACAGTGTCCCCCAAAATGACGGCCATGGGCACCCCTGCGGGGGTGGCGCCCTGGGAGGTAGCTGACGCCTCGCTCTCCCCGGGCTGGGCCCGCCCATCTGCCCAGGCCCTGCCCCTCCAGACCCCTCCCCTGGCCTGTCCGGCCACGGACCACCGCACATAACCAGACAGGATGGCTGGCCAGGCCTTCGCTGTCACGGGGAGCCGTGTGACCTCGGCCACAGGCGCCTGAGTGTTCCCATGCCAGCCAGCGAGCTGACCAGCAGCGCAGCACTCGACCTCTCCCCACGGGGAGGGTGGCCCGCAGGCCTCTCCTCCCCACCCTGGGGACGGGCGTTTGCTGGGCCAGCAGGGAGGGCAGTGTCTCCTGCTGTTACGGGGCCCTGCCCACGGCTCCGAGCATCAGCGTGTTCGGCGGGTGCGAACAGAAGCAGGCCAGGCGCGTGCTGCTCTGTGACCCCGCGGTGCCCGCGGCATAAATAACCGTCCTGGGCCAGCGACGGTCCCGGAGGGACACAGAGCTGCACAAGCGGCAGGTTCACGCAGCGTGTGTCCCAGGCCTCTTCCCCGGGGACGTGTGCCCCTCCGGAGGCGGGGACACTGGAGGCCCCCGCCCGGCCATGCGGCTACGGGAGGCCGGGGGGGGGGGGAGCCCAACGGTGCTGGCCGCGGATCACGGGAGTCAAGCCGCCGGCCTGGGGCTGAGGCGGGCCCCTCTGCTGAGGACGCAGCCGGGCGGGGGCAGGCGCGACTCTCCTGAAGGTGACTGCCTGCCCTCGCCCGCCCCTCGCCCACCCCGGCCCATCCCGCGCCCGGCAGGCCTGTGACCACTTCGCACCGGCGGCGCAGGGTCGGGGGAGATGCCCTCATGTGGGTGGGGAGGTCACCCCACGGCCGCACGCCCTTTCTCAGCACAGCCGCATCCTCAGGAGCAACCCAGCCTCAGCTCTGGCTGTTCCCAGGACGAGCCCGTCTAAGGGGACGGGGTCTGGTTTCTGAAGCGGACCTCAGGCCAGGCTCCCCAGCCCCGCCTGCCACGTCTCAGCTTTGCCTTCCTGGGCCACCGTGGGGCGGCCGGGGCCAGCCGAGTCTGGGGCCACGCCTTGTCTGAGGCGCCCCAGGGCACCCGGCACGCCGCTCGGGGCCTGGCACGCAGTACGTGCCCCGTAAGCGGAATGCGTGACGCCTGGAGGTGGGCCGGCAGCGACACTCACAGCGCAGCCGTCCACCAGGGCGTGGATGTAGGGACTATTGTCGTAGGACATCTCCTCGTCGTTGGAGCCCAGGAAGCGGATGGCCTTGTCGTAGAGGCCCGTGGCGGCATCCTGCCAGGCGACTGACTGGTAGCAGTTGTAGGTGATGTTCTGGGTGGCGGAGGCACTCAGCAGGCGCAGGAAGGTCATCTGGACCACGCCCACCGGGTTGCCCTCAGCGTCCACGTAGGAGAGCTGCGGGGGACAGGGAGGTGCCGCTCAGCCAGGAGGGGACACGCCGCTGGGATGTCATGAGCTTTATCCACGACAGTGCGAGCCACACCAGGGGCTCCGCCCAGCCCCCCAGGCCAGCGCGCACTGGCTCCAGAGGGCAGGGTCCCTGGAACAGAGAGCCCCACGCCTCGCATCTTTCAGGAACCGGAGTAACTCGCCCTCCCCTCTGGGCCTGGCTGAACCCTGCTCACCCTTCAGGGTTCGATGCCTCTACCTCCTCCTCCAGGAAGCCCCTCTGGGTTAGGTGCCCTCATGCCCAACCTTGGCCTGTCTCAGCGACCACCTTCCCTGCTGGGCTGTGAGGCCCTCAGCACCGGCACTGGACCCCAGGGGCGTGCGTCACAGGTGCCTGGACTGTGAGCACCTGAGGTCAAAGCCGTCCCTGTCACCGTGCCCTGGGGCCAGCAAAGGTGCTCCTTACGTTATTTTAGTAAAGAAAAACCATGGCTGAAGGCCAGTGATGTCTAAGGCCTGGGCTGGAGGCCATGAGAATGGGAGGTCGAGAGGGCAGGTGGCCTGGGGAGTAGCCCAGGCCAGCGGGCAGGAAGGCTGCCCCAAGGGGGTCACAGGCCACACGGTCATGAACAGGAAGGCCAGGGTGACCGGCACCCTCCTGGAGCCACAGGGAGCCCTGGGATGGCACCCAGCACGGCTCCCCCTGCCTCTGCCTGGGAAGGCACCCAGGGGAGCGCAGAGGGGCCCTCCCGCAGCCAGCTGCTTGGCCTCGCCCCCATCCCTGCCCGCAGCCCCAGGGCCGGGTGTCAGGGGACGTGCGTGCGCTGGTCCTCAAGGGCCCTCTCCCAGACTGGGCTCTGTGGGGCGTGGGGCTGGCGCAGGGCGTCCCGAGGGACCGGCCCCTGTGTCTCCGTCTCCCAGCGAACTCCAGCTTTCTGAACCCTGGATGCTGCCCGGGGACTCAGCGGCTTCTTAACCCCTAGGCGCCCGGGGCTGCCCCCGCCCAGGCCCCGCCCCCAAAGCGTCTCCCCCGAGGCTGGCTCTCCTCACACTCAGGTGCCCGCAGACCCAGAGCGGCTGCTGTGATGGAGCAGAAAGGGGTCAGAGTCTGAGCCCAGCCCAGCCCAGCCCAGCCTGAAAGGGCCGTGCAAGACCTCGGGGGAGCGTTTCCACGGCCCCGCCTGCTTCTTCCGCACTTGTCATCGACGGCCGCAGGCGGAGGGCCGGCCAGGATCGGCTCCTTCCCACCGTGCGGTGGGTAGCACAGAGCCCCCGGCCCCTGACGAGGGCCTGAGGGGAGCACGGAATACCCACCGCAGCCGGGCCGTCGGCGCTCCTCAGGGAAGACACGTGACTGACTCCAGAAAGGGCGCATGCAGCGGGGGCAGCGGGCGGGCGGGGGAGGGACGCAGCAGGACCTGAAGCGCCCAGTGCTCAGCAGGACCCCGCCTGGCCTCTGCACTACTGTCCCCGTGTGGCACGTCCGGGGCCACACGGTCCTGACAAAGCCCCCATTCCTTCCAGAGAGACCTGCACCTCTGTCCCTGTCCACCCACGCTGTCACAGATGGCCAGAAATAACAAGAGCGAAATGCAAAAGGCAGCTGCCACTTTCCCTGGACCGTCCCTTCCCCTCCGTCCGTGGCCAGCGGTCTGTGAAACAGGGCAGAGTCGGAGCGGGGCTCGTGGGCCGGAACAAAGGTCCCGTAACGCCTGGGGAAGCCGGGCCAGCGGCTGCAGAAGGGACGTCCCCCGGCCGGGCAGCCCCCGACCCCCTGCCCACCCAGCTCGCCCACCGGGGCGTTCTGCAGGTCCCCTGTGTGCAGCGTCCTTTCTGAGGAAGCACTGGCCAGGGTGGGGGGCAGCATAGGAGACAGGAAGCCAGAGAGGGGGCCTCCGCAGACGCGGCCCGGCCCGGCGGGCGCCAAGCTTCAGTGTCTGCAAAGACCTGGGCGGCTTGGAAGTAACAACGCTGGGGCCTGAGGTGTTAATAATTAGCCACGAGGTGCCTTGAGGTTTAGAAACAAAGGGTCCTCCAACGTGCAGCAGGGCAGGGGCCGCCTGAAGCCAGCGCCCCGTGAGCCCGCAGGGGGCCGTGGCCTCCGTGCCTGGGCAGGGGGCGGGGGGCGGGACCACGGGGGACGGTCGGGTCTGAGGCCACGAAGCCCGAGAGCTGGCTGCCGAGCGACAAAGGACCTCCTTCGAGGGCTGCTCAGGACGGGACAACTTGGCTCGAGGGAGTGACCTCCAGAGGCCGAGGGCGGCCTTAGTGGCCCAGCCACCAGTCATGTTCTGGAAGCTGTCACTTAACTTGCTAGGAAGAAGGCAGAGAACTCTGCACGTTGTTCCAAAATAGGGCCCCGCAGCCCGGAGGGGTGCGTGCGGGCAGGCGGGGGGCAGGGGATGCTCCACTGCACGCGAACAGCCGCTGGCTGCGCATGAGCGGACCAGCCGGCTCCCCGGCTCCCCGCCAACCGGAAGGGTCTTACTCTGCTCTTTGAAGGGATGTGACCTTTCTCATCTCAGGGAAGGGCCGTTTACGAGGGGCTCCCAGAGGTTCAAACAGGGACCGATGTAGCCACTCATGATAGAGCTGAGACGCCCAGGGCAAAGCCTGACCGCCCGAACAGCCCCTCGGGCCGGGGAGGGGCCGGCGGCAGGGGTTCCGGAGAGAACCCCTCCGGTTCGGTGGCCTGGGACCTGCCCCCGGGACCGAGCGGGGCAAAGCCCCCTGCTCCCGCTGTGTTCGGAGTCTGTCCCCGGCAGCCGTGGCCCTGGGGACCTGGAACGCCGCCAGCCCGTGCCCTGGACTGAACAGAAAGCCGCCCGCCTGCCTCCAGCTGAAAGGGGCTGCCGTGGGGGTGGCGGGGGTGGGCGCGCTGCTGGTCCGGCCGCCACGTGCCCCGGAGCGGTGTGGTCAGAGTGGCGAGAGCAGGTCCGGCCACAGCAGCCACGGCGGCCACGGGTCCCATGCAGAGCCACGAGCCAGGCCGTGCGGCAAGCAGGCAGCGCTGGCGGCACTTACCAGGGACCCGCGCTTGTACTGACTATACCAGGTGGCAGGCTGCTCTTTGGGCCAGCGGGCCATCTTACTCTGTAAGATAGGAAACGGCGCGTGTGAAGCGCCCCGCGGGGGGCCGGGGCGGCCTTACCAGTTTCCCGCGCTTGAATTCACTGAACCAGGAACCCGGGTTTTCTTTGGGCCAAGAAGTGATTCTGGCCTAAACACGGAGCAGGGCGGGTGCAGAAGGAGAGAAACAGAGAAGGACAGGGTTACTTCTCCCGCCCCGCGGGACGCGCCCCCACCCTTCGCCCCTCCCCCCGCTCGCAGGCTGATCCAGCACCGAAGACGCCACGTGGCCTCAGCGACTGCTGGACCCTGCCTGGGGGCGGACGGGCGCCCGAGCGCGCGAGAGGTCACAGGCCGGGATGACAACGACCGGTAACAGGAGCCGACGTTTCCCAACCGATGGGCTCGGGGAGGGGTGACCCGCGGCCCACCCCCTGCCGCAGGGACCGGGCGGCAGCAGGGCCTGCCGCGGCCACAGGCGGAGCGGCGGGGCGCGAGGTGAGGGGGGCGTGTGCACGGGCCGCGCGTGCGACGGCGTGTGGGGTGGGGGGCTCTGTCTCGGACAAGCGTCCCCTGCAGGCCTAGCGCCACGCGGGGCTCCTCCCGTGCATCCCTGAGGAACCGGCCCGGGGCAGAGGCGTCCTCAGGAGGGATGGCGTCTGTCCCCCGGGTGGGCGGGCGGGGGCCCCTCTGGAGTTGGCTCTGTGCAGGGGCCGCAGCGGAGCTGCGGGACCACGAATGGGGGAATGAGTGAGCGAGCGAGGGTCACCCCTGAGGAGCCGTGTGGCCGGCTCCAGGGCAGAGGTGCAGAGCCCCGGCCGCCGCGGGTCCAGCTGCTGTAGGGCAGAAACCGGGCCGGCCTGTCCCCAGGTTGCACGGGGCTCTCCTCTGAGCTGCCTCGGGCAGGAGCCGGGAAGGGGTGTCCAAGGGGCAGGGGGAGGGGGGCAGGAGGGGGAGGGGGGGGGAGGAGGGGGGAGAGGGAGGAGGGGGAGGAGGGGGAGGGGGAGGAGGGGGAGGACGAGGAGGGTGTCTGGCCCACCTCCTGCCTCTCGGGACTCCCAGTCCTCTTGCTTTGCTTTCCAAATATGCAGCTGTGGGGACAGGCTCAGAGGGCGGCCTCATCAGGGGCAGAACCAGAGAGGTGGGCAGGTGCTCCCTGGGCCTCAGCCTCGGCCTGACCCTTCCCTCCTGCGGCCCAGGCCACCAGGCAGGGGGTGGCTACCTGCACAAGGCTGTGGCCGCGGCCTGAGCCCAGGCTCCCAGCCCGTGGACACCGGCTGGTCAGCGCATGGGCAGAGGAGGGGGCGGGGCCGCTCAGCACCCCAGGCTGCTGCTGCCCCCATACCACCACTGGATTCCCAGGTAGGGGGGTCCCGGCAGTTGTCCAGCAGCGAGGCCATTTGCAGAGGACAAGCAGTGGCAAAGGGGTGAGGAGCAGTGTCTTTTGCGCCCGCCTCTCCTCCTGGGCCCTTCCCGGCTGGAAGGCCCTGAGGTCAGATTTCCCTGAGCTCCCAGGCTCTGCCAAGGAGCCTCCTGGGAGGCAGGCGGCCAAAGGTTTGGCTCCCTGGTGGGGGGAGCACACGTGACAGAGGCCCTCAGGTGGTCCCCGTCCCTGCGGAGCCCCTGCTCCTGCGAGCGCCCCTTGGCTACAGGGAGATTTAGGGATGGACCGGGGCCTGCGGGGCTGCCCCCTCCCCGGAGGACAGTGCCAGGCGCAGAGGCCCCTAGGTGGCTGGACGGCAGGCTGCCTGCCCTGCTGGCCCGAGCCTGTGTCCTCACGGGTAGCCCGGCCTCTGGGGCCCGGGCACCCTCGCGCAGGACAGCTGGCCGTCCGAGAGGGACCGGTGGAGGGGGTCTGTCCAGGCCAAGGCAGAGAGCACTGTGGCCTTCCTTGCTAGAGGCCTTGTCCCCTCACCTGTCCTGGGCCACAGAGGGCCCAGCTTCAGACTCACGCCTGACAGAAAGCAACACATGTCTGCCATGCCTGCCCATCTACGCACACATGCTCGTCCAGACGTCGGTCTGTGTGCACACGCCATCTGCACACCTGTCTGTCCGCGCACACGCCATCCGCACACCTGTCTGTCCGCGCACACGCCATCCGCACACCTGTCTGTCCGCGCACACGCCATCCGCACACCTGTCTGTGCACGCACACGCCATCCGCACACCTGTCTGTGTGCACACGCACACACACACACACACCCATTCCCACTGTCCACACACAACTCCCACCACTGAGGTGAAGCTTGTGAAAGACCAGAGGTAACTTAAATTGACACCCACAAAATTTTAAGGGACTTGAACTTTGCCGACAAAAACTCTACTAAACGAAGTTCTGTGTCCTGACTGCCCCCAAGGCAGGGGTTGGGGGGCATCGGCAAGTGCCACCAAAGTAACCCACAGGAAGGACTCGGGCCGATGCCAGCCGCGCAAAGAAGCATCGGGGTCACCTCCGCCCCCAAGCCCTCTCACGGTTTCAGGCGGGTCTGAGGTCAGAACGAGGGTGTCACTTTAGGAGGGAGCTGACTCCCGTTGTTGGAGCCCCAGCACCAGGGGTGAGGGGAGCGCCCGGCCAGTGCCGGTCCCCTTCCGCAGCCCGGCTGCTGAAACTTCCCCCAAGGCACCGGAAGGGCTCCTTGGGGAGGAAGAGCCTCGATTTTGCCACCGGCCCCTTTCTGGTTTTCATTCTGAAAGCGGCCCCCGTGGGAGGGCCGAGCCCTGGGCGGACACTCACCCCCTCGGACTTCTTGTCTGGGAACACACACGTGGCCCCCCCGGCCGTGAAGTTGCAGTAAACCTTGAAGGAGTCCCGGGAGCAGCCTTGGTTCGGGTCGACCCAGTATTCACCTGCATTGCGGGGTGCGGAGGCGTGAGGACTGTGCCCCGACGGTTCCAGAAGCAGCTGCCATTTCCGGTCGGCAGCTGCAACGCACGCCAGGCCCCTGCGCCACCGGCACAGCTTCCTGGGGTTTGTGGGACGCGCTCTGCTCTTCTAACGGGGCCTCCCAGCAAGTTCATTCTGGATGTGGGCCTGCAGGGCGCGGGCCTGGGGCGCAGGGGAGGCGGGGCCCCCAGCAGTGGGTAGAAACGTGGGGACGCACCCATGAACCCAGGAGTTCAGCAGTGGGATCAGAGCCGCCCGGACCACGGGGCCGTCTGGCTCGCAGGAGCGAGGGCAGACTCCCCAGGCAGACGCAGGCCGGGCCCCTCACTTCCCCACGGGTGGCAGCGCGTGAATTCACAGGTGAGAGCCGGAGAGGTGTGTGGGTTCTCATGCCCTGAAATTTAACGGCACGTCCCCGAGCACAACACCTGGTGCGGACATCGGTGCCGGCGCTGGTACCAACACTGATCTGACCCCGACGGCAGCAGCCGCGGCCGATGGGCCGAGCGCATTTACGCGGCGTCTCATCTGACTCTGTCCTCCGGCGAGTCCACGGTCCCATGGGATAGACAGGGACACGCGGCTCAGGGTCGAGCCTGCGCGCGATGCCCAAGCCTAGGCTGGAGCCGGCTGTGGGGCCCCCAGGCCTCGCCCCCTTTCCTGGCCTCGCGTCTCCCCTCCTAGTGCGATGTCCCCGTCAGGTTACTGGGGAGATGCTGGGCACCCCCACTGCGAGGACAGGGACACTGAGGCTGAGTGGGGGCCACGGTGGCCTGGGCCCGGGCCCTCCCCACTGTGCGCTGCTGCACCCCCCGGCCCCGGTCCGCCCTGCGGCGCCGCGCTGCCGCCCTACCGTCGGGGAAGTCGGGGTGGCAGAGCTGCAGGTCCTTGCAGGTGCGCGCTGGGTTCTCCTGTGTGCCCAGCGGCCGCTTCATCTGCTCGATCTCTAGCTTCAGGGAGTTGAGCGAGCCGAAGATCTCCTCCATGCCGTCCGCGTAGTCCACGTAGCTCTCGCCCTCCGCCTCGTCCATCAGCTGGCTGGCGTCGATGTTCCGCCGCGTCCTGGATGCTTGGATTGGCAGGGGCTGGATGACCTCGCCCGGTGGGCCCTGGGGGCGCGAGAGGGTACAAGCGCCGGTGCTGCACACGCCTGTCCCCCTTAGCACGCTCCCCTGCCGCCCACGCCTCCAGACGCCCCACGCCCTGCCCACGGCCAGGCCCGGTCTGTGCCGAGCACCCCACCCTAACCCGCGTCCAGGTGCCCAAGGCCCAGCACCCGCAGGTGCCAGCCTGGCCGGGTGTTCGCGTGCCTGTCCTCAGCCAGACCCACAGCCCGCGGACCTCCTCTTGCCTCTGCCGCCCGGCTCGGGCTGCACGCAGTGGGGCCGCGTTGGCGCTGGCGCAGCGAGAAGGCTTGTCTTCCTGGGGCTATGTCACGAGGCCCCAGCCAAGGGCAAGGACAGGAGTCCAGCTGCACTGCCCCAGGGTGGCATCCCACGGGACTCACTGCCCCAGGGTGGCCCCCCACGGCACTCACTGCCACCCACAGGGCTCCGTCCTGCGCCTCAGGGCCCCGTCTGGGACGGCCCACACGACGAGCATGCGACGCACATACCCGGTGCACACCCACGTGTCTCTCCCTCTCTGCGGCGCCCCCTCCCGTCTCTCTGGCCACGCGGACTCGCCCAGGGAGCCTGCTGGCGGTGGCAGGGCCCTCGGCTCCCTCCCAGGGACAGGCCCCCACGGCTCGCCTCGAGCTCCATCGGCTTCAGGAAGGGAGCCGCCCGGACAGACCCTCCCACGGTGCCCTGGGTGTGAGGAGCCGCCCCCCACGCCCAGGCCTTCCAGGGCTGCTCACCGGCGGGCCGGGGGGGCCGGGGTGGCCGGCCTCGCCCTTTGGACCAGTGGGACCCTGGGGAGAAAGAAGAGGAAACAAGTCTGACCCCCACGGCCTGCTGGGGCCACAGTCCCCCTCGAGCGCTCCAGGGTCCCCAGTGGCTCGTGTGGGGAGGATGGAGGGACGACCCCACATGCTGGGGAGGATAGTCGCTCCCTGCTCCCCTCTGAGGCCCCCCGAGACAGGAACTCAGGGGGACAAGGGCCTTTCTGTGAGGCAGGGCGCAACACCTCCCGTCCATCAAGATAAGCCCAGCAACGGGGTTTGGGGTGGGAGCCGGGGGAGGAGGGTGTCCAGGGCGGGAATCTCCCGGGGGCGCGCCCTCCCCTGAGGCGGCGTTGGCGGGGCCCCCACTTACCGAGGAGCCCTTCGCGCCTTTCGGACCAGGAGGACCCTGCAGAGAGCGGGGCAGAGCATCAGCGGGGCCGGGGTGGAGGCCCACATCCCGCACGCGAGGCAGCCTCCACCCCTCCTCAGCCGGGTGCAGCTGGTGCTCGCACACACAGGGGTAGGGGGTCCTGTCTGCCCCAGGTCGGCCCCCAAGCCCTCCAACCCCCTGGCCGGGAAATCCCCGTTCAGGCAGCAGAAGCTGGAGGGCAGCGCGGGCGCGCCAGCCCTGGGCCTGACACAGAGCCCTCCGGCCCCGCAGGCCGCTGGCAGCCGGGGGCAGTTTCCGGCCGGCTGGGGGCACCTCGGCCCTGCAGACCCTGCCTTGGCCCAGGTGAGCACAGAGGCCGGCTGGGTTGGGCAGGTAAGGATGCCGGGCCGCGGAGAGGCTTTGCAGAGCTGGGTCTCCCAACGACATGGGCGGCCCGGGCGGGGGCCTCGCCGCAGGGCCCCCAGCCCCTCCTGTCCAACCGGGCCGGTCCTGCTTGGTGTGTGTGTGTGGGGGGTGGCAATAAGGAGGCTCCCTGCCCCCAAGTGCCTGCAGGGAAAGCCACGTTCCCTGAACCGCCCAGGGACGGAGCCCCCTGCCCAGCCTCCCTCGCCTGAAACCAGGGCCACTTCCTGGCTTCCTTCGCTCAGAGCCCCCACGTGGAGCGATGAGGAAACCCACTCCGGGGCCCGCCCCCAGGTCTCACGCTGCCTGGGGAGTCACCTGCCGCAGAGGCCCAGGGCTGGCCCGCCCCCTCCCTGCTCCCCGCCGGCTGCACGGGGCCCACGCACCCCTCCCAGATACGCACCGGCAAGCCAGGAGGACCCGGGGGGCCGATCGGGCCGGAAGGACCAGGGATGCCCTGTGAAGGAGCAGAGAGCGCAGTTACCGTCGGACGAGGAGGGGCCGTGGGGCTGCGCGTCCCGGCATCGCAGTCCACGGCCGCGTACCCCCGACGGCCGCCCTCCGACGCTCAGGGCACGCGTGTGCCCTGTGACCGACAGGCGGGGCGGAGGCCTGGGGCCCTCAAGCGGGGAAGGCGAAGGAGACGGCAGCTCTGCCTCAGGGTGACTGCCCTCCTGTGCCCCGCCCTCCCGGCAGGGCTCCCGCGGCTTGCGGGGCGCAGCTCTGGGGCTGAGGCTCCTTCGCTGGGCTTTGCGGGGCCAGGTGCGCAGCCCGAGGGGCAGGTGCACACGTCCCTGCGACCCTGGCCGGCAGGGCTGGGAATCGCCGTTGGCCTCGGGCAGTGAGCTGCATCAGAGGCTCCTGCACGCAGGTGGCACGAAATATCCGCACCTCTGAAACCACTGTGGCCACAAGCAGGGGGCCCCGCCACGGTGAGGGCCCCGGCTCCCTGGGCACCGGGAAAGCTGTCCCCTCAGCACTTTCGTCTCGGCTAGAGGGACCTGGGTGTCCCGTATCCTGGCTCTAGTGCCTGGCGTTCGAGCACAGGGGGCTGCCCGCGCAGAGCTTGGCCGGGACGGCCAGGCCACGCACCTGCTCTCCCTTCGGGCCGGAGGAGCCCTGCGGGCCGGGGAGGCCGCGGTCGCCCTTTTCGCCTTGCTCCCCGGGAGGGCCGATGAGTCCGATCAGGCCGGGGTGACCCTGCAGGAGACAAAGGCGTGAAGGGCCGCGTGCAGAGGGCACAGGTCACGGCCAGGATGACCGTTATCTGCCTGGCGTGCGAAAGAAAAATCCTCCGCACACATGCACACGAGATGGCTGCGTTCCCTGAGCCCACAGGTAGTTCCGGAAGGGTCCTCATGCTTTCGTTACATTGGGGGGTGAGTTGGGCATCAGAGGGGAAAGACAAAGACCCCACATCGCCTCTTTCCACACAGTTATCCGGCTTGTGGGTGCGCCTGGTGCTTATAAATAAACCGACGTTGGCACAGGAAGGTCGCCCCCCGTGAGAGAAGATGGGATGCTTGCACCCCCTCCCGTGAGTTCCCCCGCGCACTTCCCGCGGGCGGGATCGGAGACCCCGCGACAGAGCGAGTGTCTCCTCTCGGGGCCTGGACACCGTTCCCCTGGGCCCCCTGTGCTGCCTGGGCCCCGACGGACGCAGGGACAGCTCAGACTCGCTGCATTTGAAGCCACGGGGCGCAAAGTGCCCGAGTCCAACGCCGCGGCACCTGCGTGCTACTCACCTTTTCCCCTTTGGGGCCGGAGTCTCCTTTGAGGCCGGGGAGTCCTGGGGGACCCTGCGGGGGAGGGTTGGGGTCAGGTTCTCGCCCCGCCCCGCCCTGCACCCCTGCGGGGGCTCCGTGGGGACGTCACTCACCATGGGGCCAGGGGGCCCATCGGGGCCTGGGGATCCCGGGAGACCTTGCTCACCCTGAAACACAGCCGGCCCCCCGAGTGAGCTCCGCCGTCGCCAGGCCTGGACCCGCGCCGCCCCTCGCCCGGCCTCCCGGCCCACTCACCACAGGGCCGGGGATCCCGCGCAGCCCGTCAGGCCCAGGTTTCCCAGGGGCCCCCTGGGGGCCGATGGGGCCAGTCTTCCCAGGAGGGCCTTCCAAGCCGGCTTCCCCCTGCAGGGCGGCAGGGCGAGCAGGGTGGGACCCACGTGCCAATGCCCTGGTCCCGAGTTTGCGTGGACACGGCCACTGTTTCCTGAGCAGGCTCGGGGCCAGCGGCGGTCACCACGGTCCCAGCCGTGGCAGGTATTTCCAGGAGGGGCGGACGGCGCACGGGGTCCCGGAGGACTGCCCCCGAGCATCCTGGGTGCCTGGCCGCCAGCTCACGGGGCGGGGGTCCCGGCATGCCGCCCTCTCAGGCCCCCTCCAGGGGGCGCTGCTGTCACCTTGCCGCGCAGGTGAGCCAGCCGCGGCGTGGCCAGGTCACACGCCAGCCCGAGGTCACACACGCCCGGGTCTCCTGCCACTGGCACCCGCTCCCCCTCCCTTGGGCTGGCGGGTCAGGCTGGCACCAGGGCCCTGGACCCCTGCCCCCGAGGGCACCCGCAAGTCGCTTCCGATTTGGAAAAGACGGGCGGTCTGGCCCAGGTGAGCCGGGACAGCCAGGCCGCCCAGGGCCGCAGCTCCGCCCTGCCCCGCGGCGTTCCTGAGGCCAGCCACGCCACTGCCTCCCCGCCAGCAGGCCCGCGCCTCTCTCTGGTGGCTCCCCGCGCACAGCCAGGGCCAGCCGAGCGTGCGTTACCTTGGCTCCTTTCTCTCCCTGTCTGCCTTCGGGGCCGGCGGGCCCAGGGGGACCCTGGAACAGGCGAGAGAAACACGCGTGCTGAGCTGGTGGCGGACGCCGAGCGCGGAGCGCAGCGTCTGCGGGGAGACCGGCCTGGGCGGGGGGCAGCGTGGAGGCTGCGCCCGCGCCCGGGCCAGTGCGCCCTGGGAACGAGCCCGAAGGGCTCCGGGCTGGCAAAGGCCTCCGGGTCAGCGTGGGGCGGGGGCGGGGGGGCACGCCCGGCGGCCGTGAGCTCCGGGCGAGCCGCCTCTCCTTGGTCCCACACCCAGCGGCTCGGTTTTGGTGATACCAGCAAAAGACTGATTATTCAATGTGCAGCTTGCTCTGGGTTTTTCAGAAGATCTGGCCCCGGGGAAAAGGCGTTTCCAGCAACGTGGGTGTCTCTCTCCCACGGTGGCCATTACGGTGGAGTCAGCACTTGGCTTCGCCTCAAAGGCGCGGTGCACCGACCCGCAGGTCGGAGGTTTGCTGACAGGGCGGGAGGCCGTGTGCAGAACGCACTTCACGTGGGGGCAATTGGCACCGAGCGCGGGGCGGGGGCGCAGGAGGAAGGCTTCATGTGGCAAGTTGGTGGGAGGAGAGGAGTTTGCAGAATTACTTACCCTCTTTCCTGGAGGCCCAGACGGGCCAGGTTCTCCAGTGGGGCCCGGGGAGCCCTGGAGTCAGAGAAAGAATGCAGCGTCGAGGAGCCGGGTCTGCGGGGCGCAGGCGGCAGGTGCGGGCCAGTCCGAGGCTACGCCAGCACGCTGCGTGTCCATCGGCTCCGCCCCCGGCAGCCCCGGCCCTGGCCCCTCGTCCCCTGGAGCTGGCACACCAGGTCCTGGGGGACGTTGCTCTGCAGGTCTCTGCTTTGACCTCCGCACATCGTGGCGCTGGCCGTGGCGGCGTGGGCGGCCGGGCCTGCGCCCCACCCGACGTGCGGCTGCGGCTGCTGCGTTTGGAAGAGCCTGCCCCACCCCACTGCGGTCACCCCGACACTCGGCGGCGGGCTCCACCCACACCGCCACCCGCGAGCACCGCCAGCAGCGGGAGTGGATGCTCAGGCCCAGGGAGGACACAGGTCGTTCCAGGTCCCCAGCCAGGGCTTCGCGGTGGGGACCTGGCACAGAGCCGGCAGCCCTGACTGCCCTTGCTCACTGCTCCCCTCACGTCAGTGACATCAGCCTGTGCCCGCGGGCGGAACGTGCCCAGCAGCATTTGCACACGGGGCAGGGTGGGGGTGGGAACTGTGAGGACTTGGGGTCGTCCCCACGGGGCGTCCCACGCGTGGGGCACTGGGCTCCACTCCCTCCCAGGGAGCCCCGTTTGAAGCCACGTTTCAAACACTCAGCGTGAGGTGTGAGAGGCCACACCGAGTGCAGTCCCAGCTCAAGCGGCCGCCATGGGCACAGCCCTTTCAAGGAGGGATGTTCGACCCAACTAAGTGGTGACCAGGTAACCCTGAGGCCCGCGGTGGGGACATGGGGCAGGTCGAGGACTCCCCAGCAAGACCAGCGGGTGCTTTTCCCTCTGGGAACAGGGTCCCCGCTTTCAACAGACCCTCAGAGGGAGGCTGGGGCCCTGTCTTGGCCAAGGATCAGTGTCACAAGGGGACTGGGTTTGGGTTTTCTCAGACACGGGCAACACAGGCTGCAGGTCCCCGGGGCGCACCCACGCCCGCCAGCAGGACCCCTGGGGTGAGGGCGGACTCACCGTTTGCCCGGGCTCGCCATCGTCCCCTTTGTCCCCAGGGGGACCATCCTGACCCTGCGGGAACAAGAACAAGTCCCTTCAGCCTCCTGAGTCCACGCACTAACACCTCAGCCCCGCCCCGAAAACCCAGCCCCATCCAGTGGGGCCGGGACACAGCACGTTCAGAAGTGGGGACCCGTTTCTCCATCCGATCGCCAGAACGCGGCACCATTTGGGAGGTGCCGTATCCCAAAGGGAGTTCACGAGGAACAAACAACAACGGGACGGCACAGGCCGGTGGGGACGGCGGGGGACGGGGGCCCCGAGCACCTACCGCGGGGCCGGGCTCTCCGGGGGGGCCTGGGTCTCCGGGAAAGCCGACGGGGCCCTGAAACAGAGAGAGGCGTGTCCAGGCCCTCGGCACAAGGCCCGGGCGGCGCTGCGTGAGGGCCGCCTCCCGCCAGCCAGCCCCCAGGGCACGCTGAGCGCGCTGAGCCGGCAGGGCCCTCCGCAGCCCGGGCGCCGCCGGGGCAGCAGCCCCCGTGAGGCGCCCGAAACGCCCGGGAGCGGCCGGCCGCGGGGAGGGTCCGTGGGCCCGGAGCCCATGCCAGCGCACCGCCTGCCCCGCTCCGCGGCTGGGCGCAGACCTCCAAACGGGCAGCTTCCCCGGCACGTGCGGTGGTCGGGCGGCTTTGGGGCCCGCAATGAACAGGGACGGTCGAGACGCAGGGCCCCCACCCCAGCTCCGGGCACAGCGGCCTCTCAGGGCTACTCACGGGGCTGCCCTTGGGACCGTCATCTCCGGGGGGGCCCTTGGGTCCAGGGGGTCCAGCAGCACCGGACGGGCCCGCCTCGCCCTTCTCTCCCCTTTCTCCTTTGGGTCCCTGTGGGAAAAGGCCAGTGCCATGTGCCCGGAGCCGACCTCGCGGCCTCCCCGAGCTGCGCCCCCTGGCGGCATCGCAGGGAGGGACTGCAGCCCTCTCTCCTGGGTCATTGGAGCCCGGCGAGGGCCAGGGGCGTGGCCGGGTGGGGCTCCGCAGCTGCCTGGGCTCCCCATGGGAACCTGGCCCCGCTGGCACCCCGCCCCCCGTGGCCTGGGAAGCCCACTGGCTCTCTGGGGTCCCCTGAGGCTGAGACTCTGTCTCTAGAAGGCAGGGACAGACCCCTGGACCGGGCAGTGGGCACCGCAGACCCAGGAGGGACAGCCTCCCTGCAGCCCGCAGGCGGGCGGAGCGGCTGCACACCCAGATCGTCGCCCACAGGCTGCCTCCTGGACACCCCAGGGAGGCCTGGAAGGACTCGCATTGACCTGCAGGGGCCTGGTATTCCAGGTCTGCGCTAATGAGGCGGCAGCTGCCCCACTTTATCGCAGCCCACGGAGGGGCCCGGACATCGTTGCGTGTCTGTCACTAACATGTTTGTGCACATGCATACATATGCAAACATGCGGATATGCACACATGTTCACACATGCAAGCACACCTACACATGCAAACACAAGTGTGCACAAACATGTACACATGCACATGTGTGTATACACACATGTGAACACACACGTGCTCCCTCTTTTTTGCAGTGTCCCTGAGGTAGGCACCAGAGGACATGTGGCTCCTGTTTACGGGTGGGGGCACTGAGGCAGAGTAGGGCCCCCCACCCTGCCCCAGGCCCCGCGGCCTTGCCCCCCGAGCCCCGCACTCACCGGGGGGCCCCCTTCTCCAGGAAGACCAGGCTCGCCAGCCTCGCCAGGCTCGCCCTGAGGAGGGAACACAGAGGTCACAGCGCGACAGGAGCATCTCACGGCCTCCCGGACGCCAGGCACCAGGCGGGCGACCGGGGTGAGTCAGCGGTCACGGCCCTTCAACGGCTCCCGGGAGGGGAGGGGCGGCTCGCGAAGAACCCAGCGGTCGTGGCCCGGGGCGAGGCGGTGACGCCACAGGGGCAGGTGCAGACTGCGTGGGTGCGCTGGGCGGCTCCCCCGCGGGGGCTTTGGAGGGCAGCTGTGACACGCTCGGGGGTGGGGCAGGGGACGCCGTCCATGGGGACAGCCGGGCAGAGACAGAGAAAACCACACGGCGCCCTCCGGGGCGGGGGCAGCGGACGGGGCGGGGGGTGCTGGCAGGTTCGGGGATGCGGGCCCCGGGCGGGGCGGAGGCTGCTGAGGGAGAGATGCGCGGGGGCAGCGGCAGCGCGGGGCCTGGTTTGCCGTCGCGGAGAATGGAGCCTTCTCCTGACCTAACGGCGGGCGTCTGAAAGGCAGTTCTGGAAGCGGCGCCCGGGGAACGCAAATGGACGGAAGCACCATGCCTTCCTTTTAGCCCCAGGAGCGAGGGTCAGCGCTTTAAAAGCTGTGGGCGCCCGAGTGCGCGGGGGAGCCGCTGCGAGTGCCGCTATGCCCGCCGCATGCCGGCGAGAAGCGTGCACACAGGCGTGCGCCCACACGAGCAGGCGTGCTCGCTGTCAGCCGGCGAGGACCCTGGGCTAGGGGCTACACGGGGCAACACTTCTCCCTCGCGAGCAATGGGGCGACCGGCCTCGGCCGGTGGTTTATCACTCGCGAGGCTGCCGCGCGGGAGGGCACAGTCCCCAGTCCCACTGCCCTGTCTTCTGAGCGTCTCACGGCGCCGGCCAGGAGCAGCCCGGCAACGCGCCTGCACATCTCCAGGACCCAGCTGGACACACGCACAGCTACGTGCATGCGGACACACGACAGTCCCCACCCCCGCGGGTTCGTCTCACACACGCGCGCCTCGGACACAGTGACAGTCAAGGGGTGTGCGTCACCTTCTCTCCCACTGCACCAGGATTGCCTATTCCACCGGGGGGACCTTGAGGCCCGTCAGCACCTGGCGCGCCAGAGGGTCCGCGGGGGCCGGGGGGACCGGGCGGGCCCTAGGAGAAGCAGAGCCGTTGAACACAGGGAAACGCACGCTTTTACGGAAACAGCCATCGGCCGCCGCGGCCCGGCCCCGGGAGGACTTACCATCTGGCCCACGTCTCCCGTCTCGCCCTTCTCTCCCGGGGGTCCTGGCAGGCCCTGAGGACAGGAGTGGCCAGAGCTGAGCAGGGCGGCGCGGCCCCACGCGGCACGCACGGCCCTGGGGCTCCCAGCACCACGCCACCGCAAGCGTCAGGAGCCTGGGGAAGGCGCCCCTAAGTGCACCACTAACTAGGGGGTCCCAGGATCGGCCCGAGGAGATGCTGAGAGATGCGAAGACTGAGGGGCCAAGGGCTCCTGCAACGCCCCACGGGACAGCGACTCCGAGCGAGCCTGCGGCGGGGGAACGCTGGCAGTCACTCTATCACCCCCGGCTGCAGCACCACGCAGTGACCGGAATCCCGTTTCCAAAGGTAAGTGCAAACCGGCGTGGTCAAAGGATATTTAATAACACTCACACGACACGCGATGTATAGAGTGGTGGGAAAAGCGGGGTCCCCGCTTCCTGCCCACGCGACAGGATTTGATTTTGCAAAAACCCAAGAGTCATGTGTGAGCACAGGCGTGTGTGAATCCACGCACTGGAAAGGATGGACAGGAAACGCGCCCAAGTGGGTACAGCTGCCGTTCCCGGGTGGGACGTTTGGAAGTCATTTTTGTTGTCTTACAATGTATCAGGAGTTACCAGTGTTTCTGCTGTGACCAGGGAAATCAGCGTCACAGATCAGAGGTCAACGTGGGCACAGCCGGGACTAGGAATCGGCAGCGCTTCCTGTTTATGGGGGAGCCGAGGGGGGTCCTGCAGCCCAGCCTTAGGGTCCTCATTTCCAAAAAGACAGAGGAGGGGCAGCAAGGGAGGCGAGAGCAGGGCAGGGGGGCGGGGTGGGGGCGGGGCGGGGAGGGGACGGGGGCAGGGCGAGGGCAGCACGGCAAAGACGCAGCAACCGCCCGAGGCCGACACCAGCCACCGCGCGAACTCCGCAGTTACCTGCAGCCCCACGGGTCCAGGGGGCCCAGGAAAACCTCTTGGACCTTCGTCACCCTTCTGCCCAAAAAGGCCCTGCTGGCCCCGAGGCCCTGGCTCTCCGTCAGCTCCCTGTGGGGAGACAGTGGAACCAGCGGGTGAGGACCGGTTCCCGGTGCCCAGCAGCTCCGGGGCGGGGGGGGGCGGGGGCTGTGTGCGCGTCCCGAACCGCAGATACTCACAGAGGGGCCTGGCTGTCCGATGGGGCCCTGAGGACCCGTGGGCCCAGGCGGACCCTGTGGGGAGAAGGCAGGCACAGCTGCTCACCGAATCCCAGGGGAGGCCGGGGGGCGGGCGGCGGGGCTGAGCAGGGCAGGGCAGGCGGCGGGCGCCCCAGGTCATCGGCTCAGTCCCCACAGGCGGCCGTCCTGCAGCTCTGGATCTGGAGACACTCTCAGTTCAACCCCGAAGCATGTTGCCACCAAAACCCTGCTAGAGGCCACCGAGCCTCCGCTTGGCTCCCACCGCGCACCCACGACGCGGGTCACTGGGGCCCCGCTTTGCCGACGTGGTCGGGGAGCACGCAGCTCCTCCGTGGCCGAGCTGGGGCCCGGCTGCAACATCCGGGCCTGACCCGGGACCCCCGTCCCTGTGCGCGTCCCCAAACACACCTCGCTGTTGGCACGGGGGGTGTGTGAGGCTGGGAGGCAAGGGACGCAGGGCACGGCTGTCCAGGAGGGCCGACCAGCACCGGCAGGGGCCCCCGCAGGGACGCGCCCACCCGCTGCCGGGGACAGACGCGCCTGGTGAAAGGGCGTGTGCGTACGGCAGGCTGGACACGTGCCATGACCCCCGGGAGGGGCCGCTGGCTGAGGGACAGGGTTTGTGCGAGAACACGCTAGTGTTTAACAATGGAAAAAGTGGGGACAGCGGGGAGGCGTGAGGTCGTGCTGCTGCCCCCGTGGGGTGCCCGCCGCTCTCAGCAGGGCGGGGCGAGGGTGGGGTGGGGCGGGGTGGGGATGTGGTCATGCCCCAAGGGCTGAGACCTCTCAGACAGAAGTGCTTGGTCTCTATTTCCCAGAATCCACAGGCACTCCCTGTTCTGGTGCTAACACAGGATCCCCGCAGGATGGGCGCATGCCCACAGTGGTGCGTTCCCACACACGAAGCATGTTACATCCGTGCACACATGTGCACACACGTACACACACGGGGCCTCAGCAGGAACAGAAGACGTCCGCTGTCCTATCTGTTCTCAGCTCCTAGCGTTGCCCCGTTCATCACAGTCACAAGTGTCGGCAGAGACCACCCATCACGCTGTGCACGCGGCTCCGTGCCACGGCCGCCCCGCCATCGGCACCGGCACAAGCCCTGCGTGGTCCTTACCTGTTCTCCTTTGTCCCCCTTGCTCCCCTTCTGTCCCGGCTCCCCGATCTCTCCCTGCGGGAAGATATGGAAGAGCGTCAGCCTGCAAACCGTCTGGACCTAACCTCCTCCTCAGAACTCGTTCTTCTTGGCCATGAAGAGTGACCGCCCGCTGGGGGCGGGGCGGGGGGGTGGCAGATTTCCCAGAGGACACGCTTCCTTACATGAATTTAATTTCCTTTTTAATATGAGAGCTGAAAGGGACAAAGCCAGGCCCTGGCGCGACACAGAATGCAAGCGGATTTGAAAACGCGATAAAATCATAACGACAATATTTACTCTGCTTGTTGGGCTGGCTGACAATCACAGGCACCTCGACTACGGAGCTTCCGAAGAAGCGATCCCCGCCCCCGCTAGCACCCTCGGAGGGCCGCGAGGCGACAGCGTCGGAAACGCCACCGGCGAGGACAGAGAGCACGCGGCTGGCTCATCCTTGTCATACGCGGAAAGCGAAACCGAGGTGCTTGATTGAGCGTCTTCATTAAGCGAAGCACCAAGTACCAGCTGCTTCAGGAATAGGAGGCAGCCCCCACAGCAGGCCCCGCCGCGGCCACGGAGCATTTAAAAGTAGAAGACGAGCAAAAGCGCGCTGACCCGGGGTCAGGACGTGAAAGGGTTCGGGGAGCGGCCTCTTTCCCCGGCTCTGCGGCACCCGGCGCGCGCAGCACCCAAGACGGAGGCAGATTCTAAGCCCTCGCAAGCTCGTGAATCAAGCCGATGGCGATATTTATTATCTCAGAAATAGAAACGGTGTCATTTGTCGCGGCTTACGCCAGAGCCATTCCACCATCGTCCCCACAGGGAATGCGCAGGGTGGGCCCGGGCTCGCCCGGAGCCCCCGTGCGGCCGCTCCCCTTGCTTAAAGTGGCCGCCTGGCCTCGACCAGCCAGCACCGGCTGGCTCGGCCGGGGTGGTACGAGGGCGGCAGGGCGCTGGGCTCTCCTTACCTTATCTCCGTCTTCTCCAGGGGGGCCCACAGGGCCGGCCGGCCCGGGGAGCCCAACGGGGCCCTGGAGACCGTCGCGGCCAGCTGGGCCTTGTGGCCCTTTCTCGCCCTGAAGTGGAGAGAGGACCTGTGGTCAAACACCGTCGCCCCCCAGGGCGGGGCCCGCGAGCGGGGGCGGGCAGTTCCCAGGGAGCGGCCACGTCCGCCATCCTGATGACGCCAGCCCGCACCCCCACGTCCCTGCATCAGTGCACCCCACCCAGGCCCGACCTGGGAGGCACTATGTGAGCAGAGGGGAAACTGGGGGGGAGCAGAAGAGCCAGGACGCACCCCCGCCGAGCAGATCCCCACGCGGTGGGCAGGGCCGCCGGAGCCTGGAGACCAGGAGGGCGGAGCCCCGGCCTCCGCAGCTTTGCCGCCCTCAGCGCTCTGCGCACAGTGCCCTGCCGAGCCCACACGTGCACTCACAATGCACGCGCGCCGAGGCACACCTTACACACTCGTACACGCACACGTTTTCACACGCCCACACATCACAAGCATGCACGCACGCACGTCCACCGTCTTCCTTCCCTCGTAACCTTGGCTCATCCTCCCGAACGCTGCCCCTTGACGAAGGTCCTCACTGAGCTCTTGCTTTGCTCGGCTGTGCCGGTCACCGCATCGTGCTGGGCGGCTGGGCTGCTCACAGCCGAGCCGGCCGCCCCTTTCCTCCCCAGCGGGCGCTCAGAGCGAGGGCATGCGTGTGGGTACGGGTGCCCAGAGGTGCCACCGGCCGGCGCCAGGACTCCGAGCCGCTGTCCCCTGTGCCACGGCGCCCCCCTGCGCGAGCCCTCTGTCCACGCGTCCCTCTCCGCACACCCCCCTCTCCCTGACTGGCTCCCACCCTCAATGAGCCGATGGCGCCAGGTCCCTGTGCTGGGGGCCTCTGCCTCTGGTCACCGGCCAGGCGGCCCCGCTGGGAGACGCCTGACCTCCGCCCGACCTCTTCGCCTCTCTGCTGCCATTCCGGGGAATGACAAGCTTCCTGTGGGACTGTTACTCTCGAGGAGTCTCTGTCCAAATATTTACTCTCTTCAAACGATAAGCCAAACGGTTTCCAGCTGCACTGGTGGGACCTTGATGCGCACCGAAGGCTCATCAAGAGCCCGATTTCCCACACAGTCGGCTGGACCAACGTCCCCCAGGGGCCTCAGCGGAAATGATCAGGTGCCATGAAATGGCCAACACCACACGAGCGGAGCCCGATGGCCCAGGAGTTCCCAGCGTGGCTTTGGTGGGGGGTCCTCACCTGGGGAGGTGACCGGGGCCCTCTCTCTACCCACAAGCCTCTCAGAGCAGAACGCACAAGGAAACGGCACTTTTTAACAAAAACCAATCAGCCCACGCGTCCCTGCTCCATCGGAGACCGGCGACATTGACAGCATTTGCCGGCTGCCCCGGAACTCGGCTCACGCTGACATTCTGAATTCGGAAGGGACGTCTGAGCTGAAACCTGTCCCCACAGCTGGCTGGACGCAGGGAAGGTGCCATTTGCAAAATTGTATGGCAGCCAAACATGGGGACGAGGGTAGGTCGAAGTGAGGGTGTCTGTGGGTCACGGGCGGGGGGACACGGCACAGGGAAGGAGGGGCTGGCAGCGGGCGGCCCGGGGGGTTCCTTCACAGCCTTCAAGGCTCAAGACCCCCCATCTGGGAGGCCTCGCGAAGCCCCCCCACTCTTGGGGTTCACGGAGGCGGGGGTCATTGGAGGCGCAGAAAGAAGCTTCCCATCTTCCCAGCGCACGTCCCCTGTCCTCTCTCCCCGCCTGCCCCAGTCCTACCGAGGAAGCACCTGTCCCAAAGGCCCACCTCTGTCACACTAAGACAGCAGAGAGGGGCCGTGGCCCATCCACGAGTGGCGCCCGCAGCCTGGACCGGACGGAGGCCGGGGGCGTGTTTGGACGCGCCTCCCCCAGCCCCCCGCCCCCCGCGCCTGCAGGTGCTGGGGGCACGATGGCAGACACGACAGGCAGATCCTTGCCCGGCACGCTCCCCGGCCCCCCGCCAGCTCGGGAAGTGCGAGGAAAGCCCCTGGGGCATGGGGGACCCCGTCCCCCGGTCCGGAGCCCGGGAACACACACACACACGTTCCTGGAGGATGACTTCAAACGCCACCCCTCCCACCTCCCACGAAGCCCCCGGGAAACGCCCGTGGCGGGGGCCGGGGCGCCCCCTCCGATGTGGTACTCACAGGCGCTCCTTTCTCCCCGGCGGGCCCCGGAGGTCCCTGGGGCCCGGGCCTCCCTGGAATTCCGATGGGCCCAGCGGCTCCGGCTGGACCTCTCTCCCCCGGAGATCCCTGGGGCGGGGCGGGGGGCAAGAAACAGGCTCATGCTCTTGAGCTGCAGGGCGGACTCCCCACAGCCCCGCCCGGCCACACCGGCCGCCTCTCAGCCCGGTGCCCACCGCCGCCCCGGGGGCCCTTTGTGAGCACCAACCGCCCGGTCCAGCGTCTGAGGCTCCGTGCGTCTGACATGTGTGCGCCCCCCACCCCAAATGACCAGGAACTCCGCTCTTTAAGGGCACCCCTGAAGCGAGTCCTTCCCGGAGCGGCCCCCCACCCCCACAGCGGGCCCGTCTCCCCGGCCGAGTGCGTTCTGAGCAAGAGGCCAGTGCCACTCACCGCGGGGCCTGGCGGGCCAGGGGGCCCCTCGTTGCCTTTCAGCCCGACTGCTCCCTGCAAAGCAACAAGCCCGCAGTCAGGGGCACTGCAGAGAGGAGCCCCAGGGTGGGCAGGGTCCCCTCCAACCCCGCCTGGCCCCTCACTCACCACTGGGCCAGGCAGCCCCCGGTCCCCAGGGAAGCCACGCAGTCCTGGGGGGCCGTCTTTCCCAGGGAGGCCGACGGGGCCTGGGTCCCCCTGAAATCAGAGCCACAGGTTGGTTTCTGAGCGAGGCCTGGGACCAGGGTCTATGGGAGCGGGCGGGTGTGGGTTTCCTGGGCGCTTGGCTGGAATGCGATCCGAGTTCTGACTTGACTCGGTGGCAGTGGAGCCGTGCTCTGTGAGGTCCGCTGTGTGTGGTTCTGGGGACCGGCTCTGCCTGCAGCTGCTCCGCCCTGCACCTGCCTCCCCGGGGGGCCAGGGTCCTGGGAGAGGACTCCACGGCCGAAAGGCCGGAAGCCTGGCCCTGGACACACACGCACCCCCTGGAGACCTCTCGTTTCGGGCCCCAAACCACACCTTCTGCAAAGATGTACCCCCTGAGCCTACGTCTTCTTGGAGGTACTTTAAAGCCCTGATCTCTTCTAATATTTTCTCTGGGGCGCAACAGGGCAGCACAGGTAGGGGTCCCCAAACCAGCATGGCCTTGAGCTCCTTTCCAAACTCGGAGAGGTCTCCTTGTGGCTGGGACCCACGCCTATACCTGTATCTATATGTAGACAACATCTACTTATACATTCTACGCACATACACGTCTGTTTTTCAAATACGTATTCAAATATATATATGCATACATATGTATACATTAATTTTTTCACTATTGGCTCTATTTTATTATTAAGTTCACTCTCCTGTGTATGGCCATATAAAAAGCTGGAGAGCTTGTATTTCCTGCGTCTCTTACCGAGAAACTCTGAAGGGAAGGATGACTCATTTGTATGCTAATGCACAGGAATCGGGGCCACCAACAGGGGACTCTGGTTGGAGAAGAGGCTCCCCAAGGAACAGAGAGGGGACGCAGCGCTGGGGCTAGTTTTATCAAAATGCACCTCTCCTCTCTTTCTATTGTTTATTTGTTGTCTCGAATGGTAGGGAATTTTTTAGAAGGTTACTTTATAGAAAACATGGATGTATGAGGAGTCAGAACATTTTATGTGTTTCTGGGAGCAGGTGTGATATCTGAGGGAGAGCTGGGGACAAGACACAGCCCCGGGATTGAAGGGCAGAGACAGTTTGACCCCCAGACAGGACACGGCCCCGGGGTGGAAGGGCAGGGACGGTTTGATCCCCAGACAGGACACCGCCCCAGGGTGGAAGGGCAGGGACGGTTTGACCCCCCGACCCTTTATACCCCTCCCTGTGGTGGGTCAGCTCAAGTCCTCTTTCCAATTAGGTAGAAGCACAGCCAATTTCATGGTGTGGGCAGTGGGTTAACAGAAGGAGCATTTGAGAAATTACACATTTGCCAGCAAAGAGCGGTGGGAAACACACGAAATACCAGAAGGATCCCTGCGGGAGCGTCTGGCCCGGCGCGGAAGCGTCTGAGTAACTCACCTTCGTCCCTTCTTTCCCAGTCAGGCCTGGGAGCCCCTGTTCACCGGGGGGGCCTGGGGGCCCGGGGTGGCCCCGCTCGCCCATTGGGCCAGTTTCTCCGGTGGGACCCTGCGGGGAAAATCAGGGTCAGCCACACATTTCAAGGGCTGCACCAGGGAGTAACTTTCTGTTCCTGAGCCTGAGGACAGCCCTGGCCCGGAGGCAAAGGGCCCACGGCACACCCACGCCCCCACGTGGCTTTGCAAGTCTTCCCCTTCTGGTCAAAACCCAGGAACGAAGAGGTCAGAGCAAACTGGGGGGACGTGTTTGGTGGCCCTTGCCTGGGGCCACGCCGGGGCCCCGCGCTTCCGGGGTCACCACCACCTTCCCTGCAGCCCCGGCGGGTCAGCGCTGTATCTCGCACTCCACGCCATGCCGCGCCCGGGAGACAGGGCAACGGGCCCCGTTCTTGCTCTACGCCCTCGGTCCTGGCTGCAGGCCACCCCTGGTGGATCTGAGGGCAATTAGAACCGCAGGCCCTTGGGCACTGACAGAACCCAGGGCCACAGCCAGGCTGATGTGGACACCACCAGCAAGGACACCAAGCTCCAAGCCCAGCCCCGGTCCGGCCCCCGCTGTCCGCGCGGAGCATGTCTCTGAACAGTGCCGTGCGCTGCCTGGCTTTTGTGTCTCTGTGAGCAGGACCCACACCTTCCAGGCCCCAGGGGTGCTGACCCCTGAGCTGCGAAACGCGGGGGTGGGGGAGGGGCGCTGTAGCTCACCTGTGGGCCGACCACGCCCGGGGGCCCTGGGGGGCCGGTCTTGCCTTGGAAACCCTGTGAAGAGAGAGCGACGCGCTGAGTCGCCGCAGCAGCCCACGCACGCCACACCCACCTGCACAGTCCCCAGTCCTCGCTGATGCCCCACTTCATCGGGGGTGGGGGGGGTGGGGCCCTTTCCCGTGTGCCCTGCTGGCGCTCGGTCACGAAGGTAATGAGGCCAGATGCGTCGGTCCCACCGGCCGCCTCCCACCACTGCGCATTTGTGCTGAGAAATGGATTTTAAAGCTGTTCATCTTCAGAGCATCACTAAATGTGTGTGTTTTCTGAGCAGATGCGGCGCCGTGGACAGCGGCCGGGGGTGGGCCTGGGCACAGCCTCTGGGCCAAGTCTTGAGGGCGACTCCGCGGAGGCTGGCCACTTCTGAGGCGCCCCTGAGGCAGGACAGGCGGTTTCCCTGCTGGACCAGAGGGCGAGCACCGGTGGCCCCGTGCCCCACCCCCCGAGGGAGGGCGGCCGCCTGTGCAGACCTTGGTGATCCCACACTCGGCCCGCGCTGATGCAGCGCCCCAGCACCTCCGGGAGGCCCCTCCACCGCGGGCCCAGCTGGGCTGCTTGCAGTGGGCGAAAAGCGCCATTTTTGCAGTTTTCTCTGCAGGTGGCATTTACAGGGTCTGAAACCCAGGGTGCTGGACGCGTCCTGGCACCCGGCTCAGCGGGCCAGGAAGGAGGTGCCCGCATGGAGGCCGGAGCCGGGGGAAGGCGAGGAAGGCACCCCGTGTGGTCCGTGGTTGGGGACCACCGTGGCTGCTGAGGATGGGATTCGCCCCATGCTGAGAAGGGGGCTTTGGGCTCCGGAGAAGGAACAGCTGGGCTGCTTCCATTTCAAAGGAAGGACGGAGCCGGCGCCCGGGAGGACCTTTCTGGGCAGCGGGTCTGGACTCCGCGGAGGAGGTGTCCGTCCAGGCTGGGTCTGGAGGGGCTGCCCTGCGTTGGCGGGGCGGCCGGCGTGACAGAGGCGGCCAGAGGCGCCTTACGGCTCCCCCACAAGACAAGCAGCTTAGTCGGCCTGCCCCAGAAAGAAAAAAAAGCCCCGGCTCTGCCAAGTCCCCCAACTGCCTCCTCAGAACGGCATTCGAGAAAAACAGGCTCAGCTCAGACGAAATGCTTTCATTTTTCTCTATAAACAATAGAGCAAAGTAATCTCCCTGAATCAGCCACGGCGCCGCTTGGCAGGACACAGAGAAGATGCAATTAAATGAGGTTCCATCACAATGAACCGAAGAGACAAAGGGATTTTTTTAAGCCGGCACCAAAGAACATATTAAACACGGCATCAAACCCTCGCTGCAGGGGTGGGCTGCTCCTCCGGGGCCCTTCAGAGACCTCTGACCTGCGGACCATGGCTGCAGAGGCGAAGACGCCTTCTGTCAACCTGCACTGCATGATGAGTAGGTCACCAGGGCCGGCCTCAGCCTGGACCCTCGAGGCCACAGGTGCGGCCACACCCGTCCCTGGGACACATCTACGACGAACAGTGCGTGAGGCTGGACCAAATTCCAGGCGACTCACGGGGCAGGAAATGACATTTCCGATAAATGCTTTGTCTTAGAACTAGAAATGTTAGACTCCTTTAATACCCAGGTGCCGGAGCCCGCCACGGGCATTGCTAAAGGCCACGGAAAGGTCAGAGGTCAGCCGCGACGGCCAAGACGCTGGGCAGGAGCATGTTGGTGCCCCGGTCCGGCCTGGCGGGCCACCTGTCCCCACGACAACAGAGGCAGGGGAAGGAGCACCCCGCCACCTGCGGTCCACTCGGAGCTGGGAGGGGCTGCCTGGAGGCCGCCAGGGCCGGAGCCGGCCCACGCCCCTCCTCGGGCGGTGTAACAGCCTGAAGTCCCAACTGAGCCCGGAAATGGGGGTCCTTCCCACTGCCTGCTGTTAGAAAACGTGTCGTTCAAGGAGCTGTGCCCGAGTTTGTTCTGAAGGAAGGTTGGCCACACGGGACTCAGGGTGCCTGTGGCATTTCGTGTGTGTGTTGTGATGTGTTTACATGTGACCGGGGAAGCCGGCGCCCGCCGTTGGCACAGAGACGTCACATGGGCTGGGGCCTGCAGGGCAGACCCCAGGCCAGCCCGCGACCCCCGGTACCGCCAGTACTCACGGTCTCGCCTCTCTGTCCAGGGTGTCCCGGGAGCCCGTCCTTGCCTGGGGGGCCCTGAGGAGGGAGCGAAGGGAAGCCATTAAATTTTCCATCCTGGGAAGCACACGCCCTCGGGGCTTGACGCCACTCCAGGCAGCAAAACCACCACTTCGTTTCTAAGGCTGTCACCACGACAGTCCTGGTGACAAAGTGCCAGGAGGAGCCTGGCACCCGCACCGCCGTCTGGATCCCTCGCCACTGCCGAGGGTGGCACGGCTGTCGCCCTCATCTCCCGGGGGAGACACTGAGGCAGGGAGTGGTCGTCGCTCCCTGAGGCCCAGCCAGAGGGGGCGCCGGCGGCTGCGGCCCCGGTCTGCCCGGGTCGGAAGTCAGCCCCTTCCTAACCTCCGTCCTCGAGCACGCCCCGCGAGGCAAAACCGCCCCTCGATGATGTTTTCTCCTTCTAGAAGGACGTTAGAGGTCACACATCATACATGGCATGAGGGGGAACCGCTGTCCCTAAACCCCAGGGCCTGTGGATGCGGCTTCACTTGGACATTGGGGGTTTGTTCATGGCATCAAGGTGACGCTACATCCAGTGACAGGTGTTCTTATGAGAAGATGGAACTTAACACAGAGAGGCCACGTGAAGGCAGAGGCAGAGGCCAGCGCAGCCTGTCTACGAGCCAAGGACGGCCAGCGCGCCAGGAGCTGGCACGGGGGCCGGCACGGGGCCCGCCGGGGCCTCGGGAGGGGCCCGCCCCGCCCCGCCCCGCCCCGCCCCGCCCCTCCTAGACTTCGGATGCCGGCCTCCAGGCTGCGAGAGGAACCTTCCCTTGTGTCAAGTGACCGGACCTGTGGTACTTTGTCTGTAACGGCAGCCGCAGGGCCCTCACGCAGGGCAGCAAGAAAATGCGACCGTCCAAAGCACACGGGGCTCCATGCTTCCCCAGCGCAGGAGGGCTCGGCGGTGGGCGCCGCCGCGGATGCCCGTGAGCAGCACGGCCCGCCCCCCCGCCCCCCGCGAGGAGGCTGCCTGGGGCCCCGGGGCAGACGGGCATCTCCAGAAAGCCCCGCCCTCGGGGGACCAAACCAGGAAAATGTTCTACTTACAGGGGGGCCCTTGGGTCCAGGAAACCCGGTGGGTCCTTGGGGTCCATTGGGTCCCTGGGGATGGAACGGCCAGTTTGAGGACAGCAGCCCCCCTCACGTGCCCCCGAGTCCTGCCCCAAGTACAGGCCCTGTTCCCTGGACGCCAGCCCCTCCCTCACCAGAGCAGAAAAGGACAGCCGGTCAGGGGCCCCCGGCGGCCAGGTCACAGGGCACAGTCCCTCGGGTTCCCAACGTCCCTGCCATCCCCACATCCCCAAGCCCGGGCCCACGTGGACGGGCGGCCGTCCTCCAAGACCTGACTCCCAGCACAGCTGCTGCGGCTCTCCCTTCACTCTGGGGGAGACCCTCCCCGCCTTGGGGAGGGCCCGCCCCTGCCCGCCCCTGCCCGCCCCTGCCCGCCCCTGCCCGCCCGCGGGGACAGCAGCGGTGCTCACCCGTTCTCCCGGAGGGCCGGCCGGGCCATCCCCGCCAGAGTTGCCCTGGAGGGAGGGAGAGAGGGAGGAAAGCTCCTTGTCCTGACTGTTGCCGCTGCTTCTGATGAGACGCTCTGGCCGCACCGCCCCGCGCCCGGCCGTCGGTCCCCACGCTCAGCACGGACGGACGCACCGCGGCCTCGGGGCGGGTACGTCCGGGCAGCAAAGGGCCGGGCCAGGCCAGGCTGCGACCTCAGCCAAACTGGCGCCCGTCTCCGTGACGGGAACGCGCGTTGGGACTACGTGCCGGGCAGGACGGGCCCGTGCACGCTGATGAGCAGAGTCGGTGCCCCGCCCCTCGGGGGTGGCTGGTGAGGCCCAGGGGCTCCCCCCGCAGCAGCAAGAACTTCCTTTAGATTTCTGGCAAAGAGCTCCCGGCTGCTTTCAAACCCCTTTTCAAGGAAAGACCGGCGGCCTCCCCACCAGAGGTGGACGGGGCCTGTGTCCGAGCCCAGCTGGCCTGGCACCCTAGGGCCCTGTCCCGCCCCGGCCCCACCTCTGGGTCTGACCCAACCCGTCCGCAGGCCGCTGGCCGCGACCGGCTCCACCTTAGCTTCCCCCAAGAACGCTGCCCGCTTCCCGACGTGTGGCGTGGAGTCATACCTTGGGGCCAGGCTTCCCGGTGATGCCCCGGGGCCCCCTTTCGCCCCTCGGACCCTGGACGAAAGGAGAGGAGAAAGGTCAGCTTGGGCCCTCCAGGCCCCCGAGACCGCCTTCTCCGCGCCCGGGCCACTCCCTCCCACGTGCCCGTGTCTCAGGACCGGCCCTCAGCCCGCAGGGGGGTTACCGTTGGGCCTCGCTGCCCCCGTGGTCCCGGCTTCCCCGGTGTGCCCTGGAATCAGAAGGGGGGAGGTCGGTCAGTTACTGCTCATCACGGCCTGTTGCCGCCTGAGTGTGGCCTCCCCTGGCTTCTGGAGCCAGGGCGCAAAATCAGAAGCCCGGCAGGACCCCTTTATCCTCGTTTTTAACTGGAGGGTTTTGGGGAGGGGGCCTCGGCGCGCCGTCAGCACGCAGAGCTCTGTGGCCCCGCCGATTGCTGAAATCCGATTTCCTCCCCGCGGTCCAACGGGGCGCTCGAGGCCTTATCTGTTTTCTCCTCTCGGTGCTTCCCCCTCCCACCTCCCGTGCGGCCGCTCTCTCACCAGGGGTGGGAAGTCATTATTGCAAGAAAAGAGAAGAAAGTCAACCGCATCATACATAATTTACTTTGGCTACAGTTAAGAATATTAGCCATTAAATTTTCAACAGGCTCCGCAGACCAGCAAACTGGCAATTTAATACATAAATCCTATATCCAGGGGTCGTTTGCTTCTCGCCTAATAGGCCTGGGGCTCCTTGTTGTTTTGCATTTTCCAAACCAGAGAAACAGACAGAGGTGCCGCGTTCCCTTCTCCTCTGATGCTGCGACGCCGCTGGCCTGCGGCTCGCAGGGGCCACGGGCGGGCCGGGCCCCGGTCGCCGCCTCCCGAACCCTCTTCCAGAATTTCATTCCGGTGTCTGACGGCCGGCCGAGCGTGAGCCGCGGCTGCGCGCTCACGGCCCTGCTGGGTCTCCTCCCACCGCCTTGTGTCCGTTTACATCCGGGACCCACCTGCTTGCTGGGCTCCCATTTTGGAAGAAACTGAATAAAGCTGTTTGTGATGATGAGGTAATTATGTTGCTCCTTAACAACGCAAGCACCTTTGGCTTCAGTAAGTATTCGCACAGAAAAGTTAACGTGGTGTCTGCGTCCTCACCTGGTGGATGCCTCCAGCGGAGACGCCACGAGCAGCTGCGACTCCCTGGCGTCTGCCGGCGCGTGGCTCCCACCCTCCACCCTCAGCCGGTGCCACCGTGACCCAGGTCAGCGTGACCTGGCGGCGTGAGCGGCTCGCGGGGCTAAGCTACAGCTGCCGTGTGCCAGGCTCAGGGCAGGAGGGTCTCAGCCACGACCCCCGCCCAGGCTCCCAGGCGGCACCTTGTTCCTCAGTCTTCTCTATAAACGAACTCAAACCAAAGAGCTTCGGTCCCCGCGACTGACGCTGTTGGACAACGCGCCACGGTCCACCGCCTCCTTCACGCTGCCCGGGGGCACCCGCCCCGAGTCCTCACACGCGCCCAGAGGCGGCCTTGCGGCAGACGGGGAGCCCCGCGCAGGTGGGAGAAGCCGCCTGGTTGCCAGAGGGGATTTGACAGGTGTGGCTCTTCCCGGGCAGGGCCACTGGGCCCCTGCTGTGGCCCAGGGCTGTGACGGGCCATCGTCTCATGGCTCATGGGACACTAGCTGCGTGGACACCTAGTGTTGGCCCCGTCGAACCCACTGTCGACCGTCCCCGAACCTGCAGCTTGAAGCCAGGATGGGGCCAAAATGAGGGCACCTGCCAGCTCACGGCGACCCACACACGGGAGGCAGATGCAGACGTGTGAACACACATGTCACGGGCCAGGCCTGGCGTCCCCACACTAGAAGCCTCCGTCTGACCAGAGTGCCCCCAAAGAGACCCCTGAGCACAGCCCCCGCCCCCTCCCCCGCGTCCTTGCCCCACGCGGGGACCAGAGCTACAGTGAGGACTCCTGCATCCCTTCCCTGAGGAGCCTGCAGGGGGCTTGCACCGCCTTGGGGTGACAGCCACAGAGGAGCACATGGCCCCTGCCAGGCTCTGTGGCCTCACCGTCCCCTCCGGAAGCCCTGTCCCCCGCCCAGGCCTTGGCGTGCAGGGCTTAGCCCTGCGCCTGCCTCCTGCCCGCTCTCCCCACCTCACCCAGCCAACGGCCATCACTCCTTCGGGTCCCGCGGAATGTCGCTGCCCCCAGGAAGCCCTCCCTGATCGCCAAGTGAGGCTCTGGCTCCTGCGAAGGCTCCTGACTGCCCGTGTCCCTCCCCCTCGCGCCCCGCACTCGTGAGCATCGGTCACCAGGTGCCCTTGCCGGCTGGCAGAGCCCACAGTGCCGGGCATGCTGTAGGGACTTCGGGAGCATTTGCTGTAGAAACAAGTGAGCTCTCTGCACATGGCAGCCCAGTCCCCGAGCTCCAAAGCCAAGGGCAGGATGAGGACAGTGACCGCCGTGACACTGAGGTGGGGCCACCAGGTCCCCGAGGCTCCGAGGACAAGCCTGCGTCTGGGGGATGGGTCCTCATCAAGGGAGCCCGGCGCCCCGCAGACACCTGGGAAAGCGGGAAGGGCCGGCCCCACTGAGCCAAGCCCCATTCTCTGTCACTCTCCAAACGCAGATCAAAGCAGCGGCGGCATCAGGAAAGCCGCCCCTGCGCGTCGGCGTCAGGAAAGCCGCCCCTGCGCGTCGGCAGACGCGCCGTGTGCTGGGGGGCCGCGCCGGGCGCCTGACCCGGGGGCCCCGGGAATCCCGACGGGGGGCGACAGTGGCCACTGCGTGTGCTGCGCAGGCGCCACGGCCGGGCCGGGAGCGCGGGCCGCGCCCGGAAGTCCCCGGCGCCGCAGCCAACCGGCTCCCGTCTGCGGGGCGTCGGGGCCGGGAGGGGGCAGCAGGGCTGCAGGACCCAGGGTTTCTGTCTGGCCTCGGGCCACGGTCCAGCTGGTCCCTGAAGAGCGAGCTGTGGCGACACCGGGCACAGGAGGCCAGCGGGGCGTCTATTCTGACCCGAGTCCGCTCCCGGGCCCTCGGCGGCCGGCCTGTGGGGCCGCCCTGCTCCGGGGCGGCGGCCAGGCTCCAGCACCCTGGCTGCGGGCTTCTGTTCCTCATCGCCGTCCCGCGGTCGCCACCCAGACTCCAGGGGGACCCCCGGGATCCTCGGGGAGGACGTTCTACAGGCGGCCTGGCACCTTCCGTCGGGGGCAGGGCCTCCCCCCGTTGCTCAGGCGGCTGTGAATCCCGGGCCCCACTGCCAGCCTCACCGCCCTGGGCACTGCCCCTCGGGCCGCTCGCCCACGGGGACCCCTTCCTCGTTCAGGGGGACCGCGAGGGAACGAAAGCCCATCCCACCCCGAGGGAGCGCGGCAGGGCAGCTTGGCCATGACAGAAGGGAAGCTTCTAGAATTTGGATGGCAGCACTAGGGAGCTGCACAACAAACGAGAAAACTCCGTTTTCCTTCCTTTTAAAATTAGCCTGGAGGAAAAGTCACCGAGGAGAAAGCAGCCGCCCGTCTGCTACTGCCCCGCGGGGGCTGCGGACCGACGGTGCGTGTATTAGGGAGCGCCACACGCTCTCCCCGACGCCTGCGGCCCCGCCCCAGGCGGGCAGAGGCACCCGCTTCGCCCGACGGCCGCGGCCTCCGCCCCCCACCCTGGAGCGACAGCAGCGCGCGCAGCCGGGGCGGGAGGAACTGCGACGCCCGCGAACAAGGCCGCTGGCTCTCAGGGCAGCAGAGCCAGTCCCCCCCGGGGCCGGGCTGTCCTTACCCTGCCACCCTTCTCGCCGTTGGCGCCGGGAAATCCGGGGAATCCAATAGAGCCCTGAAAGAGAGGAGATAGGGGAGGAGGCGTGAGTGGAGGCGGAGATGGGCTCCGCGGAGGGGGGGCGCGGGGGCGGTTAGAGCACACGGCCCGGACACAGCCTCCGCCAACCGCCTTGTGCCCTTGGTCCACCCACTGTCCATGCGTCCACCCCGCCCCCTCGACTTGCTAAGTCGATCCTAAGCATCTCAAAGACTCCGAGTCTAGAAACCCAAGCCGGGCCTTAACCACACTCCGCCCCATTCTGCCTCTCTCCACGCCCTCCTCCCACACAGCTGTGTCTTCAAGATGCTGCTGTTCTAGGAGGAAAGGGAACGCTCGCCACCGAGGTTCGCTGGGGACGCCGCGTGAGCCCCGTGCCGAGGGCGCGTGGCGCGCCACGCTGTCGGTGCGTTCTGCTCTGAGGCCGGCACGGCGCTGGGCAAAGCCCGCGGCTCGTACAGCCGGACACGAACGCGGGCTCGGCACCGACCGGCAGCCGGCGGGGAATTCTAGCATGCGGCGTGGGCGGAACGGGGGCCTAAGGGCCGCGACCTCGCCCACAGCTCAGCGCCCACTGTGGGGCCCCGCCCACGGCGCCCACCCACGGAGGTGCTCACCGTCTTCAGGGGCCCCTGATCTCCCCGTGGCTTAAAACCCTGACCCAGACACGCACCAGTTCCCAACCTGGTACTGCCCACCCAGGCGCCACCCCTGCCCTCAGACAGGGGACGCCCCGAGGAAACAGGGGTGCAGGTTTCACGCACCCCCCTCACAGCTGGGCCACCACGCATGAGAGCCCGGCTGCGTCTTGTGAATGCCCCCACCCTTCCAAAACACCGCCTGAACATGACCTCCACGGCCCCGCCTCTCCCAGACTCCTCTCCTCCCCAGGGAGGAAGTGTGTCCATCAGCCCCTCGTACCCAGCGGACAGCAGGAGCCACTGCAGCAGGCGGCCGCGGCACAGGCGGCCAACGTCCCACCCTCAGACACTAAACACACTCTTGCTTCTTGGCGAACCGCCCTTGCGCCGTGGGGGCGGGTCCGCACCCCGAGAGGAGACCTGCGCTTCCACCGAGGGGTGGGGTGGGCGTTTCCGTCACCAGAACGGAAATACCTCGAAGCTGCCGCCCCCCCAGCCCCCCGCCCCCGCCGTGACCAGGACTGAGCTGAGTCCCCACGTGGACGCCGAGGACGGCGGAGACGCAGGGGCAGGCCTGAGATGACACAGCCCTCCTTCAAGGTTACTTACGTCTCCAGTGCGGGCGCAGGCTCATTTTTTAAGGAAGAAGCATGAATAATAAAGGGTGAGATTTTAAAAAGAAAAGAGCGTTTTAAAAGGATTTCCAAAACCTGATGGAGCCGTTTCGCCAAAGCAGCTGTTTCACCAAAGCAGACTTTACACGAGGAAGGTTTTGTCTTCTTTTTTGCCCAGTTACGGGCAAGTGGCCTTCAAATTCCCAGGGGGTCAGAGCCGGGACAGGTTAGGTTGCAAGTTCCGGGTGCGGGGACACCCGCGACCAAGGTCCCGAACAGGCCACAGGCCCTGAGGACCTTGGGGTGGCCCGTGGCCCAGGCAGCTGGTCCCCTTCTCCGCAAGGCTCGACTAACTGCCCCGTGAACGCAGAAGGCGACACAGAGGGCAGGCCGGAGAGACAGGTGGCAGAGGGGACGGGGCAGAGGGCGGGAAGGGGCCGGGGTGTCCCGTCGTGAGTTACCTTTGGCCCTTGTCTTCCTGGGTAGCCCGGTAACCCCGGGACGCCGAGCTTGCCCTGGGGAGAGAGGCGGTGCTGCGTGACGGGGTGGCTGCGCCGTGTTCCTGGATCCGGAGGACACAGCCCCCCCGGAAGGCCCTGCCGGCCCTTCTGGGGCGGTCCCTCCGATACCCCGGCCACCTCCGACGCAAAGGCCCGGACCAGAGAATTCCCCAAGGAGCAGCTCTGGTCCGGGGGAGGATGGGGCAGGACGCGTGGGCTGCTCGCAGGCTGTTCCTGGGCCGGGGGGACAGTGCGGGGGCCGGAGCGGGGCCAGGGAGAGACGCCGGGGACAGGGGCTGTGGGGCTCGGACCCCAGCTCTGTGGCCCCTGGAACAGGGAGCCCCAGCAGGGGACTGGCAGAGTGCTCGGGAGGAGCACACTCAGGACAGGAAAGGGACTGACCTGTCAACAAATTTCAGGGGAGAAGGGAGGGGGAGCGGTGGCAAGAGCGTCAGGATGAAGCCAGTCAGGCAGGAGCCGTGTCAGGAACCACGGGGCCCCGGGCACGGGCGCCGTGCCCGACCGGGCCACCGGCCGGGGCACCCGAGGCCACCGGGCGCGGTCTGTCCCCAGGGAGGGGTCGAGCGCCCGTGTCACGTACCTTCTCCCCAGGGGGTCCCAGAGGACCAGGGTCGCCGTTCGGGCCCCCGCGACCCTTGGGGCCTTCGGGGCCATCTTCCCCTCGGGGACCAGGTGGGCCGATCTCCCCCTGCACGTCAGAGAAGAGAAGGTAAGGGAGACCCCCCGGCGCTCTGGCCGCCGCCGCGCGGGGAGTGAGGGTGCGGCCCCAGGCCGCTAGTACAGGGCGCGCGGCCGGCTCGGCCCCCGGGCCCCCCCGGCAGATGCAGCCTCCCCGCGCGGCTGCCGAGGCCGGGGCCCCCTGCAGCGAACCACGGGGCCCTGCCCGGGGCCGCGCCACGCCCCGTCCGCGCAGAGCCGGCGGGCCACCGCACCTGGCTGCAGGCCACACGCTGCCACGTCCCGAGTGCCTTCTCACCTTCGGGGGAAAAAGAGTGCCTCTTGGCCAAAGTAACTTTGTGTAGCGACAAGAGCTCTGAAATGCCACTTCCCCCATTCGGGGGGCAGGGGAGATTTCTCCTCATGAGACCCCAGGAGGTATCGCGGTGGACAGGAGCCCCAGGCTGGGCAGCGACCTGTGCATCGATCAGCACGTGGCAGATCCACAGGAGGTCACTCCCAGAGACAAAGAGGCCCCTTGTCACAGGTGGGGGGCCGGGGCCCGGACAAGGCCCCCCGCAGAGCCCTGGCCCAGCCTGAGGCCCGCCCCGGCCGCCCCGGGCCTGCCGACTCCTCCTCCGCTCGCCGGCTTCCGGCACCCGCTGCGGATGGCCGCGCCCCGCGTGGACAGCAAAGATGGAGTCCGGGCCTGTCTGTGGGTCGAGACTGCCCTGTCCCTAAGAAGCGTCCCTTTGTTTTCCTCGTTCGACAGAAACACCCGTTGCAGGCTCCTGAGCACCCAGGGGACGATGCCCAGCCTGGGGAGACGGCCCTCCGTGGGAGCAGCAGGCCTGACGACGCTTGTTCCTGGCCGCGGAGGTGTCCTAGCTCTGGGGTCCCATCCCCATCCTGCCCAACAGGGGGCTGGCTCCCGGGGCGGCAGGCTTTTGAAAATGGGACCCTTCTGCTATGGCCCCCAGTGGGCGCGATGCGTTTTCAAAGAGATGGGAGAGGAAGGACTTTCACCAGCCAAACTGAGGGAGGCCCCTTGGGTGGGGGGGTCAGGGTCCTGCCGCCGCGGAGAACGTTCTAGAACTGTCCTCAGCAGGTACACAACTGGGATGTGGCTGTGTAGTGAATCCCTCTCGTCTACCCTCCCGTGGAGGGAGGCCCAGATCGCCTGCGCCTTTCAGGAGCGGGACGGCGCGCCGGGGGCTCGGCTCCGGTTCCGGCGAGTTCTGTGGGGAGCCGGCCCTCAGCCCCGGGCCGGGCGTGTGCGCAGCTGCCGCGCCTGGATGTGCGGGCACCTCCTTCCCTCCTGCTCGCCCCGCAGCCGAAAGGGAGACAGCACAGCGCTCCCTTCGCAGCGGCAGGCAGCCGGCCGGCTCCCCGAGGCCTCCTTCAGGTCCCCGCTGGCTTCCCTGCCCTGTACTCATTCGTGTGACGACGCCCCGTCGGCCATGCCTGTCCCGGGGGCCCCCGCCCTCCACCACCGCGGGCTCCCTCCGGGGCTGAGACAGCTGGTTCATTGGAAACAATGGGGCCGTTTGTTGCCCGTTCTCCGGAGCCCAGCATGACGTCACGGAACATGGGGACTGCATGGGGTCCTAGCCCTAAAACACAACTAAAGCGATGCCTCGATGGGGGCCATGGCACTTTAAGGGCTGGGCAGGGACCCCCAGGCCTCGTCTGGGTGCTGCCCTGCCGGTGACCGGCCTGTGGCCGGGGCAGGCCGCGGCGCTCCCCGGGGAGACGGGGTCGTTTCTGCAGCCCGTTTGCTCTCTCTCCGAGGCACCTTCCTTGAGTGAAACACCTCATTCCACAACCCAGAGCGCGGGCCCCCTGACCACCTGTGTGGGGTCCAGACCCAGGGCAGAGGAGCAGGCGACGACACGTTGGTTACCTGGTTAACCCCGGAAACCAGGAGTTAGTACCAGGCGAGGAGGAGACAGAGGGCCAGGCCTGTGGGCTCCCGCTGTCCCTGCCTGCGGAGAAGCCGCCCTGTGGCCCCGAACGTCCCAGCCCCTCCATCCGGAACACTCACCCGGTCCCCCTTGATGCCCATGTCTCCTTTAAAGCCGGGAAAGCCGTCTTCCCCCTGAACACAGACAAGAGAAAGAAAGAGGGAAGGGTCTCGGTCAAGACGGAGAACCTGCCACCCTGATGGCTTTTGCCCCCCCCCCCCACACAGCTCGCGCCCCCCTGCCCAGAGCCTCCGGGCCCCCGCGGGGGTGGGGGGACACTCACCTTCTCGCCCTTGGTGCCCTTCAGGCCACGGATGCCATCCGCCCCCTACACAAACAAAGGGGGCGGTGAGCGCTCACACCGCAGAGCCCTCGCGGGCGCGGCTCTGAGCCCCGGCGCCGAGGCCCCCTGCACGCTCAGCAGCTGATGCGGGAGCCCCGTGCACCCCGCGCCCCGATCTCAGCAGGAAGGGCGCTGCGGGCTGCGGGGGCTGCCTCCCGGCCCCCAGCCACGTGCCGCCAGCGCTGGACCGGCCTCCGTGGGCCGCCTGTCCTTCCGGGGCTTGGGAGCACGGACGTGAGGCCTGAGCTCCGGCTCCGGCCCCCGGTCCCCCTCCGTGACCTCTGACAACCCCCCAGGCCCCTGCGAGCCTCGGTTTCCTCAGCAGGGGCCTGGGGGGTGAGGACAACAGCGGCCCCACGACTGCCGGTGGGAGGGGACGCCTCCGAAGCTCTGGGGCAGGGCCCGGCACGTAGCAGGCCCTCGGTGAACAGCAGCCACGGGCCGTCCGATTCCTTCTGTTCTCTTTACTAATGAACGACAATACGGTGTTGACACTGTCCATCACTAGCTGACTCCAGCAACGGTCACTAGCGGTGCGATCAGCTCAGGACACACGTTGTCTCCATGCTGAACAAGAACCACAAGGGCGGGACGCGCCCGCCTCCCTCCGCCTCGCGGTGCCAGTGCCTCACTAGGACCCGGTGCCTCGGCCCCGCCGACCTCGCAGAGGGGGGCGAGGGGGCAGACGCCGACCGCCGCCTGCCAGGGGCTTTCTCGGGGGCACGGGGCCCCAGAGAGAGGCCGGCCTCCGAATTCCGTCCGGCTGAGACCGCAGCGGGAGCGGCGGGTCGCCTCCTGGGCTGCCTGCTGCCCCCTTGGGGCAGGGACTCTGAGCAACTGCGCAGTTCTGAGGTTCGTCCCGTGGAGAAGGATGGACCAGACAGACAGACAGACAGACGCTGGGCAGAGCCTGGCCTCCGCCGGGGGCCACTGCGACCCTGCCAGAGCCCTGGGCTCTGTCAGCCCCGGCGGCGAGGAGCCCTGGGACGGAGGAGAGGCGCGCGGCCGCCCCGAGGCCCCGAATCGTGCGGCCCCCGGCACCTGCTCCCACCTTCCTGTCGGGCGGGCTGCCCCGCCCGCGCCCTTCCGAAAACAACAGGACCGGACGGAGAACCCCCGGAGTCCTCCCGGGCCCCAACTTCGGCCGTTTTCTGAGCCGCGTCAGAGGCCAGGGCGAGGGGACCGACCAGGCGGGGTCCCTCCGGGCCGGCACCACTGACGCCGGGCCGGCTCGCCCCGTCACGGGGCCGCCCTGCGCGCTGTCCGAGGACAAGGGATGCGCAGCAGAGAGCGTCCCGGCCTCCGCCTGTTTGGTGACAGAGCGCCCACCCACGCTGTCACCGGTGTCCTCCCGTCCGAGGACCCCGGGACCCGCACACCCGCGACGGCCCGGTGGCCTCTGCTGGGGCAGCAACACAGGCTCCAGCACCCCCGGTGGACGCGAGAGCCTGGCGGGAACAGGGCTTCGCCCACGGCCTGGAGCGAGCGCCACTCGCAGCCTCCTGCCAGCCTGCCCGCCACCGCGGGCTCGGTGACGGGCGGCGGGGGCTCTGCAGCCACTAACGCCCCAGACGGGGGCGGGGAGGTGCTTAAGGTCAGGGACGTCAGAGGACAGGAAGGGCGCCCTGCTCAGGAGAAGGCAGGACTCCATGCAGGGCAGCCCCCCGAGGGCTGTGGGTCCGTGGTGACAGCGTGGCCCCCGCAGCCCCCCCGCGTCACCTCCCTCCCAGGCCAGCTGCTCGGTCGCCACGTCCCACACGCATGGGAGGGTGAGAATCGATGCCTCTCACCCATACGCCACCCAACACCCCCTTCGCTTCCACTCCCCGCCCCCAAGCCGAACAGCACCACCCAGACTGGGAGTGCGTCTCAATCAGGCAGGCGCGGTAAGAGCACCCTGCACCCACATTTCACGGCGAACACCCTGCAGCTGGCAGATGCAGCTCCGTGCCCTCAGCCACGTGGGGAACCTGGCAGAGGCGTTTGCTCTGCAACGAGAACTTGTCAAATAAACACACGCAGAGCTCGCAGTACCGGCATTTGCTGCTAGGCCGCCGCCCTCCCAGGGCCCCCGCGGCGTGGGACCGGCCTGGTGCCCGGGGAACGGAGGTCAGGCCACCTGGGGTCTGGGGAGGGCGCCAGATGTGAATAAGCAAGTCTGGGTTTGGGTCCCGAGAGCGGCATCGATTTTAGGGTCATGTGGGGCAAGTCACAGGAAACCGAGTCTGGGGCCCTCCGCCCCCTGCCCCACGGGGCAGCCGCCCATGAGCACCTCAACTCTCAGAGGGGCCTCCGGAACGCAGGGGGCGCAAGCCCCTCTCGCTGAGCCTCTTTTTTGCTTTTTTACACACACACCCTAACGTATTTTCTGTCACACCAAATTAAGCCACTTGGAAAGAGAGATTCCCCTCCTCTCTCTGAAAGCTGCAGAGGCACCGAGAGCGGCAAGACAGGCCACAGGCCTGTCGGGGGAGGAGGAGCCCTTCCCCGCACACTTCCCGGGGCACCTGCCTCCCGGCCGCACGTGCCGGCGTGTCCCGAGCGCGGCCTCCCTGGCAACTGCAGTCTGTGGCTCAGAGCAAACCCAGTCGGCGTCCCTGGGCCCGGCCGGGTCTGCGTCGGGGGTACGGCTCTGCAGCTCTGCAGCTCTGCGCCCGAGGGACACGGTTCCGGGGCCTCCCAGTGGCAGAAACGCAGTCGCAAATAAACGGACATCTCCCATGGACGGAGGCGTCCCGCCCTCCCGTGGGCCTGGCAGACGTGGTCCACGGGTGGAGCCTCCCTCCCCGTGTGCGAAGGGCCTGGAGGAAACGTCCCCCAGGAGAGAACGCCGGCTCTGCGGTCAGCGACGGGCCACAGAGAGCAGTGGGAAGCTGGGCCAATGGCGCTAACAAAAGCAGCCTTGCTCTGGCAGGCGTGGCTCAGTGGGCTGAGCACCGGCCCGCGAACCAAAGGGTCGCTGGTTCGATTCCCAGGCAGGGCACAGGCCTGGGTTGCGGGCCAGGTCCCCAGTAGGGGGCGCGCGAGAGGCAACCACACGTTGATGTTCCTCTACCTCTCTTTCCCGCCTCCCTTCTCCTCTCTCTAAAAATAAGCAAATAAAATCTTTTTTAAAAGAAAAATCATCAGGAGGCACCATCCTGCCTTACGTGGTGTCACCGACATGCTGCAGAAGGTCCCCAGCTCCGAATCCACCCTCCCTGGCTCCGGCCGCCCCCTCCCTGCCCTGCCCAGGCCCAGGGACCGGGCCCCGATGCCACCCACACAGACTGGGAGGACCAGGCCTGCTCCAGTCTGGGCAGCAAGGAGGTGGCCCCAGGGAGAAATCTCCCGAGGGCAGGTGCACGGTGCCTTGCGGTCCCCACCCCGACCTCCAGGATGACCTGCAGCGGCAGGACCCTCACCTTAACTCCTCGAGGACCGGGGTAGCCGATGGGGCCCTGGGGGCCGGGCGGACCCTGAAAGCGAAGGGGAAACACTGTTAGCTCCCTCCGGGGGTGGGGGCGGGGCCTGTGGTGTTCAGTCCCTCCCGGGTCCTTGCCCACCGGCAGGGAGCGGGCCTTCCACCGGCCAACCCCCTCCTTCCATGAGCAGAGTGGACATCCCCGGCCAGACCCTCCAAAGGAGACACGTGGCCAAGTCCCATGGGTACGTGGGCCTGGCCGCAGGAGCGGGTTGTGTCTCTTCTGGGGGGAGAAGAGCGTGACCAAGCCCCAGGCAGGGCGGGGAAGCCTGAGACCGGAAGGGCCGAGGCCCCAAAAAGAAGTGCTCTCCCGCCAAAGGCCAGGGAGCAAACGTGTCAGCTTCTGGCCGGGAGAAGGGGGCAGAGCTGGCCGCACAAGTGAGGTGTGTCCTTCAACAGCCACAGGGCCTTGCAGATGACCGCCCACGGCTCCCCGGGGCAGGCGCGGGCCTGGGGGGCTGGGATAGGGAGCGCGGCAGCCGTGGAACCTCCAAGGGCCTTAACCCCCCGCCTGTGGCCCTGAACACAGTCGATGGTCAGGAGGAGCTCTGGCCCAGAGCCTGCGCGGTCGCTAGTCTGCCTGGCCAAGGTCAGGCTGCACCCACACCCCCACGTGGAGGAACTCAGGGTGGGAGGGGAGGAGCCGGTTCCATGGAGGATGTCCCCCGCCCCGGCATAGCCCAGGGACAGGGCGCGGCTACGCCAGCTCATCCCGCCTGCAGGGGGGGGGGCACCCTGGAGCAGGGGCGGACGGCAGCCCAAGGCCCGCGCTGCGGAAGGCGCTGGAGGGGCCGGAGCGCGGCTGCACCCACCTGGCTTCCTTTCTCTCCGGGGGGGCCTTCTTTGCCCGGGTGCCCCTGTGGGGAAGAGAAGGCCTGTGTCATTGGTGCCCTGCGGCGGCCTGGCGGCGGTGTGAGGAGGAGCCGGGGGTCACTCGCGGTCAGGACGACAGCGTCCGGCCGGCTGGGTCCCTCCCAGCCGCGCGGCCTGAGCAAGTCCCAGAGCCCCTGCCCCTCGGCTGCGTCTTCGGCACGGGGAGTGTCACGCCAGGCCCTGGCAACAGCCAGAGTTGACCGTGGAGGGGACCGTGTCTACAAACCCATAGGGGGTCTGTGCCCCAGAGTCGCCTGACTGCCCTCAACTGCAGGTCAGTGGGGACAGCGATGACAAAGGCACCGGCCCAAGGTCCCCCAGCAAAGCGGACCCGCAGCCGAACCAGGAGTCATGAAGCGGGGCCGGGCCCCAGCGTCGGGCTCGCGGCGCCGCGGTCGTGGCGCCCGTGCTGGGGCGGCGCAGACAGGCGGGTGCGTGTGTGCGTTCTGCCTTCTATCGGTCGTGCGACAGGACTGGATGCCACTGCACACGGCCGGCCGCCCGCCATGGCCAAGCCGTTGCCGCTGTTTGACTTGAGGCCTAAGCTCTTTACGTGCATTTCCAGTTGTGCGTTCACAACAAGAGGGACTCTTGGTGGGAAGAGGACAAGCTCACTTGTTAAAAACGCTTGAACAGAAAAGACTGGAAAGAAATACAGCAGAATGAGGGTGGCTGGTCTCCCCACAACGGAAGGCGGGGCGGTTTTCCTTTCTTTACACTCGTTTGCCTTCTTCCAATATTCTACGAAGAGCATTGCCTTAATCACGGAAAACTAATAAAGCTGAAATTATCTGTGTTACATATTTCTCTGATTAAAAAAGTGATATAGGCTCTTTGTACACAATTAGGCAAATGCAAAAGAAAATTAAAATCCTGCCCTGGCTGGTGCGGCTCAGTGGACTGAGCGCCGTACTGCGAACCACAGGGTCGCTGGTTCGATTCCCAGTCAGGGCACCTGCCTGGGTTGCAGGCCAGGTCCCCAGCAGGGGGCGCGTGAGAGGCAACCACACACGGATGTTTCTCCCCTTCCTTTTCTCCCTCCCTTCCCCTCTCTCTAAAAATAAGACAATAAAATCCTTTTAAGAAATAAAATAAAATTAAGTTCCAAGTTGGTTTGGGAAGAGACTTCGAGTCCACGAGAGGTGCCCTGAAGGTCCCCGCTCCCCACACAGCCCAAGATGACAGGGTGACCTTCAGGGGCCCTGGTGTGGGGGCAGTTTCCATGTGGGGAGGGGGTCCCATGGGGGCAGTAAGGTCAGGGAACGGGGTTCGGGCACCGTGACCGCCCCGCAAGGCCACAGGCCGGCCGCAGAGCTGACCCGTGGCCGGAATCGCCCCATGGACGGGAAACGCCGCGGGAGGTGCGCGGGGGACAGGGCTGGCGGGGCGCCTCTCCACTGCCCTCCCTGGGTTAACTCACAGGGATCAGGGAGGGTTTCCACTCGGCTGTCATTTCATTTATTTCCCTAATTTTCCACAAGAAAAGGTACTACTTTATAATTAGAAAATGCAATTAAGTGTCAGTGGAAAGGACGTAAGTGACATGTTGCAAAACATTTGTCACGTTCTATCCAAACTCTCAGAAGCCCCCACGGCAGCCCCCAGGGGTCAGAGGTGCTCGGAACCTGCAGGTCCAGGTCCAGGCGGCACGGCCTGCGAACAGGGACCCTCGGGGCCCAGGGAGTCTCAGCTGTGCACACAGAAGTGACAGCCGCCTGCTCCGCAGTCGCCAATGAATTATCGACGTGGTTAAACGTCCTTGCCCAGTTTTTAACGGCATTATTAAAACAATAAAGTACTCCGTGTCTGAAACAATTAATTTGGCTGGTCTTGTTTTCTGAAATAGGCTCTCCATGCATCATCAGCTGACTACTCTTAAAAAAAACTCCAAAAAAAAAAAAAACCCCACCAGCAACTCACAAAGAGGGTGGTGGGTGCAGATAAACCGTCACACCCCCACCCCCCGGCTCTGCGGGCGGCCCCTCCCCCCAGGCCCTTCGCGCAGATCGGATCTGTTGCCACCTCGCCTCTTCTAGGTGGCACCCGACTTAGCCCCACAGCTGTGTGCTCCCACGTGGCAAACGTGTCTGTTAATCTCCCCGCTTCTTGGCATGTGAGTCCTAAAAATACACTCAGCGCGTGCTGCCGTCGCCTCAAACAGCGGGCGCACGGGCCCTCGCTGGAGCCCAGCCCTGCCGGCCTGGATCCGTCGCCAAGCTGCCCGACCGGACAAATAAGTAACCTTCCCACTCACGCAATCACCACCCTTTCACGGACGCACGCCCCGGGGTCGTCCCTGAGCGACCTGGCCCGAGTTCTCCGGTGGGTCTTCGCCACTGAGGGTGAAGGGGCCACACCCACATCGCCGTCCCCAGAGCCCAGGTCCCAGCCCCCTCCCCGGGGCGGCCAGGCATCTGGGTGAAGGGGCGAGGTGAGCGGGGGTACTCACCGGGGGTCCATCAGCGCCGGGCATTCCTGGGAGGCCTGGCTTTCCCAGGGGGCCCTAGAACAAACCAGACTCCGTGAGCAGGTGCCGGGGCTCCTGGGCTGCCCGCCGGCTCTGCTCGCCCCCGAGGTTACTTTTCAATGTTTCTGCTCAGAGAACGTTTGTTGAAAACGATGCTCAGAGGCCTCTCCCACCACCCCTTGCCCTGGCGTGGAAGCTTCCAGCACCCGGAGCACCAACGAGGGGCTGTGTCCAGGGCCTCCAGGTTTTGCGATGGGAACAAACGCCCCGGCCGGGGGAACAGGGGACCGGCCGGGGAAGGCAGCAGCCAGGCCCACTGAGCTGACCGGACAGGCCCCCCGGAGGGCCATGCCGCACTGAGAGCCGCCCCTCAGATCGTCCCACCCGGCTGCTCTGTCCCCAGCACCTGGGACTCAGCTGCCAGATTCAGCCAAAGCAAAACAAGCAGAACAAGATGCCCCATGGCACCGGGGTTTCGGACGAGCACACATGGTTCAAATTTAACCGGGCCTCCCCTATTGATTCTTCTTCCTAAATCTGGCAACCCCATACGTGGCGGGACAACGAACAAACGAATGAATTTATAAATCCATGAATGACGAAGATCCGCAGCCGTCCTCTCGGCCTCCGCGCTCGCCGCTCTGCGCTCCGCGCTGCCCCCACTCAGCGGGCACCAGGCTCGCATCCCGAGCGGCCCACGCCCGGCGCCCCCCCGGCAGGCAGCGCGCGCCGCAGGCAGGCGGTGGCGCCCCTGCACCCGGCTCAGCCGCCTACCTTCTCTCCTGGAGGACCAATGGCACCCTGGGGGCCGGGAAGACCCTAGGATGGGAGGAGAGTCGGGCGGGAAGGTCAGGGGCTGGCTGCCATGGCCGGCCGCCCCTGCCGCCCCCGCTCTCTCAGCTGGGCACTGCCCCACCAGCGAGGCCGCCTCCAGGTCAAGGTTGCCGGCCTGAAGCCCGGCGCCGCCCGCCGCCCGGAAGCCTGCCCCCCGCCTACTCACCTGGGCACCCGGGTTCCCCTGCTGTCCTGGGGGGCCAGGCTCTCCCTGGGGACCCTACAGGAAACGAAAACAAAGGCACTGAAGGGGGCTGAGGAGACAGGCAGGGGTGACTGCACCTCCACCCTAGGGGCACGGCCCCCCACCCTGGCCTCCCGTCCTTTGAAGCCGCGGAGGCTGCCACTGGGAGGAGGCCGGCAGCCGGCGCAGACCCAGGCGGCCCCGAGCGCTTGCTTGTTTCGGCACCCCCGGCAGCCGCCAGGAAAGCACGTGAAGGGAACCAGGGGGGAGGTGCTCACGGGGCAGGGAGTCCCCAAACCAGCCCGCCGCCGCACGCCTCAGTCCGCCAGCGCCTGGGAACCGCCGCGGGGCTGGCGGGGGCCGCGGACGGGCTCCCCACAGCCAGCCTGGCGCGGAGGAGCGGTCCCTCTGCGCCGGGCTGACACGCCCGCAGGCTCGGGCCAGCGCCCCGTCTGGGGCTGGGCCTCCTCCCGCATGCCCCTGGTTTCCACGGTGGCAGATCTCCCTGGCCCGGTGGGGGGCACCCTGGCGGGGGGCGGCCATGCCGGTGGGTAGCGGGGACCCCGAGACTCACCACGTTCCCTTTTGGGCCCGGCTGGCCGTCCATACCCGTCACGCCCTGGACAAGATCAGAGAGGGGGGCTGAGTGCTGAAGAGTTAGCGCGCGGGAGGCAAATCCCGCTCAGCCCGGCCCGGCCCCCGCCCCGCCGTGTGTCACAGATGCACAGCAGTGGGTGAGGTGGGGGGCTCCACACCACAAAAACCCCAGAGCCCTGGTCAGTGTGGGGCTCGGGGGGCTGCCAGGCCCCGCGCCGTGTGGGGCGGGCCCAGCGTCCTGAGGAAGCAGGGCACAGGGGCCGAGAAGGGTGGGTGGCCCACGCGCAGCCCTGGAAAGCCACCCACCGGGACAGAGCCCCATGGGAACCACGGGCTTCTACATCCTTCCAGAACTTTCCAGAAGCCGCTGGAAGTGCTTTCAAGCAGAGAGGCAATGTGGTGTCCGGGTCACTGCCGGTGACAGCCCACGCTGTGGGCGGGAGAGGGGAGGACGGCGAGCCAGCGGGCCCGGCCTGCGGCGAGGCTGCTGCTGCGAGGAAGCCTCCGCGCCCTGCTGGCCCCTCACGTGGGCACGGGGCACCCAAGGGCAGGGATGGGGACAGAGGCGCAAACAGGTGACAGGACTTACGGGAGGTCCGGGGGGGCCTGGGGGACCCTTCGGCCCCAGCAGACCGCGCGGCCCCTGAAAGAGGAGAGAGCAAGGGAGCGTCAGGCCCTGTGGCGCCGCTCGGCCCACACTCCGTCCCCACTCCATCCGGGGTCGCAGCTGCCACACGCTGCCCCGGGAGCGCGGCCAACAGGCCCTGCCGCCCCGGCTCCACCTCCCCAGCCCACCCCAGCCGTCCACCCGGCGCCCCCGGAACGGCTGGGGGCTCCGACGGGAGAGCGCAGGGTGCCCTGAGGGCAGGGGGCCTTCCCCAGCCGCCCGGGGCGGGCGGCCCACAAGCTCTGCACGGGGCGCGGCTGCGCTCGGCCGCCCGGGGCTGGGGCCCAGTCCTCGTTTCCAGGTCCCTGGGCCACCCCTCTGGGCTGTGCCACGCGACGGCGTCTCTGACCTCAGAGCCCACACGTTCGGGGAGGACAGAGGGCGGAGAAACGAGGGACTTGCAGGGATGTCGTGACAACGCACGAGAGGGCGCCCGGGCTCAGGCCTTCTCGGGGCGGCCGCTGTGGCCCGAGCTCGACGCCCTCGCAGGCGGCGAGGGGCACGTGTGCGGGAACAGGCCCCGGACGGGCCTGAGACCCCAGCGGCGACACGGCAGGGTCCCAGGCAGCCATGGGAGCCTGGGCGGCGGCGTGCGCGCCCACCCCGCCCACCGGGGAATCAGGGAGCCGCTCCTCCGGGCGCAGTGACTTCAGGTGACTTAACTCCCATCGAACCTGTCAGTCGCAGCAGACGAGAAACCCCGCCCACACGCACACGCACGGCACCCAGCTGGTGCCTTCGCTACTTTAAGGTCCGGTCACGTGGACGTCTTTTTTTAAGAAGTTAATGACCTAGAAGGTACAGCTCAAATGGGTGTGAGACAGAGCGGTGTTGCTGAATTCTCTTTCGTGGCTAATCAGACACCGAGGGTGTAATTCAGTCCCCAGCGAACGTGCCAACGCCGGCCCCCGCCCCGCTCCCTGCAGCGTCCGCCATGTCCCCCTCGATCCGCTCGGCCGGGTGCGCACAGCCCCACAGACGCCGTCGAAGGAAACGAGGCACTCGACAAGCAACAGTGAGGGAAGAGAGACGACGAACGTCCTTTTGTTGGTCAGGGAAGGGGTGGCTTTGGCCTGAAATGGGAACCAGCTTTGGCAGCAGAGCTTTCTGATGCCCGGGCTGGGTGTGCGGGCTCGGCCGGCGGTGCGGGGAGCCTTTTCAGAGGGTGTGGCCGTGAGAGAAAGGCAGACAGTGCAGGTCCTGCAACTGCCCCTGGGCGCCGCGACCGCCCTCGGGGACCTGAGCTGCCTCCTCTGGAAGGCGCGGAGCGATGCCTTAGAGCCGCCCTGCCAGCCTCCCCGCCACGCCACCTCGTCCCCCGGGGACACCCCCCGATTTGTGTCTGTGCCCCAGCTGAGCCCCTTGCTCTCGCTGCGCTCAGTCGATCCCCAGTTCTGCCCAGAGGCAGCCCCTCCTGCCGCCCCTCCCCGCAGTGAAGAGACACAAGAGTCCCCCCCACCCCCAGCCGACTTACGGGTTCGCCTGGCAGCCCTCGGGGCCCGACTTCTCCGTCGTCACCCTGTGGGAGGAAGGGCAGGGTTTTAGGGGAGGCTCCGAAGCCTGGACACTGGAGAGGTTTCCCTCCGCCGGGCGGAAGGCCGCCTGCCTGTCGGGGAGGCCCGAGGCCTCGCTCCCAGAAAGCTGCAGGTTAACAGGCGGCGTCTGGGCCACGGCTCGGGGGCCCCCAGAGCAGAGCGCCGAGGAGGGGACCCGGGTAGGAAAAACCCGGGAGCCAAGGTGTCATGACAGACACGCGTGACAGAGCGATCGATGGAAACTACACAGAGATCAACGACAAACACGCAGATGGACGGACGGACAAGCAGGCAGGTGGTGGACAGGAAGTGACTGATGCAGACCCGGCGGGGAGGAACCCGGGGAGAAACAGCGGGCCCTGGCCCAGCCCCGAGGAGACCTAATGTCTCTGCCGGGGGCCTGAGCACGGCCCGACCACCACCCGGACGTGACTCCCGGCTCCAGAAGGAGGCGCTGCGCTGGCCGGACCGGCTCAGGGTCGGGGGCTGCTCGTCCACACGCAGCCTCTCCCTGTCCGCCCCGTGCCCTCCTCCACCCATCACCGCACACGCGTGCACGCACCCAAGCCCACAAGCCATGCCCACACACATGCACGCCCGCACACCACACCCGTCCCTCACATGCACCCGTGGGCACACGCAAGCCGCGCCCGCGCCCGCGTGTGTGCACACATGCGAGCAGCACGGGCGCCCGGAGGAGGCCCCGGCCCCTCCCACAGCGGGCGGCGCCGCGGCCGGACAGGAGGCGCCCGACACGCGAGCCCCGCACCCTCTGCTCCACGTACCCCAGCAACCGACAGGCCCGCCTGAGGGCGCGGCGTGTGTGGAAGGCGGGATCAAGTCCCCACTGCGCCTGCTTGGCCGCAGGGCCCGTGTGAGCGGCCACCTCCGGCCCCGGCTCCTGGCCCTGGACGGCAGCGCCCTGCCTCCCTCCGCCCCGCGCCCAGGCCCTCTGCCCTCCCCGCTCCGGGGCCCCACGGTCACCTCCGGGCCCCGGGCCCTGCCCCTCGCCCCTGGCTGACTCTCCTCCCCGCCTCGTCCCCTAGGACACGTGTCCTAGAGTGAAAGGCCCCCTTTCTGACCAGGGATGGTGCCGATCTGCTTCGACCTCAGGGTCCGGGGCGACCTGTCTCCGCACACCCCCCGGCCTGCCCTTCACAGCCCCGGCCGCCTCTCCCGCTCTCCCCACAGTGATGCCGCCGCCGCCGGCAGGCCCCGCGCAGCTTTCCTGCCGGACTCCGAGGAGACAGGTAGGCAGGTGCGGCGGAGGCGCACGGGGTACGTACCCTTTCTCCATCTTCTCCAGGAGAGCCCGGCGGGCCAGAGGGACCAGGGTCACCCTAGGAAGTCAACCGGAGCCAGGATTAGCCGCCCGGGGCAGGTCACGCGCGCCTGTCCCAAGGCCCCCGTGGTCTCCTCTATTTCTGAGGCTGAAAATGCTAGACCCGCGGCAGCCTTTCCCGAACCTACAGGAGATCCACGCGGAGGCCACGCTGGCTGGAAGGACTGTCACCAGGGGACGCGGCCGCACTAGGCCAGGCACCCGGCAGGGCCACAGGCATGCGGCCCCCGCGCCGCGACAGGGTCTGAGCTGCTCCCCGCTGACGCTGCCCCACTGCACCCCGCTCCCCGGAGAGGGCCGCCGCCCTGGCCAGCGGGCCCGAGGGCTGGTGCCGGTCCGCCTCCGCCCCCGCAGCCTCAGGCCTCGCGAGTAGCTGGGGCTCGGCACGCGCTCGTCAGTGGCCGGGCAGACCGGCCCAGCCGCAGCGCCGCCCCCCTCCCCGTCCAGCAGGGCTGGGGGCGGGCGCGGGCCAAGCGGCTTTGGCTACGTTACAACAACCGTTTTCAGTGCATTACAGAGCGTGACAGACAAGCCTCTCCAACAAGTGCGTGTGTGTGCATGTGTGTGCAAGTATGAGCACGTGGAGCATCAAATGTGCCTCCGTGTGTATGTGTACATTGTATGTATGTGTGCACACACGTGCCTCCGTGTCCAGGACGTGCCTCCGTATGAAGGAGGCATCATCTCTGTCAAAGGAAAGAAAACGCCCGACGAGCAGCCCACGCCGTCATGTGGAGCCACTCGGAAGGATGGAGCGCAAGGCCAGGCCGCCGGGGGCCGCGCCCCCACGCTCCACACCAGCCGCAGCCGCTGGCCCGGCCCCACCCCGCAAAGGGGGAGCCTCGGGGCTTCCCGAGGCTGTAAAAGGCCCTGTTCAGCAGACCTGGGATTCCTAGAACCGGGATTCCTAGTCCCATTCACGCCCTCCTGGGGCCGGACCCCACTGGCTTCGCCGTCAGCAGCTGCGCCCTGATGGCGCCCCCTTTGGGCTGACTTCCCATCCCAAACCATCACCCCCACCCCACCCTCACCCCGTGGGCTTCCTGCTGTGCAGCCCAGGAAGCCTGAGGCCGCCCGGGAGGGTCTCCCCGAAAACCCCCGCTGCCTGAAGTCCGTCAGGGCCCCGGGGCCGCCGGGACCTCCCCCACGGGCAGCACTTACCCTGTGGCCCTTCTCTCCCGGCAGTCCTGCCAGGCCGTCGAAGCCGCGGTCGCCCTAGGGGAGCACAGAGCTGCTCAGGGACCAGGCCGCGCACACGGACGGCCGCCTGCCGCCTGCCACGTCCAGGCAGCGCCTGCAGACCCTGGGCCCCAGGACCCCGCCGGCGTGGCCGCGGCCACGCCTCGCCTCGCCTTCTCCCGCCCTGGGGCCACGCTCCCGCCTCCTCTCCCCAGTACCAGCGAACAGGAGGAGGCTCTCGACCCCGAGTCATCCCTGCGTTGTCCCCTCATGCTCCCCGCCCCCTCACAGGGAACAAACTTGCCCCCAAACTAATTGCAACCGTCGCACATGCTCACGAAGTTCCCCCCGCCGATCCCAGGTTCGGGCCACAGCGTCCCAAACAGAGCCCCCTCCCCCGAGAGCCCCCCCAGGTGGGGGTGTAAGCGTCGTGACGTCTGGGCTGTCGTCACACCCACGTTCGTCACTAGAACCAGCGTGCTGGCCGCGTCGCCCAGGCGAGGACCGCGACGAGGGTGGCCGGGACCCCGGGGGCTGTGCCGGCAGCCTACCTTGGGGCCCGTCTGCCCAGGCATCCCTCTCGCTCCGTCGCTGCCAGGCCGCCCCTGGAACGAAGGCAGCACAGTGTCAGCTCGAAGCGGTGGCCTCCTGGGCGCCCGAGGAGACCGCGCCCAGCCCCGTGCGGGACCGGCGCCCGGGATGCCTCTCTCGCCGCCCCGGGCCGCCCAGAGGGGGCAGGCTGCGGGCCCCCTGTGTCCGTGACGGCGGCGCGAGGCGGCAGGGGAACCCTGCTAGAGGCGAGGGACGGAGGGGCCCGTCGGCGGACGGCCCAGGAGAGGGTGGCCCAGGAGAGGGCGGCCTGACGCGCGCCCGCAGCACCGGTCCTTCCACCGCGCGCAACTCCAGTTACGCGGCGAGGGGCGCCGGCACCTGCTCTCGGCCCGAGCAACGAAGCGGGAGACAGAGGCCCAGGCTGGCTTGTCTCACGGGGGCCGCACGGCCACCCAAAGGCAGTAAGCGAGACACTTGTCCACAGCCACTCCCACAGGCGTTATTTCCAGCTATGGACACAGCCAAGGACAAGCCTGCAGTCCCCACTGCCTGGTCACGGGGCTGCCGGGCAGGGCCCGGACCTACCAGGGCCTCTATAGTAGCTGCCGCACAGGCATGGGGCGGGGGTGCCGCCAGGCTCAAGGTCACCTTAACAGGGCCGGGCTCAGCCAGGAGGCCGCTTGCTGACGAGGACAGCAGCACCTCTGGAAGGGGTTCATGCTAAACAAATACAACAGGAGCGCCGGTTCCTTTCACGCACAGAAACGTTCGCTGGGGAACAGGCGCACAGGGCAGAGCGAGCTGTGGGCTGATTAGGACTCCTCTAGCTTGTCCGGATGCTGCTCGTGACCTCATTTATAAACGCAGACCCTCTCCGCGGCCGCGGAATACGGACACCCTCCAGGTCCAGCTGCTGAATCCCCAACAGCACCCGGGCGGCTAGGTCGACAGGAACAAGGCTGAAATACAGCCCACTGATAATTTTGCCTTCTTGGCACTTGCTCCCAAAGGGCCTGGGGAATCGCTTTAATTAAAAAGGTTTGTTAAATTACATTAACGTGCTCAGGACGGAGGACGGGGCGGCAGAGGCAGGCGAGGCCCAGGAGACAGTGCCCACGGGCTCAGCTCACCGCCCCACGGAAGGGCACGCGGCCTTGGAGACAGACGTGCCTTTGCTGGGGGCAGCAACCGGGCTTCCTGTCCGCGCCCGGTCTGCGTGGCAGGCACTGGGGGCGAACCCACTGCAGGCTCCCGCCCCGCCGGCGCCCCCGCCGGCCACTGCCCCGAGAGATACTCACCCTTCTCCCGGGCTTTCCTGCCGGGCCGGGCGGGCCCTGCACACCTCGGGGGCCCTGTCCGGGATCAGAGGGCCAAGGGTCAGTGTGGGTCCGTGTGTCCCAGAGACAAAAGGAAAATCTTGTCCCACTCTTGTTGACGCGGCCTGCGGCCTGCGGCCTGTCCTCCCTGCTGCCCGGAGTGAGGGCCGGGCTCGGAGAAGCGCCCGCTGGCTCCCGCCCGTCATCCCTGTCCCCCTCCGGCTCTGCATCCGGCGACAATCCCCACTGACCCCCTCGACAGAAGGCAGCGCTTGGGGCGCCACCACCTCCAAAGTCACAACCTCCCGTGCACAGCGGAGACCCCCCTGTGAAGAGCAGAGGCGAGGCGCCTACGTACCTGAGGACCCATGTCTCCCGACTCGCCCTTCAAACCTCCGATGCCGGGGGGGCCCTAGGGAGACACGGCTGGTTAAGGAGCGCACCGCGGGGAGAGGCCGCAGGGGGCCGGGGCGGTGGGGGGGATGCGGAAATCAGGGGGCTGCCGGCCGGGGCGGACGCTCAGCCCCGCCTGCCGCGGACACAGCCCACGCGACGGGGAAAGGGCTCGCGGTTTGGGTCCCTTCCTAGTTTTGAACAAAATTCTGGACAGTGGGGGACACGAGAGCCACAATGCTCACGGCGGCGTGCGTCTCCCTCTCCAAGGCGGATGTGACCACGGTGTCACATCCCATGGCTTCGGACAAGGTGCGGGCATCCTCTGGGCCCGTATCACCAGGCAAAGATGCCGGAGGACAGCGCTGGGGGCAGGGGGGCGCTGACCGAGGACCCGGGGCCCGCGGCCAAGTCCCCCTCCCAGGGAACGGTAGTGGGGACACTGGGCACCGAGATCCTCTGTCCCCTTGGGAACTGCAAGGGCCTCTCGCAGTCGCTGGGGGTCCCATTTGCAGGTCCTGTGCCCGGCACCCAGCGCACCCAGCTGGGCAGCAGCGCCAGGCAGGGAGGGCTGGCTGGCCGGTCTGACCGCCCCCACCGGTGCCCCGGACGGAAGAGACTCTGAGCCCCTGCATCGTGAGGCGCAATCGCAGCCAGGGCAGGTGTGGGGGGCTTCCCGGTCCCCAGGCCAACGCAGGCCCCACCGGCCCAGCAGCCACTGCCCACCCAGGCGCCAGCGATGAAGCAAGAGTGCATGACGGCTTGAAGCAAGTCCTCCCCTCCCCGAACCGCGTGAGGAGGCTAAAGGGCAGGAGTTTGGGGGGCGCCCCCCCTCGCCATGCCCCACCCCCGTCCCCGCTCCTGCTGCTGGTGACTCACCATGGGGCCGGGTCTCCCCGTCAGACCCATCGGGCCAGCCGGCCCCCTCAACGCCAACTGCAAGGGTAAAAGGACAGGCTGAGAGACGGCGGCGGGTGTGCGGGTCCTGGCAGGCGAGCGCGGCCAGGCACAGGTGCCGCTGCAGGGCCACGGTGCGGCCCACGGCCCCCAGCTCTGCGCTCAGTGCCAACCACAGCCCGAGCAGCGGCGCTACTTCCCGCTTCGGCGAGGGGCGCTCCGAGCCTCGTGCGGACCTCCCTGCCAGCCCCCTGCCCTTCGCCCCTTAAAGTGAGCTTCCAAAGCACCCTCCCTGGCAGGGCTGGGCAAGGAGTTTGTGCCAGGAGCCCAGCTGAGTAACATTGTATCCTGGGTAGCTTGTATCCTGGGTAACATTGTATCTTGAGTGGCACTGTATTCCGAGTAACACTGTTCTGGGAAACATTGTATTCTGGGTAACACCGTATTCTGAATAAGTTCTCTGAGAACCATGTCTAGTGCCCCCCAGTGGCCTGGGAGCCCTGCTGCGGGTGAACTAAACCAGTCCCAGAGCGGCAGGCCCTGGGAGCTGCAGCCACCAGACACCTGCAGGGGCGCCCTGTCCCACCTGCCCATCCCCAGGGCGGCTTCACCTGCCACAGTGCAGCCCTGTTCCAGTCCCTGCACAAAACTGCGTCACCCCCGCCGTCACTCCCCGCCGTTTCACTTGGGAGGAATCTTGGGGCTATAAAATCTTCTAAGCCCATCCCCGCCCCCCCTACCCCGGCTTCCCATTAAAATGCACCCAGACTACCAGGCCAGCGGCCAGGCCTGGCCAGTGAATCTTGGTCCCAGGGTTTGTTACACTCTGTATGGCATCTTGGGGACAATTTGTCCCACAAGACAACTTGCTACTCAATTTGTCCTGCAGTTACCCCGCACTCGGGCCCTCCGTGCTGCTCGGCGGGCCGGGAGCCACAGAGATACTGCCATACAAGGGCCGATTTAGCGACTCCTTGCGGTGCCCCACTGCCGGCGCTCTGCCAACGTCACCTGCGCACCCAGCCCCCCGCGGCACCTCCCTCATCAACATCATCGCCACCTGTCCCTGAGTCAACTCAGTCCACTCATCGGCTACTGTGCAGAGCAGAGCAGTTAGGGGACCGAGGTTCCATGGGACCCCAGGCCGCGCGAGGTGCTTTGGGGCCCACGGGGGCTCTCCGGGGTGTCCGGCTCTGCCCAGCACTTTGCAGGGACCACTCACCCGCGCCTGCTGCAGGATGGCTTGCGCTTGGGACTCCTGGGCTGAGACCATGGGGCCTTTGGAGCCGGCATCGCCACCCCCTCCGAACCGGAACTGCGGGTACAAGACGGGGTCACCAGGGTGCACCGATGCAGATGCCCATGCTGGAGCCCAGGGTTGGGCACTGCCCATGGGCCCCCAAGGGAGCAGCGGAGCTTCGGAGGGTCTGGTCAGGCAGCTTCGAGCCCCGCCCCCACCACGCACAGGCCACTGGCCGCACATGGCTGCCCTGGCCCCACCCGCTAATTTCAGCCCTGGGGACTCCGGAGACCCTCCCAGTGTCCCAGAAGCCCTTCCTGGCATCTGTGGCCTCTCAGCCTGGGCGTCTGCAGCCCCCAGTTACTGCAGGAAAAGCCCAGGGCCATGCACACGCCTGCCCTGAGGGGGCCTGGCAAGGGTGGCCCGGGCTCCACGCCAGTGACCCGGAGCTGTGCCCAGCAGCCCAGGCATCAGACAGACAGGCAGACAGCGCAGGCTCACAGGAAACAGACATCAGTCAGAAGACTGACGTCCAGACCAACCACGTGCTCTCTCTCCAGGGCCTGGGCTACCCGTGAAGGGGACAGCCCGTGACCTTCAGCCACAAGGTCATGGGCAGATGGGGGGCAGGTCGGGCTCAGGGAGGGACCCGCGGGCAGGCACGCCCGCCCGGACGGGTGTCTGCCAACAGGCAGGTGACAGACACAGGCTGTCCTTCGGGGCCGACCCCGCTCCCTCTCGGACGGGTCAGCCCTGGGAGCCGGCGCAGAGGCAGGGACGTCGACTGTGGGGCCCTACTCTTCTGCGAAGGCAGGGCGCCCCGGAGGGCCTGCCTCTGCGCAGTTGGCCCAGGCTGGGGCGAGTCTGAGGCCTGGAGGTTGTTCCCCTCGGAAACAGAGCCCAGGGCCCCCCTCCCATCGCCCCCCCCGCGGGGGTACTCACAGGCAGCATGAGCATGGTTCCGGGGGGGCCGGGCAGCCCGTCGGCCCCAGGAAGGCCTGGGCGTCCAGGGGGGCCCTGCGGACAGGGGGGACGAGAGCCCGGTCAGAGTGCAGAGGGATGGAGCTGGCTGGGCCGGGAAGAGAGTTGGGAGCCTTGGCTGAGCCGGAAATACCCTGGACAAGTGCAGAGGAGTCCCAGGCCCCGTGGCCTAGAACGTTCCAGAACCCAAGTCCAGAAAAGGGGAGCATCGCTGTAGGATTCGGACAAGGAAAGGCTCCTGGGGGCGGGGGGGTGGGGCAGAGATGAGGAGGGAGGGCGGTCTGGGCGGATCCAGACAGAAGGGAAGGTGGGGGCTGCAACCAGGGCCGAGGCCACACCCCAGGATGTGAGCAGCGGTGGCGCATCGGGGCGTCCACCCCTCCGGGACGCCCCTCCCAGTCTGCGCACCACCCAGGCGGCAGCTGCGAGGGGCGGCCCGGCCGCTGAAAGGCCCGGCTCCTCTGCACCGTCCACGGGGCCCCTCGTCCCTCCCCGCCGATCCGCGCATCGTAGCTCAGGTGGACGAGGGCTCAAGCGTCTGCCGCTCGGACGGATGCAGGGAGCAGAGTAAAGGGGCCGCGCTGTGACCTCCGTGGGTTCCCCGGACCTGGCCCGAGGTGGGTCCCACACAGACATCCCTCCTGGACGGGTTTTCCAGGCAGTTCCGGCCACCCAGGCCTATACAAACAGTCACCTTCCCCAGGAGGCAGCGTGTTTCCAGAGAACGGTTAACCACTCAGCTTTTCCACTCGCTTATGCAGATGCCCCGCAGGCCTGAGGCCGATGGAGCTTGTTTTGCATCTAGACCCATCGGCCACCCCGGAGGGGAACTCAGGTGTGTGGGCTCCGGTCCTCTGCACCGACGGAGTGTGCGCGCGCTCCCCCCCGCCATGGAGCCAGGACGCGGGGTCGATTCCCAGGTCCCAGCCGAGGAGACCGAGAACCAGGACGGCCCTGCTGGAGCTCCCGGGCCTGCGCTCACGTGAGCCTGCCTTGGAGAGGCGCCGTCCCCATCCCAGCGAAGCGCTGCGTCACATGGCCTCACCCACAGAGAGCCCGCTTCCGCCCCGGGGTCCCCGGAGCTGTCTGTCCGTGAAGAGGAAGTGGGGTGTGGGCCCTCCAGGCCCACGGGACAGAACGCGGCCTGCAGGGCGGGCCCCACTTTGTATGAGACCAGCGTCCGCGTGTTGTCCAGTTTCCCACACGGGATGACTCGTCCTTGATGGGACCCGTCCTCCACCGACGCACACTCAGGCCACCCCCAGGGTGCGGCGCACCGCCTGCTGCTGCGCTGGACTTCCGGGCACCTTTCTCAGGTAGGGCCCAGGGACGGGCCGTGGGGCACAGATTACTCTCGTCTTTACCGCTAATGGGTCCAGGCAAACGGCCTTTGTCTGCCCTCTTGGAAAAAGTTCTCAGAAAATAATAAAAACAATCTGGAACATGTTCTGCCGCCCAGGTGTCCTCTGGGAAATCCATGCCGTCGACTGCTTGCCGCTGAGCTTTCTCCCTCAGGGTTGACCCCAAATGAACGCCCCCAATTCAAAACTAGGGGTCCGCGTCTCGCAGGCACGGAACGCCATCCACGCAGTGTCTGTGTGAAAAGCACACTCGCGCTGGCGTGCCCGGTGGCGCTGGGAGCCAGGAGGGACACGGGGTGGCCCCGCGTCTGCTGAGTCCATCCTTAGGGGCCCTCAGGCCAGCTCTTCCTCCTGCTCCTTCTAAGCCACCGTGGGGACACGTCAACCTCAGGGGCTGCAGGCACCCTCCAGTGTGTGCCTCGGCGCGCGCTCCCCCGTGCAGGTCTGCCCGGACGCCCCGGGCACTGGGAGCCCGCAGAGAGGGCCGGGCCGCACCGGTGGGGGCACAGTCGGGCCGCAGGGCGAGCCCCCGCTCGGCCGCCGCCCCTGACCTGAGCCAGCCCAGTCGGAAGGCCCGGGCCAGCGGGGTCGGAGCATCCTTCGGGTCGCGAGCAGTCACAGCCTCGGCCCTCGACCTGAGCCCAGCCCCAGGGAGGCCCAGTGCACATCTGTGCTGATGGAGAGGGGGACGCAGGAGCAACCCCAAGGCTGAGCGAGGTCAGCCGCTATCCGTGCGCACGGTGCACAGCGTGGCGTCCTGGCCTACGTCTGCAGGTGGACACGCCGTCTGCTGTGCCGTGCAGACCCCTTTCCTCGACGTGTGCGCGGTCTCACTCCTGGGTCCGCCTGGTGACAGCTCTGGGGGAGAACCTGGCCGTCGCCCGCCTCCCACAGGCCTTTGGAGTGAGCTGGGCTCAAGACCGCAGCCCCCACTGTGGAACCCAGGTCATGCGAGGCGGGGAGGGCCAGTGGCCCCAGCCTGCTTGTCTGGGATTTTGACACTGGCAGAGGAATGCCTGCGAGGGCCAAGGTCCTAGCGGCCCTTTGAGTCCCTACCACAAAGCGAGACCCCGCTACTCCGGGCCCCCAAAGCCTCCAGACATGGGGAGACAAAGCGGCCGAGGATCCTGCTTGAGGCGCCGCTGAGCCGAGGTCACCCAGCCACAGAGAAGAAGGGGAACCTGCCCCCGGCCCCCCTGCTCACCCAGCGCCCAGCCGCTCCATCTGCAGGTTCCAGCCACGTGGCCCCGATCCCCCGGGACCCCCTGCCAGAAGCCTCCTCGGCGGCAGCCGCCGGCCCCCTCCACACCACCAGGCCCGGCCATCGACAGCCCCAAGCCAGCAGGTCCCTGCTCCGCTCCGGGCCGCCCGCCAGGCCCCGGGGGTGAATGCCACCCCCGTTAGGACACGCATGCTCCCCGTTTCTCTGCTCCGCAGCTTAGCCAATGATTAGCTCTTCACCTGAGCGTGTCAGAGCAGCAGGAAGCACAGGACCAGAGAAAAAGGGAAAAAAGCCGAGCTGGACAGGCACCCCCAGGCTGCAGTACCGCAAAGGCCCACTAGGTGTCAGAATGCAATTGCGTCGTCCTGGGCCCAGCCCTCATCTCCGCAGCTGGGACTCTGAGGTGTTGTCCCCCTGACCGGGGAGACCATGGGAGGGGCCCCCTTGTTCCAGAGCAAGCTCCCCTGTGTTGCAGCTTGGCTGCCAAGCAGGAAGAGGGCTGAGGGTCCCGGATGGAGAAAGAGCCGCGCGGATTCCCCGGGCCGCACCAGCTGCTGTTGCCACCGTCCCACGGACGCAGGGCCGGGGGACTGCACCGGGAGCCGACCGCTGGCGGCCTCCGTGGGACACAGCCCCGCTGGTCTGACTCGTACGGGGTCACCTGCCCCCGGAGCAGGGCCGGGTCACCGCCGGCCTCCCTAAACACCCGAAGAGGCCGGAGGCAGTGGCGGGGCGGCGTGGGAGGCGGGGGCCCACGGCCACCCGGAGAAGGGAGTGGAGGCGCGGCTGCGGTCTGCGCGCGGGCAGACGGCACCCAGACGGGCCCGCAGGGCACCGGGTCCTTACCCTTTCTCCGGGGTCACCCACTTGGCCTGTGGGACCCATCGTTCCTGGAGGTCCTGGGAGACCCTAGAATGAAAGGTGAAACCAGAGCAGAGTTCAAAGAGGCAGCCGCAGGCGCGCGCCCTTCTGGCCTGGCGGGGGGCCCCCGGGTGTCTGCCACCGGCAGGGAGCGCCCCTCCTCCATCCCCGAGGGCCCGCCCCTGAGCGCCCGCCCCCCGCACACCATGGACACCAAAGGGGACACTCACTGCAGGGCCTTCAGGGCCGGGGGGCCCCTCCAACAGCATGCCCTGCAAGAGAGGGGGCGGTGTATGAGTCTGGGCCCCCCCGCCGGCAGGCTCCTTGACAGGGCGGCGGGGGGGCCACGGTGACCGTCCTCTGACCGCTCCCAGGAACAGCGGCAAGCCCGGGTCACCCGCATCTCCCTCGGGGGCGGCTCGAGAAGCCCCTCAGGATGCCGAGAGGAAAGGGCGGCGGGGGAGCCGGGCCCCTACACCCCCGTCGTCCCGGGCAGGGTCTCTCCTGTCTCCCTGAGGAGCAGAGGCTGCGCGGGCCCTGGGCCCCCGCAGGCTGCCTGGGCGAGGAGGGACCCCACGCCCAGCCCGGGGGACCGTCAGGACCGACTGCTCAGACGGGCCACCCTGGCACCTCCAGTCCCCGCCTCCTCCGGGCAGCAAATGCTGCCCCGCCGCCCGCAGCAGCAGCCCAGGGTGAGTGCGCCACACCGCCAAGGCCACGGGCACCCGGCCGCCACCGCTGCCGCCGCTCACCTGCCTCTGGCCCCACCAGGCCTCACCGCCTCTACGCCCAAACAGGGACAAGGCCCCCTGTCCGCTCTGTTGCCTGTCCCTGAGAGGGGGTGCGGGCAGCCGAGGGGACCATGGGCCTCAGAGGCTCTCTGCCGGACGGAGCTCCCTGGGCCGGGCAGCTCCCCACTCCCGGGCCTCCCCCTCCAGCCCCCTCCCGGGACAGGACTCCTCCCCTGTCTCGCCAACGCAGGGCCGGCCCCCCTCAATGTCCTTGGGGTCTCACGCCCCCTCCAGGGGGGTCTGAGCCAGTGTCCAACCTCACGGAGGGGAACGGTTCTCGCCCCCTCGGGACCTGCTGGCTGCAGACACAGTGGGGGTGGATGCGGGGCCCAGTGGACGCGGTGATGCCCTCGTCCCTGCTAGTCCTCGTGGCTACCGGGACGGCGTGGGGTGCTGCACGTGCTGGCCCTGGGGCCGCCTGCTGCCCCCACCCCCCACCGCGGGAGGCACGGTGGCTTCTCTCTGGGAGGCTCAATGTCATGGCCGTGCCCTGGACTCATCTTCCAAGGGACCCTTCCTCTTGTGCAACCTGGCATGGCTTCCGGGGAGTAAGAGATCGGCCCAGCAGGGCACGGGATTGCCCCGGTGCGGCCCGGTCGGGGCCCCTCCCCTCCCCACCAGGGCTCCCGGTCGCTGCGAGGATGGCCGCTATGTTTACACAGATGTGCTCTAGGAGAAATATTTGCACACGAGACGCACGCAGGGCCCGTGCAAACAGCTCCACGAGCCCGTGCGCCCCTTTCCTCCTGGGGCGCGGGCAGCTGCGAAGGCTCGGGGCCTGAGCGGGGACTACGAGAGGGGACACTGGCCTGCAGGGCCTGGGGGCTGCAGCTGGCTCCCCAGCGTGCTGGCCGCTCCTCTCGAGGCGCCGGGGCTCTACCGGGCGGTGGTCTCACAGGAGGGACACTGGAAACCAGCAGAAGGTGCCTGCCCTCTCCCAAGCGAGGCCAGCCAGGGATGCACCCACAGGGCCACCGGGGTGGAGACGCATTCAGGCTCCACGGGGAGCCCAACCCTGACAAAGGGCCCCAGCCTGCCGCTCAGAACTCCTCATGGGGCTCCATCCACGCGCGAAGCAGCACGTACAGAAAAGCCGCCGTGTCTGCAAGCACAGGGGAGGCAGACGCAGAGATCCGTGTGCCTCCGATGGGCGTTCCCGGGGGAGAGGGGCCCCCGAGCGGGGGCGTCTTGGCCCCCGCGGCTCCGGGGCGGCCAGGCGCCCTGGTGCTGGTCACCCCCAGTGCTCTGGGCCAGGGGGACTCCTGTCCTTGAGAGGAGCCTCGGATGTTGCTGACAAATCAGAGAAGGTACCGGATCTGGGCGCGAATGGCCAGCCAGGTCCCTGAACGATGGGGAGAAGGAGCTGCTTCCGAGGGCTCCATCCCCAGTGACTCACAGCCCCCCGGAGGGAGGGCGGTGGGGCAGGTGGGGGGACAGGCGACGGCCACCCCAGCCTCCACAGGCCAGGAGGCCTGCACGGCCGGCAGCGAGGCCACGTCAGCCTCTCCCGGGGCCCGGCCATCTGTTTACGGCAGCTGAGGCTTTGAGGACACCTGGCGATGCTCCAGGTTGAGAAACTCCAACTGTTTACACGGCCCCTCCGGGGACACGGCCAAGGGCCCATGGGTACACCAGCCGGGCTGGGGGCTGGGTGGCAGAGGACTCGGGCCCGTGGGAGGGAGCCCCCCCCACCGCCCGCATCCGGATGGCCCAGGCCCCCCACCCCGAGGGCGGAACCGGCTTCCTGCAGAGCTGTTCTCCGTGGTGGACGCCCTGCCTGCTTGGCCCACCCCCACCGCGAGGGGGAGCCGGCCCCCACCCCGCCCCGCCCCACCCAGGAGCAGGGGCGCAGGGCTGTCCTTACAGGGTCTACGAGCAAACAGGAAGCTTACCCAGGCGGGGGAGCCAGCCCTGCCGCCCAGAGAGAGGGAACCAGACCCGGACTCCGCAGCCGGGCACCTCCCAGGCCTCCCACTGCCGCCCCGGGCCAGACACCCCGCTCACTGAAGCACCGGGGGCGCCCCGCGAGACACCCCAAGGCACCAGCAGGTCCGCCTAGGGGCCAAGGCCGCCTGGGGAGACGTCACGTCCAGGCCCTTCGCCCCGGTGAGGTAAGGCCAGCTCAGCTCGCAGGAGCCACGGGCGTTCCCGGCACCCCGCTGCTCTGTGATGGTCCCCCGGCTGGGCTGTCGACCCCCCAGTGTCAGGACCTTTCACCTGGCTGAGCCAGGGGCCCCCTGGCCTTGGCGCCCCCAGGGCACCTCTGCGCACCCCCCCAGACAAGCTCTGTCTTTCTGGGACCCGCGGAAAGCAGGGGAAAGAAGGCGACCCAGCCCAGGGAAGGGATGTGTGTCCTGTGCCCACAGCCCCGTGGGATGAGTGGGCCCCGTCCCCAGACAGGCCTGGGGTCGGGGGAGGGGCACAGAGCCACACAAGAGGGCCTTTGCCCCCCGGGGGCGTCCCTGGCTGGCAACGGGCCAAGCGAGGGAACGCGACCTGCTGGCAGTGCCACCCCAAGATGGGACGCGTCCCGGCTGCCCTGGCCACGGGGCTCCGGGCCTCTCTGGGGGGACGCGGTTTGCCACGTGCCATCAGTCAAGGTTCCGAAAGAACCCGCAGCTCCCAGGAGGGTGGAGGCCACCAGGTCCCTCCGTCCCGAGCCCACAGGCACGGCCCTGGGAGCGCGGCCCCCAGGGACCGGGTCCTGGCGGCAGGTCACAGCCCAGCCCCAGCCTCCCGCCCGGCTGGCGGCTGGCCCGGCCTACTCCCTACGGCGCCGGGAGGACGTGGCGAGGTGGACCTCGGCCACCAGCCCCCGCCATCCCTTCCGGGCCCACCTCCCACTCCCTGCACCTGCAGCACCCGGGCTCGCCCCCGCAGACGGTCACAGGCGCCTCGCCACGGGGCGGGGGGTGGGGGGGCCGGCCTGGGCAGCTCTCGGGCCGCAGGGCGCATCCCGCTGCCCGCAGCCAGGCCCAGCTCCCTGAGGTCGGAGGACGCCCCGGCGCCGAGGTGGCCCCCGCTGACACCCACCAGCCCCCGAGGGGCCTCCGGACCCCCCGCGGCTCCACACGCGGGGGCGCTGGGATCCCGCTACCCAGCATGGCTGAGCTTGACTCAACCAGGGTTCCGGCACACTGCAGGTTATGAGGTTCCCCCCGCGGGTTCCATGAGCAGCTTCCGGGGGCACAGCGGGCCGCGGGGGCAGGGCCCGTAGCAGACCGCCCCCGCCCCCCAGATCTGCTGCACACGCGGCCCGGCCCAAGCCCCAGCCCTCTGCCACCCTCCAGGGGGGCCCTGCCTCCCTCTCAGGGCCGTGAAACGCACAGGACAGGAGGGGACGGGGCTCAGCGGCCCGACAGCTCGAAGCCCACGCAGCCACCCCCTCCAATGCCTGGAACGTTCCCTGCCCGAGTCCTAGCAGTACCCGGGTGTGGCGTCCCCGGGGCCCCACAGGCCTGGCCACGCCCCCCACGCTGTGACCCCGCCCCCCATCTCCGCCCATCTCCGAGAGAGGGTGAGAGAGCATCCTTACAGGTTCAATGATGGCAGGTTCTCCCTTTTGACCCTTCTCGCCCCGAGGTCCTTCAATCTGGGGGTGAGAAACGGGCGGAGAGAGAATGAGAGGACAGGGGAGGCCGGGTGGCCGTGTGCCCGCGACTCTGCTTACGGAGCCGGGCAGCCCACCGCCCCCGCACCGCCCCCCGCAACCCCCCCAGCCCCTCACCCCCTCGAAGATGGTGTCCTGGTTGGCTGGCATGCCTGGCCCGATCTCCGACGGGGACACCGTGGGGTCGTAGTAGGAGTCGTAGTAGCTCTCGTCCAGGTTCTTGACGGTTTCTTCAGTGAAATCCCCCTCCAGGTCATCCTTCCCTTCCCCGGGGGGCAGAGCCGGCTGAGGGGAGAGGGGCACAGGGTCACCCAGCGGACAGGGGACACCAGGCCAGCTCCAGGGCCCACAGCCTTGGGGCTCCAGGGACGGTGGCCTCCCAGGAGCCTGGAACCTAACTTGTTGGGAGAGTGAGCTCCTGGGGTCCCCGGTGGTCTGTTCACACGTTCTCATTGTCACCAGGAGGAGGCTCTCAACCCCGCCCCCCGCCAAGACCCCATGGCTGACTAGGGCTGTGCCTGGGGACGTCAGTGCCATTGGGGCTCTGCCATGGGCCCCAATAATGTGCCCTTCATGCCACACCCACTGGCAGAGGGGTCTGGACTCATCAGAGCCCAGAGTGTCCACTCTGTGGCTGCCAAGAATTTGGCTATTTTTTAAAAAGATTTTATTTATTTACTTTCAGAGAGTGGGAAAGGGAGGAAGAGAAACATCCATGTGTGGTTGCCTCTCGTGCGCCCCCTACTGGGGACCTGGCCTGCAACCCAGACCTATGCCCTGACTGGGAATCGAACCAGCAACCCTTTGGTTCGCAGGCCGGCACTCAATCCACTGAGCCACACCAGTGAGGCCGAGAATTCTGCCATTTTTAAGCTTTCATTAGGTGTCACGTGTTGTGCTGAATTCCTTCCTAATCTGAAAACTGGGTAACAAGCCCAGGGAGTGGGCACATCAGTGCCACGCCGAAAAAGATAGCATGGGAGTCACGGTCCCTGGTGGGGAGTTCACGCCAGGCCTGCCTGACAGGAAGGCCCGCGACGTACCCAGAAGGGCCCACCTTGCGTCCCATCCAGGTCCCCAGCTCATGCCCCCCCGGCCGGACCCCACCCAGGCCGTACACAGGGACACGGATGCGGGCACCTGCCCGCATCTGCCTCCACCCGAACCGGACGCCTGGGCTCACTCTGCCTGCTTTGCCGATCCACTGAGATCCCCTCAGCGAGTTGGAGGTTCCATGCCTGCTCGGCGTCCCCAGTGAGAGAGGCGGGGAAAGGGGGAGCGCCCGGGGTCCTGGCCCTGGCCTGGTGGTCCCGGCCCCGTGGTCCCGCCCCGGCCCAGCCAGCTCCGAGGGAAAGCAATTACGTTGGAGGCATTGGAGGCGCCGACGGTGGTGCTGGTGGGGACCTCCACCCCGGCGCCATGGCTGGGGGGCTGGTCGGGGTCCTCGACGCCCTCGGCGTAGCTGATGTCCTCGTAAGGGGGCGGCGTGTAGTAGTCCTCGATGGGCACATAGTCGTAGTCCCCGATGCCGGGGTCCTCCTCCTTCCCAGCCCCCTCATGGGCATCGGGCACGGGAGCAGCCGCCGTGGGGGGCGGGGTCAGCTCCTGAGAGCCAGGCAGAGAGAGGCGGGGCTGGGGAGGCTGCCGGCCAGCGACCTGGGCCTTGGGCCACCTCTGCCGTGAAACAGGGCCCTCTCCGCCAACCGGGACCCTGCGGATTCTGGGTGCAGGGGCTGCCCCTGGCCCCCAGGAGGGGGCGGCCCAGCCCAGGAGGGCGCTGGGAATGGACTGAAACTCGACGTGTTAAGCACTTGAAAAGGGCAAACTGTATCTCAAAAGCTTTCTTAAAAAAGAGAACATCCCAGGCAGACAGCAGGAGAAGCCAGTCCCCCAGCCACCCTCTGGGGCGGGGACAGTGGCCCTTCACTTCTGCATGCCTTGAGGTCACAAGCCGCCATGGACAGCCCCCTCCCAACGCAGCCCCCCCCCCCCGGAAGGACAAATCACCTCTGGCCCCTCGCTTCCCTGCCGAGCCTGTACTGCCTCCCAGTGCCCCCCATTTTCACACACGCCCCCCCCCCGGTCCCCCCCATCCGCCTGCGCGCCCGCCCGGACCTCGGGAGTATCTGTGGTCTCCTTAGCGGCTCCCGCCGGCTTCCCGGTGGGGGTGGGCTCCTTGCCCGGGCTGTCGGGGTCCTCGTAGTAGGGGTACTCGTAGTAGTAAGTCTCGCCTTCCCCCTCTCCATCTGGGTACTGGCAGGGAAGCAGGCGCGTGAGGATGGGGGGCCCGCCGCAGGCCTGCCTGCTCTCACCTGCGCGCGCCGGACTCTGTGGGCCAGAAAGCCGCTCCCAGCCCACCCAAGCAGGAAGCTGAGCCTGCCCCATAAGACATCCCAGGGAAGAAAAGGGGTCCCTGGTCCCCCTCAGAGAAAGCTGAATCCTAAAAGAGGCCTAGAACTTCTGACCCTTCAGAACCCAAGAGCCGGCCAAACGCTGGGCCCCGCTGGCAACATCCCGTCACTCGGTGGGGAGGGACTTCACGGCGACAGAAGGGCAGCCCTGGTCCTGGGGACACTTGCGTCAGGGACTCGGAGGGGTAGCTCATCTCGGGAGGGTAAGATGTGCGGGGCAGGGCGCCGGAAGCCCTGGGAGCGAGGCGAGGCCCAGCCCCCCGGTCCCCGGGCAGGAAGGGAGGCCGGACAGAGCGGGAGAGGTCTGGACGCCACCTGAGAGCGTGGACTGCAAACAACATGAACCCAGGCACCGCTGGCCTTCAAGGGCACGAGGGCGGGAACGGCCAGCCCCAGGCCACGGCAGGTTGCGGCGAGGGGGCGAAGCCTAGGACATGCTCCTGCTGTGCAAGGGACGGGGCTGCTCCTCAGGCGGCTATGCCGGGGGCCAGGGGCCCCTCCGTTCCGAGTGGGCAGCCCCCCTACTTGGCAGGCACGGGCAGCTCCACCCCCGACTCAGCCCCTGGGGCCCGGCAGCCGCTCTGCTCGGAAGGCCTGCGACAGGGGACAGAGGCACCTCGCCATCTCATCTAGAAATCGTCTGAGCTTAGAGGAGAGGGTCCTTGACCAACGTCCTCAGTGGCTCGGCCCCTCTTCCCGCCCGGGGGAGTATTTAACACGGAGGTGTCACGGCTTCTGTGCCCTCCCGCCCCAGGCCCCGCGGACCCAGCCAGGCCGACTCACGTATTCGTCTGGGTGGGGGTCCTGGGACTGCGGGGTGTCGGGGACGGCTGTGTCGCAGTCAGGACTGTAGTGCTCGCAGTAATCGTACGCCGCCCGGGGGTCCGAGACGAACAGCAGCTGCTGGATGTCACCCTGGAAAAGGACAAACGCCCTTGAACAAGAGGCACACAGGGACCCACGAGGGGACCCGGCAGACCAGCCTGGCGTCTGAGGGAGAGGCCTGTCCTCAGCCAGCCTTCCCCTCCGGAGCTGCTGCCCCCCGAAACCACCGACGTGCGACTGTTCTGCCCACCCAGCCACCCAGCCACCCCCTCCCCACCCGCCATCCGTCCGCCATCCGTCCGCCGCCCCTCCATCGACCTGGTGCCAGGAAGGCAGAGGGAGGCGCGGGGAGGAGCGGATGCGCCTGCCACCCAGGGTCACAAAGCGCGGGTCCCCTGGGGTGTCTGGCACAAGGCGCCAGCGGAGTGCGCAGCCCCGGGGAGGGGACCTGCCGCCTTCCCCTGCTCCCCAGAGGCTCTGCGGGGAACCCGGCCCAGAGACGGGGTGCGTGGGAGTGACTCCGCGGCAGAAGCGGGTGACAGCCCCCGAGTCCAGACAGGCCCGTGAACCCCTGACCCGCGCGCCATGGCTCCGCATGCGTGCCCCCCGCCCCGGGTTTGACGCCCCCGGAGGAGGAGCCCGGAGCGCCCGTCTCCGCAGGCAGACCCGTCCCCACGCCGACGGCTCTGCCGACCCGGCTTCCTCCGGAGGTCAGCCCCCGGGGCTCTGCCTCCGGCCACGCACGGCGGGGCCCCTTCCACCCGCCTCACCCCTGCAGGCCCCGCAGCCCAGGCCACCCTGCCGCCGGTCTCCTCCCCGCCGGGGACAGAGGCGGTGCAGACGGAGCCTCCCGCTGCTGCCGGGCCCGGGCCCCCGGCCCCCACGCCGGCAGACGGGGCGTCACAGCTCAGCACCCGCCGCGGTTCCCCGCCTGGCCCTCGGCCAGGGCCCCACCCGGCAAGTCCCTGTCTCCCTCCGGACGCCAGCAGCCCCTGGCTCGCGGCTGAAGCCTCAGCAGGAGAGAACAGGTGACAGGATCACAACCATGCGTTTTCACGAAGGGACGTGACTTCCAGTCCCAATTCCATCCGCTTCAAATAAAATATTTGCTCCTCTCAACTGGCAGTTTCATGTGTGAACATGTGTTCTCCCAGCGCAGTTACAGGGAGGAAGAGGAGGCTGGGGGGCCGTCGGGGACCGTCAGGGGTCACTGTGAGCGCCGGCGCCTGGCCAGGGGCCTGGATGAGCTCCGCACACCTCAGTGTCCCCGGTCCCAGGCGCCAACATGCATGAGCATGTGTGTATGTGCCTTGTGCGTGTGTGTGCCAGCGTGCATGAGTCCATGTGTGTGTGGGCGTGGCGGTGTATGTGCGTACCGCACAGGGCTGCCGCACGGCTCCCTGCTCTGGGTGACCCACACCTGAATGGATGCGGGCGACCCCATCCTTGGGCACCCGCAGGACGAAGCGAAGGGGCAGCTCCGCCTCCACCAGCCTGGGCTCCTGGCCTCAGGGCGCTGGGCTGACCCTGGGGCCTGGGGCCGGGTCCCCGCCCACAGCAGCAGCCCGGCCGGTCCTGGGGCTGCGGGCACAACCCAGCCACCGCAGCCCCGGCAGGCCGGCCTCCAGGGCGCACTGCCCCGTGCAGCCTCGCCGTTTCACGCCCCCGCCCGCGTGCGGGCTGGACGGGATGACCCCTCACCCCCTTCCCCGCGCCACACGGACATGCCCCATGTGTCCGTGCGGCCTCCACGGGACGGAGCTGGAGCCTGTTCCCTCTCCCCGGTGCCACAGAGGCATGGAAGGGCCACAGCGTGGGGGCTCCCAAGTCCCCTGTTCCCACCCCAGCGCTGCCTGGCTCCCTTCGAGGTCAAGCACTGTGCGCTGTGCATTCAACAGCCTTGGGCTCCCAGGCCCCACGCACGGCACCGCGGCGGCGCCCAGCAGCCCCTGGCGGCGCAGCGTTAGCCCCAGCCCACCTGGCCTCGGCGCGCAGGCCGCACCCGCTCCCACCTCGGATGCCCGGCCAAGGCCGTTCGTCACTCAGCTGCGCTCTGACGCCGACCCAGGCCCGGCGGCCCCACGCGGCCTCCCTGGGGTGGCCCCCCTGGGGTGGCCCCGGTCACCTGCCCAGAGAAGCAGGCGCCTCTGCTCACACCATCCCTCGCTTTAACAACCACCTGTTTTCTCCTTTTTCACCCTATTTCTGCCCCTACCCGGTCAGTGGGCTCTGCTGAGGCCCTAGAAGCTTCTCCCACCGGCAGTCCAGCTTCCTGCTGCGGACACCTGGAGGCCGGGAGGCCACCGGCGGCCGCAATGCAGCAGGACATACGTTGTCCTTGGCCTTTGCTGAGACGGGAGCTTTCTGCTGAGTCAGTTCGGCCTTTTCCGCTAATGAGGTTTTATCCAGCCTGCACTTCTGCTCGGAGCAGAAGAAACTGCAGAGCCCTCGTTGGAGAGTTTTGCGACCCCACGGGCTGGGGGGGCCAGAAGGCGTGCGGTTTGCCCAGAGCCAGGCCTGTGCACCCCGTCCCAAGCCATTCAACCCCGCGTCCCTCCCCTCAGCGGAACCCGAGCGCCTGGGGATGCAGCCCCACGCCGCCGCCGGCCCCACGCCACGGGCCTGGCTCTCCCTGCGATTTTATGGCCTAATTTTCGCCGGAGTACTTCACCCTCGTAAAGGAAAACGCGCGTCATCTGAGAAAACAAACGCTTCCCACAGAGGCTGCAGGAGGAATGGCCGGTGAGCGCGCGTGCTGTCCGCGGAGCGAAAGCAGCGGGAAAGCACCCATGTGCCCCCCGTCAGCAGCTCTGTCCACCAGTCCGCACAGTAAAGGCAGCCCCCGCGAGTCTGTGTGCCACCCATGGGGCGGAGTGGGGAGCGGGAGGAGGCAGCGGGGAGCGCGGGGGCTCCGGAGGCCAGCACACCTGGGTGTCCATCCCAACCAAGGGAAACTTAGGCGCAGCCCCCGAAGCGCCGAGCCACGGTTTCCTGGGCCATGTAATGAGGGGGAGCCACACAGCAGTGGGGCTGCGGTGGGGGGTGTGCGCGGCCCGCCTCCGCTCACAGGGCGGCAGTGCCCGGGGGCACGTGGGCACGGGCCAACCCCATCCACCTGGCAAAGCGCCCCCGAGGGCCAGGCGGCTTCGGACGGACGTGACCGGCGCACGGCGGCAGGGGGGGGAATGCCGGGGTCCCTTCCGTGAGCCACCTCCTGCCATCCTGCGGGACAATGTCACACGGCCAAGGCCGCCCCGCTCCCGCGCTCACGCTCTTGCGGCCCAAACCGCGCACACTGAAAACCTGGCTGGGACGTTTCCAGCCCGTGAGTCGCACGGTGGAAAAGCAGAGGCTGCAGCAGGAGCAGGCCCTGGTCGTCTGGAGACCCCGCGGAGGCGGGGAGGGAGTCTCACGCTACCGAGTGGGCATTAAAGAAATACCTTCATGGGCTGAGACCACGTCCTGCTGCCCCCGCTCCTCACCCCGGCCCCTGCGCCCCGGTCCTCACCTACGCCGCCCGCAGCTGCTGCTCCAGGGCGTCCAGGCTCCTGGCTACTCATGCCCCTGCGGGTGCGGGCTGTGCAGGGCCGCACCGGAGGCTCCCCGGGGCGGGGGAGGGGCCAGGGCACAGGGACAGGGCGGGGGATGGTCGGGTCCCAGCCTCACTGCTCCCTGAAGCTGGCTGCGGTGACGGATGGGTCAGCTGAGCAAACTGAGAGGGGCGCTTCGTCCCCGGATGGGAGGACAGGGCGGCAGAGCCTGCGCCTGGGGCCAGGCCCACGTCCTCCAGAGCCCCGGACCCTATAAAGAGCAGAGGTCTCAGTCCCCGCCCTGCCGGCCGCGTGGCCCCGGATGTGTGGATGGCTGCCCCGCACAGACACGACACACAGGCCCGGCCTCGTTGCCAGGCAGCACACGCGTGACGCCGCCCCCTCCTCCCCTGCACGTGCAGAGAGCAGGCCCAGGGGGACACACACGTGGCAACAAGCTCCCCAGAGGAAGGAACGCGGACCCTCTGCCCAGCTGCAGACAGAGGCGAGGCACGGACACAAGGCGCTTGGGCGCCCGGCGGCTCCCGCGCCCGCCCGCTGCGGTGCCTTCAGCGCGTCACCCGGTCTCTCCGGGCCCCACGTGTTCACGCGTGAAAGCGGGTGACGGGGTCCGCCTCACAGGGGCGCGCGGAGGGCGGGGCCGAGGTCCGTGCAGGACGCTCCGTGGGCCGTGAGCACAGCAAGGCCCAGGTAGGCGGCAGCTGCCGCCGTCGGCACCCCCTCCGCTGCCACCAACGTCGCCTTCATCAGCATCACCAACACAGAGCCGTCGCCATCGGCCCCGCCATCACCATGCCCACGCAGTCCCCGCCACGCCCACCGCTGTCGCCCCGCCTCCGCCACGGCCGCCATCACCGCCCACAGCCCTCGACCTCCGCCCCCCGCCCCCCCCCCCCCCCCCGCGAAGGCACTCCGCGCAGGCGGTCCGCTCCCCCGCTCCCCTGCTCCCCCCGCCAGCGCGTGCAGCCCCTCGACGGCGCGTCGCTCGGACAGAGGATGACTCGGCGTTTGGGACCCCAGCCTCACCCTCCCAGCGCTTCCTCGGGCGGCGGCCCAAGTGACGGAGGGACTGGCTGCCTGGGGCGGTCGAGGAGCGCGCCCTGGAGGGGGGCCCTCGGAGCTGGGCGCTGGCGGAGGAGGCGGGCGCTGCACATTCGCCTCTGCGGATGCTCCTGCAGCGTGTCCGCTCCGCCACCGCCTCGCCCTGTGCCCTGGACGAGGCTCTCCAGCCTCAGGCGCCGACCGCCTGCCTCCCGGCCCAGACTCGGGCCTGCAGCTCAGCCTCCCCTGGATACAGTCCAGGCCCTCGATGGTCTGTCGTCGGTTCCGAACACGGTGCCGCGACCCCGGCCACACCCATGGCCTCTGCTGGGCCTGACCCCCGAGCCCCTGCGTCTGCTCCGTTGGAAACGCTCCCCCCTGCTGCCTGTCCTGCTTTCGCACAACTGCCTGGTGCGAACCGGGGGAGAAATTCACGTTTGTCCTGACTGAACGCCACCTCCTTAGTTCCAGAACGTGGCCTCAGCCAGGAGGCCGGCCCGAGCTTCGACCTGCCGGCCAAGGCCGTCACATGGCATCTGCGACAGTCAGGCCCAACTCAGGGTCTTTCTACAAACCCACAGCTGCCAGGGGGTCCTCACGGCCCATCACCCCGCCCCACCTGGGGCCCCGGAGTCCTGAGCCGGCGGCGGCAGCCGGGCCGGGCGTCTCGGCATGCAGAGGATCCAGGCGCCCGGCCGGCCCAGCGCCAAGAGCTCCTACATGAAATCCGGCCGGCATGGGCAGGGGCGTGAGTCTGAGCCGGATTTTCCATGTTCTCAGAGTGAGACTCTGAGCAGGAGCCGCAGCGGCCGCCAAGGAACGCGCTGCCTGGCTCTCGGCTGGGCCGCCCTCCAGCCCCGGGACACACGCTTGAGGGGGCACCCCCTCCCCGTCTCAGAGACTCTCTCCTGAGGCCACCAGAGGGCTTCCGGGACGGTCCAACCCCACGGGCCGGGACTGCCCCTCCTCGGAGGGGTCTCGTCCCACCCCCACACTCACGACCGCAGCCGTGAGAGGGCGCCGTGCGGGGGAGGCTGAAGCCCGGCTGCCCCAGCCCGCCTGAGTCCGCGACCTCCCCGAGCCCCCCATCTGCGAAGCAGAGGTACCAGTGACAGTAACGGTATTCGCTGCCGTCATTACAGCTCTAATAACCACCAACTCCTCTCCCACGGTGTGGCCCGGTGACCTGTGGGCCCGCCCCCGGGGGCCGGGGACGCGATCCAGGCTCAGGCCGGCAGCCGCGGACCGCAGCGCAGGGCTCGGTGAGGCGACGCCGCCTGCCGCGCTCGCCACAAGCCAGCGGCCCCGCTTCCCGGGTGAGGAAACAGGCCCCGCTGGCCTGGTGCCCCTTGGGGGGGTCTCTGGGCCCCTCCTCGCCAGGCCCCCGCGTGCGAGACACCCGCCACACGGATCGCGAGTGCCCTGTGCCGTGCAAGCCAGCACAGGCACGTCCTCCGAGCTTGCCACCCACCCCGGCCCCCTGGGGCACAGCTCGAGAAGAGCCCCTTGGCACGAACATCAACAGGAGACCACGCCATGTCCCCGCGTCACCCGCTCCCACCTGCCTCTGCTGAGCAGCCACACCCTCCCGATGCCCAGCTGGTCCCGGGCCTGCAGCCAGCAGGCTGCCCGCCACCTGCACCGGGCAGGAGTCCAGGCCGGGGGACGATGAGGTCACTGGTCACACAGGGAAGGCTACTGTCCCTGCAGACCGCTTGTGCCGGCCCTTCCTAGAAGGCTCCGGGTCTCCACAGACCCCGCAGGCCAGGGCACCTCCAGGGCTACGGGAATGGAGCGGCCGCCAGGGACCCGCACTGGGTGGGGAAGGTCGTGGCCTGGTCTCTGAGGACACGGTTTTCCTTATCAGGTGGACAGAGATGCCGGGGCTGCGGCGACCGTCACACGCCAAGTCCATCACGACATCAAGGCAGGACCGCTGGGCTCCGGGCAGCCCCACAGCCCCCAGCAGACTCTCGAGTTCGGCAGTTCCCGCTGAGAACAGCGCTGAGCACAAAACTGGCCGTGCACCAGACTCCCAGAATCCTGCAGGCTCCCCCGCGTGGCGCGGCGCGGCGCGGCGCGGCAGGGCAAACTGGCTCTTAACGCGGGAGTCGCCCCTGCAGGCGAGGAGCGTGGCTGCGGGAGAAGCCGTGCCCGGCGGTGCCAGCCCCTCCTTTGGGAGCGCCCCCTCTAGGCGCCCTGTGGTAAAGTGCAAAGTGAGCTGAATCCCTTTTATTTCAAAAGGAATAAAAACTCTGTCTCACTTGCTACAAGATGAAGGGTGGCTGGGAATGTGAGGCCGACCCACCCAACTTTGTCCCATGAAAGGAAAAAAATAGGAAAAATGAAAAACAGCCCTGGCTGGTGTGGCTCAGTGGACGGAACGCCAGCCTGCAAACCAAAGGGTCGTCAGTTCGATTCCCAGTCAGGGCACAGGCCCGGGTTGCAGGCCAGGTCCCCAGTAGGGGGTGCGCAAGAGGCAACCGCATGTGGATTGCCTCTCCCTCCTTTTCTCCCTCCCTTCCCCACTCTCTAAAAGTAAATAAAGAAAATCTTTAAAAAAAATAAAAATAAATTTTTAAAAAGGTGGTCGAGGGCCTCCAGGGCGCCCCGGAGCTCCACCGGTCTGCGCTGGGGAAGGCGGCCCGCGTTTTCCACAGCGCCCAGGCCGGGACCAGCCAGGAAGTCCGCGCTACAGAAGCACACACCCCTCAGAGCGCGCACCACGCACGCGTGGTCAGCAAACATCTCTCTCCCTGGCAGGGCCGCCACTCCTACTCAGATCGAAGCCGCTCCCGGAAAGAGGGGCCCCCCAGAATTTGGGACAGATTCCTGCCCTGCGGCCCCCCGCCGCAGAGGGAGAGGCCATCAGAGCAGGAAACAGGCTGTTCAATTCGAGATCCGTTTCTTTTAGAAAAGCATTAAGGGTTTCCGTTCTGTAATAGTAAGAGCAGGGACCAGCCAGCTGTGGAATGCTGGCTGTGGGCCGCGTACACCCACCGCGCAGGGGCGGTGTTAGGCCTGCCCCCCGGACAGAGGGGGGACACCAGGTCTCAGACAGGCCGGCGAACGGCAGCGCCGGGTCCCGCCGGCTCTGACCGCTGCAGGCAGTGCCAGGCGCAGCGGGCTCTTTGTGCATGTGTGCGCCAGGAAGACAGCTTTTCTGGCTCAGTGAGAGCATCGAGGAGGCAGAACTATTTTAGGGTCCTAATCTTTTGAAGATCAGTAAAGCTTTCCCCTGACTCTTTCCAATAAAAGGCGCAGTGTGAGCACACAGGCGGCACTCAGCACACCTCCCCCCACCCCGGCCCCGGGTCCCTGAGTCGGCGCCCAGGCTGAGCACTTCACGCGCGAGCCCAGGTACGCGCCCCAACACCTCACGGGGCGTCATGACTAGTCCCCACATTTTACAAACGCGCGTCCTCACGCTTGCCAATATCACCCGCTTTACCTACACCAGCAAAAACTCCATCCCAGTCGGTGGGACCCCCGGGCTCCCTGCAGAGCCCCGAAGCTGCCTCCTGTGTGGTGGAGGATGGCCCTGCCGCCCTGCAGGTCACCCCAAGTCTGTGGTCAGGGGGTGCACATGGTCTCTGTAACTGGCAAAATCTGGCGCAGCTGGTGGGACGCAGGCAACAGCCCATCCTGCCATCCCGTGGGCTCAGCGTCCTGGAACTGCACTCTGTACGAGGGCTGCCGCCGGCCTCCCCAGCCCTCCGCCGGGCCCCCCCCCGCCCTCCACCGCCCCCCCCCACAGGCGGCTGTTCCGACAGCTCCGCAGTTGCCCATGCGGGCTCCACCCCCCGCCCCCGCCCGCTGCAGGCTGGGCGAACAGCAAGAACAGCAAGAACGCTCACTCCCTCGAGCACTTCACCGTCTGAGAGGGGCAGGGCACCACCCCGATCGCATGCGACCTCACGCGATTTGGCCTTAGCTCGACGAAGCTGCCGCGTCTGCGATCCCCGTTCACAGGTGGAGCAGCCTGGGCGCAGAGACGTCTGCGGGGCCTGCCTGAGGCCCACGTCCAGCACGTGGGCGTGCCTGCGGGCCGGCACCCCGGGGGGCCCTGGGTCACAGCTACGCCCTCCGGCCCCACTGTGACTTAGAGAAACGCGAGCCCCCGGCAGACCGTGGAGTCCACAAGGCCCTCGGCACCGCAAAAGCAGGACCGGAGGAGTCGGCCTGCATTCTCTCACCAGTGTCTGTTCCAGGGGCCGCGTGGGACAGCCGGCCCCTCCTGCTCACCTCAAACACATCCTCATCCAGGATCCGGGTGCCGAACACAACAATGCCGTTGGTGTCTATTATGGGGTGGTCGCTGCGGTCGAGGAACTGGGTGACCTTCTTTCGACAGTCCAGGATCAAGGTGACGTTTTTCCTGTGGACGCTGAGCGCGATTCTGTGCCATCTGCAAAGCAGCAGACGCCAGGGTGGGAGGGGGGGCATCAGGGAACGCCAGCGCAGGCAGCACGCGGCCCACGGCTGGGGACCCGAGGGAGGAGCCCTGTTTCCCAGCACTGTCACGGTGGGGCGGAGCCTCTGCCCCGGTCCCAGCCACCCCACGCCACCCTCCAGGTGCCTCTGATGTCCCGTCTCCCAGCGTGGGTCCGCGCAGGGACACACCGGGGTGCGACCTTGTGTGGACCATCTGAACCCCAAAAGCCAACGGCAGGCTGCCACAGGGACCACGTTTACAGGGGAGGATGGGAACCAGGCACCTCCGTGATAAGAAACTCAGGCATTGTGTCCTGAAGGCCTTCCTGGCCCGAGGCCTCGGACCTGTCGGCCCCCACTGGGTGCCTTTCAGCCGGCGGGGTTTAGGTACGTGCCCGACAGAATCCTGGGAAGGCCCACCTGCTCTTCATCGTCCCTTCCCACACCTAACGTGCCTGTGCCCGTCAGGATTCCTTAAATCCTTTGCAAACAAGTCAGGTACCATCACCCCACCTCCTGCGTCCCCTCTGAACACAGAGGCTGGCAGCAGGCGCGTTTCCGTGCACTGGGCCAGGGCACACGGGGGCCCAGAGGGAAGAGAGAGCGGGACCCGGCTCCCGGGACTCCAAGCCCAGGGCTCCCTCCGCCGGGCGCGCACCTGGGGGTGCCTCGGCACCTGCTGCTGGACAGCACAGCCCACGGGGAGGCCCCGGTCGGCCGGCCAGCTTTAGGGGGCATGCCCAGGCCCCCCAGCAGGACCGGGTCGCTGAGGGGTGCCCACTTACTTGCCGTCGGACAGGTTGATGCCCCTGAAGAGGGGGTAATCATCTGGCCCCGGTCTCCCGGTGTGGTCCTCGTACAGGAAGACCGGAGAGCGGCCCATCTCCAGGCCGATCTGCTGAATGCCCTGCTCATTGTAGATGGAGACCAGGAAGGCCTGGCTGCCCTTCTTGGCTTTCACAGTGGTTAGAATGGAGAAGTCCTCGGGAAACGCGGATGCTGCAACGGAGGAGGGAGGTGAGAGGAGGCCAGAAGCCCTGCGGCCGCCCCCACCCCCAGCCCCACACACCCCGGCCACCCGCTGTGTGTGAGGGCCCTCAGCCCTCAGCTGCACGGCTGCCCCCTGATCAAACTCATCCTGCAGCCTCATCTGTCCCCACACAGCCAAGCCTGACCCCTTCCAGGCTCAGGTCAAATGCAAGGCGAGCTGGTCCTGCCAGCTGTGACCCTTCCACGTTGTCTTCTCAGCCCCCACACCTAAGACGTCTGCGTGGAGGTCCTTATGAGGACCTCCTAGAACCTGAATTCCCTGAGGGCGGGGCTGTTCAGATGCAGCTGGACCCTCCCCGGCGCCCAAAGCCGTGCCTAGCAGAGGGTGTCTTACTCCGTGCCCTCTGGGGGCTGTAGGGGCAAGAGGCAGGGGATCGGCTGGAATTGCACTTTTTGCCATTTGCTGGTTGACACGCCAAACAAAAGATATCGCAAGAAACAAAGCCTGCTGCGTCCCCCCGCCCCACACGCCCCAGGCCTCTGCACACTCCATCCCAGGCAGCCCACCGCCTCTCCGGCCACCGTGTGCGACCTGCAGTTCTGCCGAGAGCCGGGGGCCCACGGGGCGCCTGGGGCGTGAGGGAGGGCGGGTCGGTGTGCTGTGCAGTGCACCCGGGGACCGTGCGCACCCCCGCACCAGCCAGGAGTGGGGCGCCCACAGAGGGGTCCGAGGGATGCACGGCGCGGGGAAGAGGCAGAGCCTGCACGGCAGCTGCTCACGCTCAGCAGTGCTAGCCGGGGCCGCAGATCTGGCTCGGAGCCTAGAGGAAAGGATCCATAATCAGCTGCTCCTTTCAGACGGGAACAAGGTCAACCAGATGGCCCAGGCGCCAGCCCCTGCAAGGAAGCTGTCCATGGCCGCCCTCTGCTGGCAGAACTGCTGCACAACCAGGAAACCGGCCTTGCTTCTGGTCGGCCGCGCAGAGCCGCTGAGGGGCGCCACGCTGGGGAGAAGGGGACATCCAAAGTCCAGGCCAAGGGCGTCCTGAGACTGCAGAGGGGCGAGGGAGGACATCTGCTGCGGCCTCTGCGGCCACTGCAGGACCAGGGCGGGGAGCTCTTGCTCGGGCAAGAGCAGGGGCGGGGGAGGGTGGGAGGAGCACAGCTGTTTCGAACAGTGAAACCAAGTGTCCCCGGAAGGCCACCTCGGAGCGCTGCGTGAGGCCTGGAGGCGCAGTCACACACAGGCTGGGAGATCCATCTGCGGGCTCCCAGCCTTGGTGGAGGCGCCACTACGGAAGGCCCCCGGCCGGGCCCCGGGCTCCTTGTTAACGGGGTTTATCGCCACCCCCGACCCGAGACAGTCCCCCCGGTCCTGGCGTGAGCCGGGCCCTGGCACACGTGGCCACCCCGCGGGCTGGGGGCATGGAGCTGCCGTCTGTCTGTCGCTGCGCATTTTATTTCTCAGAGGAGCGTCACATGGGGAGCGGGTCCAGCCAGACGCCCGTGAGAGCCCCTCACGCCAGGTCCGCGTCGCCTGGGCGGAGGCCCACGGGCCCTGGGGCAGGAGCGGTAGACAGCAGGAGTTCAACGAGTGCGCGTGCCACTGAACTGCACCCTGCGAAGCCAGGGCGTTCTGCTGGAGGGAGGCTGAGGCGGGGGCCTCAGGCCACCACGCAGGGAAGCCTAGGGTGACAGGAACAGGGGCCGGGGGACACCGTCACGTCCAGCCCGGCCTCGGACCCTAGACAGGAAGGGAGTCTCAGCGCCCCAGAATTAGCGGGGGTGGGGGGGCAAACAAAACGGAGAGAGGACTCAACCCGCACCCCCGGCGCGCTGTGGCCCCCAGACCACGCCATCTCATCTCTGCCCGTCAGACACGGGCGTCTCAGATGCCGCGGGACTCAGCCACCCTCCGGCCGACGGACGCCAAAGCCAAAAGTGACAAGGGCGTGTTATTCCGAGCTGTGCTCAGGGGCACAGGGGCACACTGCGAGGACCTCAAAGGACGTCCTTCCACAGACTTCCCTGACTCGGCGCTTGGGGGCCCACAGAGGGGTCCACGGGAGCTCCCACGTCCACAGGCCCCAAGCGGCCTCGGTTCCTGGGGCGGTATTGAGGGGCCCTGCCTGTGGGCCCCTCCTACCCCGTAAGCAACTGATGGCCTGCCAGAGTCGAATCGAGCTCCTGATCTGAGAGCTCGGGGAGGGAGTAGGCTTACAAATGCCTCGTCGCGCGGCCCGGAATTCCCCCGGGGCCTACCAAAACCAGCCTGTACCCCGAGAGCCTGGGGCCCTCCTGCCACAAAATACTGCAGGCGGGAGGCGGGCGTACGGACCCAAAGTCCAGCGAGGGTGTCCTGCCCCGACCCTGAACTGGCGATGGGCCACATGGAAGGCGCCCCAGCGAGGGGGCTGCAGTTAGCGCCGAGGTGAGACGCCGTATTTGCACAGCCCGGCCTTTTATGTGACAACCCTAGGGCAGGCACGGCGCCGCGGGCCTGGGGTCCCCAGCCCAGCCACCTCGGCCCTGGGCCCTCAGCGCTCTCCGTTGCCCCGGGACAGGAATCCCGAACTGGGCACACGGGGCGGAACGCAGGCAACACGGCCGAAGCAGCAGGTGAGCCTCAGAAGGTCAAGGAGCACCTCTCTGGACGTATGGAAAACGAGACCCCACCGTCTCTGGGGGGAGCGACGCAGAGGCCCGCCAGTGGCCTCCATCTGCGATGAGGAGCAGACGGTCTCGAGGCCAGACGGCTGAACCCCGGGTGACTCGGGCGCCCAAAGCCGGGCTCCCTGAGACCTTGAAGGATCTGGGAGGCTCTGAGCGATCCCGTGCACCCAGAGCGATGTCCTCAGAACGGGCCGGCCCCGCCCGGGGGATTCGACGGACGGCGCAGGGGACGCGGGGGCGCAGTGCCGGCTGCTGGGAGCAGGGCGCAGAGGGGGCACCTCCGCGTGTCCACAACGGTGAGCGTGTCCTCCGGGGGCCCCAGAGGGACGCGGGATGGACAGGGAACATGCCTTGTCAAAAGACAGTCCGAGCTCTGTCCGGGTCACATTCAAGGCACCAGGAGGAGGGGGCACGGCCTTCTGAGAGTCACAACACATCCCCGAGGTGGGCGGCTGCCCCAGGTGCCCTGGCCCTTTCTGATCGGACCCAGAACGACAGGCTCGTTTAAGGGGCGGGGATGGGTTATCAATCACTGGCCTGTTTACCGCCATCCAGATAAGCCCCGAGCGTGTAATTAACTCTGGGGGGTGGGGAGGGGGTGTCACGTGCTGTCCCCGCGGCCAGGCCGCGACAGGGACGACAAACGCGGACGCTGCGTCCCAGCCGCTCCCGCCCTCCCGCTCCGGGTAGGCGATGAGAGGTGGGGCTCGGCGGTCGATGCCCAGGAAAAGCCCGCGCCCTCTCGCTGGGAGTCGCGACTGCGCCATGTGTCCGAGTGTCCCTGCTCCCAATCAAGCTTCCATCTGCAAGCACTTCCTCTCCCGTGACCCCAAGGGCGCCCACCACCTCGCCCCCGGGAACTGCGACCCCCTCGATGCGTCAGGGGTCCTGGCAGCCTGTCTGTGCTGGAGATACACCTGCCTGGAGCCGGGGCGGGGACGGCGAGGCCCCACGCGCCCGCCTTGGGTGGTGCACGGTGACAGCTGCCAGGGCAGGGCTCTCTCTCTAATGGGATCAAGTGGGCTCACTTGGGGGGGTCCTGGGAAGCGAGCGAGCTTCAGGCGCCCCTGGCCAGAGGCGGGGGAGGAGATGCACCCCCCCCCAACACACACGCACACTGCCTTGCGTCTCTTACCAGGGTACAGCTGCTTGGTGGGCGCGCTGAGCTGGGCGTCTTTCGTGACCCTGTAAGCCACATCCGGGTCCTCGGAAGATCGCCGTGTTGCGCAAAAACCTGTTGTCTTGGTTATTCCGTCAGGCAAGTTTTGAAAATCTAGGACCTTCAGGAGATCTGCTGGCTGAGCTGAAATGAGAAAGGGGAGGTGGAGGTGAGCCACAGGCTCGGGCAGGGGCCCAGGGTGCGGGGGGCAGTGGGCGGTGGTGGTAGGTGCACCAGAAGCCAGCGCAGAGCAGCCTCAGACCCCGGAGCCGGCGGAGGCAGGGGTCCCACTTGGGAGAAGCGCTCACGTCCGGCTGGGCAGCCCGGGTTCCCGCCGCAGGTCCACACACCAGAAGCAGACCCCTGGGGGCTCTGCTGAGCGGCCACCCCGTCCGACGCAGAGTCAACACTCCTTTCCCCCCCAGCACTCGGTGGGCAACTGCTGCACACACGACGCCCCCCACCCCCAGCTCCAGACACCTGTTCCCGCAGCCTCAGGGAAATCCACCCCTAACTGCGGCTGGGGGGCCGGACGAGATCCGGCTGCGGAGGGAGGCGGCGTGCAGAGGGCCAGCCGGGGGCCTGGGAGCCACCGACGGCCCACAAAACTGTCCCACAACTTCTGAGTGTCTGTGCTTCCCAGCGACCAAGAAGGAGGGCGGCAGGTGGGGAGGGCGGGGAGCGTAGTTTATCCCCCATCACGATCCCAGGAAAACGCAATTTCCCCCCAACAGCCCGCAGCAGCAACGTCAACCTTGTGCATCTCACGGCACGCAAACTCATTACTAAGATTCTGCAGCCCACCAAAAGAGATGTTTTTTGCCAATCTGACCCAAAATTAAAGAAAAAAAGGGCATCGTTTTGATCGATTGCCAAAAATAATAATAATAGCAATTACCTACCCCTTTTGCACCGAAGAGACTTTCTAAAAACTCGGGTGCCAATGTGCGTATATAAGGATTTCTGGTACCAAGAATTAATGATTCAGATGCAACTCTACTATGCGACCTCTACGTTTATGGTTCAAGACAGGGCATCACACCAAACAGCTACTGTTGTGTTGGCTGCGGCCATTTTTTTATTTGACCACCTGAGGGAAAAGAAGTCAGTGCCCCTGAAACACTCGGGTGTTGCGCGTTTCCAAAGGTCCTGGGGGACACCGCCGGCCCCGGGGGACCTGGGCCTCCAGGCCAGGCAGGGCGCAGCCAAGGGCGAGGGAGGAGCCGGTCCCTGCACGCCTTCCGGAAGTTTCCTGACCCTTCTCCAGGGCTCCTCGGAGCAGAGCAGGGGAGATGCCGGTGGCCTGGGGAAGACACGCATGGACTGCCGGGCTCAACGGCCTCCCTGCCCAAAAGATGGCCTCTGTGCATCCGCCCTAAACAAAGCCGGTTTCACGAGGAAAGTTCAGTGATGTTACCACAAACAAGAGGCCCCCAGGGCCTCGCAGAGAAAATACACTCACGCGTGGAGTCGGAGGGACAGAGCCCAGAGCCGCTGGGGAGCTGCCCTGGGCATTTGGGGAACCCAGCAGCCAGCACTCCCCCGGGGTCGGGGAGCTGGCCACGCCCCCTCCACTGGGTCCCCTGAGCCTCATCTGGCCAATCAGAGCACAGCGCCGCCCGTCCCAGGAGGTTGGTTGGGGTGGGCCGAGACTGGGCCAGGCCAAGGCAGCTCCAAGGTAGGACTCTCCCCCTGGGAAGGAGGACGTCGCTGAGCCCTGCTGTGGCCACTCGTGGACTTTGAGCCTGGAGCTGCAGGTGGCCGTCTCCAGGGTGGGGGAGGGCCCGTCTGAGAACGCAGAAAGGCAGCCTCCCACCCCGTCTGGGCTCCTGGATCAAGCTGCGCCTGAAGGAGGCCGGATCATCTGCCCAACCCAATCATGCTGATACCAACTTGCGATTGAGTCTGTTGCCTGCTACCGGAAGGTCGGTGCCCACTATTCACAAAAGCTTGCCCCTTGGCTCCCTGGCCACCCTTAACTGTCAGTCAACCAGCTCGCTGGCCTTCCTATGTGCCCGAGACTCACTTGGAGCGAAATCTCACTTTTTTAACGAGGGTGGAAGATCTGGAGGTGCGAAAGGACCCCCAACGCTGGATCCCCCTTCCCCAGTTTCTGAGGGACGCCGCCGCCGGCGTCCGTGGCTAGAGCTGGGCACAACGGTGGGAGCAGGCGGCCGTGCGGCCTCCCTGCCTGTCCAGACAAGACAGACAGAGCCCTGTGCCTGAGCGGGCTGGCCTGGGCGGGGCCGGCGCTGTGGACGGTGCCGGGGGTGCAGGTGGTGCCCTGTGCCTGCACCCGCCCCCCCACCCCGCCTCCCTGACAAGCTGGGAGCGAGCGGAACACGCGGGCTGGGGAGGGCCCGTGCGGAGACCGGGAGGAGGGAAGCGAGGCTGCACCTGGCTGTCACAAGCACGGCCCGGTCTGCAGCGCCCCCAGTCCCAGAGTCCTGAGCCCCCCGCCTCCAGAGGCGTCATCACTACAGCGTGGCCTTGCTGCCATCCTCCATCACTTTAATCAAGAGACCACAAATCTGGGGACAAGGATTTGCCACCTCGGTAAGGACACTGCCAGGGAGGCTGGAGGGAGGGGCAGTGAGGGCCCAGCACACGCGTGCGTGGAGTCCCTGCCTCTGGACGCCCCTCCGTCGCTCTTCCCGGGTGGTGCTCAGCTCCCGCCCAGAGCCCAGCCCCATGGACACGTGGCCAGTCCCTAGCCCATCTGCGGCACCTCCAAAGTGCTCAGCGCCGGCCGGCCCTCCCGTGGCCCCCTGCGGTCCCCGCCGGAGGCTTGTCCCCTACACGTCAGAAGCAGAGCCCGGCCTGGTGCGCGGCACAGCCCCAGGCCTGGACTCGGCCGTGGGAAGAGACGGCCGTGCCAGCCGCTGGCTCACCTGCCGCCGTGACACCGTGCCGAGCGCTGGCTCATCTCTGGGACTCGGTGCCAAGCCTGGCGGTGGCCAGGGGAGGAACCAAAGATCGCGGCCCGTGATGCGCTTCCCAGACGCGCAGGCCCGAGGCCCTGTTTTCTCGATTGCTGGCGGCAGAGCTGCTCCCCAGGAGCTCACAGGACCTGTTTATAGGCCGCCGCTGCAACAAGTCGAAAAGGCCACCAGACCTTCCCAGGCCTGATGCCACCACCCCTCCTGCCGCCAGGGCCTCCCCGGCTCGAGCTAAAAGAGCGTGTTTACATGTTACAAAAGGCGCGGCCGGCGCCTGAGGGGAAGCCGGCAGCACAGGCCCTCCGCGGCGGCTGGCCTTCGCTGGACGACGGGGGCCCCCCTGCCCCGCGCCCCGTCCCCGTCAGGGGCAGCCTCTCGAGAAACCAGGAGCCCCACGTCACCCCCACGAAGATGGCGGGTCCCGTCCAGCCCAGGCCTGCGAGAGGCCGGCCGCTCGCTCGGGGACCCCAGCTCAGCGCCGCACCCGGGGCTCGGCCGGCAGCTCCCTCCCCTTCGACGGCCCAGCGAGGACCCCGGTGGCCTCCCTCGGGGTCCACTGCGCGTCCCGTTGCTCAGTGGAGACAGAAGGGAGCCGACCGTGCAGCCCCTGTGCTTGGCCCTGCCCTCTCTGCCTGGGTGCACTTGGTGCTGCTGGGAACCTGCCGTGGGCGGGGCCCCCACGTTGGGGAGCGGGCGCCAGCGCCCCCCTGGGCTCACTCAGGCCTCCGCTGGCCCCTTTCAGGCCGTCCCCGGGTCTTCCTGCTCTGCAGGGCCTGGGAGCTGAAACTACACGTCCCAGACCCCTTTGCGGTCAGGGCTCCAGGGCAAATGAGTCTGCACCAGGCGGCATCCCAGGGAGCTGGTATGTGAGAGGGAGGCGCGGCCTCCTGGCTGCTGGGTCTGGGCGGCGTGCCAGGGCGGGGACCCCCAGCGCCGGTCCCAGAGGGTTCAGCAGTGGAGACTTCTGACATCTACGTGCCCTGTGACCTCGCTTCTCCAGCTCTCCCAGGCCTGGGCAAGCGCCTGGCTCCCGCATTCCAACTCTCCCCTGAAACCAGCCCTCTCCCCCCGCCCCCGCCTGCCTGTGCTGAGCCCGCCTGTGGCGGAGCCGCTCTCCAGAGGAAAGGCCACTCAGCTGGGCCGGAAGTACAGGGCTCCGCCCCCGGCTCCCAGAGTTGGGAGCCTGCGTGTGGCCTGCAAGAGACCACGTCTTCTGGGGGGCGCCTGGGGAAGGCCCCTCACCTGGCCCCCAGCTGCACAGAGCTCCACAGGTTGGGCGGGCACCAAGTCCACCCGCAGACCTGGGAAGGAGCCCACACGGAGGCGCAAGGAGGGATCTGGAAATGCGTGGCTGACGTCCAGCAGCCACGTGCCCGAAAGGCAGCACGAGGACCCCGGAAGGAGACACAGGGACGGCTGCAGCGACACCCAGGAGGAGCGCACACGGAGGCGCAGGGCGGTGGACGGAAGGGCCTGACGCCGACCCCACAAGAGGGACCGCCGTGCCTTGCCGGCAGCCGCTGCCAGTCACCGCCGAACGTCGGCGGCCCGGCCCGGCCAGAGCTGAGACCGCACCCAGCCGGGCTTCGGAACAAAGCGACAGGCAGAGGACCCACCCGCCCGCCCGCACTTCCAGGGTTTACTCGTTCACCCCCAGGTCCCAGCTGGAGGGGGGTGGAGCCTGCCGTGCAGGCAGGCGGGGCTGACATCAGCTCCTGCACACTGGCAGGGCCACCTGTGACAGGCAGGATGAGGACTCATCCGTCAGACCCCACCTCCCGTGGGCGCTGGGCGGAGGGGACAGGGCCCCGCGCCCGCGGGAGGGACTGGGGAGCGGCCGAGGCGGCCACGCTCCTGCCCGAGGGCGCGCCAGGGCCGGCCGCGGGTGACCGGGGTCCCAGCAGGAGGTGACCTTCCTCTCAGTCCCCCGGGGCCTGGTGGCCCCGAAGCCGGAGCAGCGCCCCCTGCTGCCCTCCAGTGGAGGGGGCAGTCCCTCTCCCCGCCTGCCCCAGGCCTGGCAGGCCTGCCCGGTAGGGGTTAGGGGAGGGCGGACGCCCCCGGATCTCTTTTGAGGGTCGTTTCGCCCTTCCCCGCCCCCTGACCCCGGTGACTCAGGGCCTCTGTGCTGATCTGGGCAGGGCCTGTCTCTGGCCTGCGGTCACCTGGACGGCCCCTGTCCACATACCTGCCCTCACCACTGAAGCA